CCCGCCTCCCCCTCAAACTCCAATCCTGCCACCCCTTCCAATCCCCCACCCTCTCCACATACCCACATACCACCCTCCTCGGCTCCTCGAAGAACCCCTCCTCCTCTAACTGCTCGCATGTCGCGCAAAAGTCAGCGCGCACGATCTTGTCCACGTGCTCTAGCGGGTCCGGGCCCGCGGGGATGACATGGGGGTGCGGTTCCGGGGAGGTCGCAAGGTGGGAGTGGTATGCGCAGCCGGAGAGGCAGTGACGGACGCGTTTGTGGATGCAGCCGCAGGAGTAGTGGTAGGTAATGGGGCGGCACATGGTTGGTGGTTGGGTACGGAGGAGAGATGACTGATTGAACGCGCGTATTGGGTGATTCTGAGATGTGGGAGGTTCAGATGGTGATATGAACGAGTTGAACTACGCGAAGACGCGGTAAGAGTGTTGGAATGAGGCTTTGTTAAGTGTGATATGAGTGTACTCGATAATTTCTCATGACTGATGGCGATGATTGAGAGAGCAGCGGATTGGTGTCTTGCGGTAACAGTAACGGTCTGGAGGAAGTGTAGGAAAACAAGTGATAGGACATGAATTGAAATTGAAATTCCATCGTGTCTTCGCTGTGGAGGTAAATTATGATGATACAGTCACGAGTGAACAGTCAAGTGTGGTGCAAGCAAACGCATTTGGCATATGACACCTTTCTGCCGTACACGATCAGAGAACAAGACGGGATTGAGACGTCGATAAAGGCTAAACGGGTTACTGTCGCAAACCCCTTTCAGACTTTGGCAGAATTTGTTCAGCGGCTAGGGAGAGACAAAAGGATAGAGTCATTCACCAAAGCCGTCAACCGTCAGAATCGCTCAATGCCTTGCCAGACACGCCATCTCAACCAGAGCTATCATCACGTAGAGTAGCGAGGGCGATCAAGGTGTTCAACATATTCGAATATGAATATTATCGAAGAAGCCAACCGACGCTGCTCGTTCTGCGCATTTATGGTTCTCATTTAAGCCTCATCGTTCTCCAGACTTTGCTGAAATGTCGGTCCTCTTATAGAAGACCCCAGTCCTTCAGCGTCAAGTCCCTCCTCATTCTCTTCTTACGGGCAGTCCGCCATTGAGTGTTATAGTATTTCCCGCCCGCTCAGGCGAGATTCCCCAGAGGCATCGAGAAGGAAGTAGGATGAACGGCGGAAGAGAGATACAACTTGGAATCTGCAGCTATCGTGATTCAAACGAAGTCTGGGGAATGGTTTGTACGCATCAGACGGGACTTGTAGTCATTTCATGTTGGATCATCAACCTGGCCCGGCGCGGCACTCCCTCCATATGTTTTCCCCTTCGCACTGCTTCGCGTTGGAGTCGAGAATGATACAGACAGCAAACTGCGAAAGAAACTGAAGTCTTCTTTTGTTCAAGTATGTTAGCCTCTAGGTCTCCACTTTGCGGCTCTCGTCGGGTGCACAGTGCAGAATTAGAGGAATGAGGTTAGGTTGCAGACCAAACAAAGTCTTGAGATTTTCAGGTTTCTCGTACGCTACCGGGAATAAATCCAGATGCTTGGTGTTTGCCAAAGCCCAAAGGTCATCTTGGGTCTTGACCCTTTACCAAAGAGGGTCCTCTCTCAGATTATGGTGATTTCTTAACAGGAATAGGGAGTTAATTGGCATCAATTTTAAAGAACGGCAAGCGTCTCGGTCACACGAGCTGAAAAGAGCTCCTCTCCGCAGTCCTCACTACCGCCATCCCTTCAGGTTTCTCCGCGACTCCGCCCTGTCCTTGTCCCCTCACGCCACCTCCACCTCATGTCTTGTTGCTTGGCTTTGGGCTTGTCGTGAACACAGCCCACCAGTCTGCAAGCTCCATGACGACAGCGGCAAACGCTCAGAACAAACCTTGCCGGCTGTCACAGTCGGCCCCGAGCAACGGCGCCTGGGCGGTGCTCCAGGCTGCAGCATCCTATCACATCCTAGTGTTCCCGCTTCAGCGCGTCACCAGTGGCCGCATCTTAGCCCACCCATCGGGCCCAGGGTCCTCCATTCTCACGAGACACGCCATAACGCGAGTGACGGATGCTCGGATGGGGAATCGGGGTTTCACGTTTGACATTTTTGTAGTGGAAATGAACTGCAGCTAGGCGATTCCGCAACTAGTACCATTGTTGCCTGACGTTTCCGAGCCGTCTCATGGTCATGCCGTCACGAGAATCGACTGGTAGAGTGTTTATCATGACCTTGATTACCCGAGAAAAGCGATTCCTTTCTATCTGCATAATTTTGGATTCGATTTGATTGTCTGACTTGATCCATCGTATACATCCCCTGTGATTGTGCGAGTCTTACAACCGAGTATATGTAAACCCTAGTCCCTCCGCAATATCAACTGCTCGACCAGGGTCTCCAGCCGCGGGTTGTCTGCTGAAACCGTGCCTTTGGACCGAGATCAACATACTTGGCGACTTCCTTTCCTCTGTTCTTGCAATTCGCGTCCTCCAGCCACGCGGCCTCTTGCATCCATTCAATTCCTCGTCGTTCAATCGTAATTGTTTGAGAACGGCGTCTTGGGGACCGCCGTAACGAAGAATCCCCCTCCAACGACCATTCGAACCCCTCAGTATCCTACGAATCGTCGTCCACCGAAAACGATGTCCCAGCACCAACCCCGCCGGAACTTCTATGCAACTGCCTCCCCCCAACCGGAACCAATATCGTCCATGTCGAGTTCAAAGGGATATAACGCTTACTCCGCCCCCTCCTCCGCCGCGGCCACCGCCGCCAAAGCCTCGCGATCAGGCAGTATGTCAAGATGGTGAGTAACTCAACTCCGCCTACCGCCCTAGATGCCGAACCGGACTGACTAGGGATATCCAGGGCACTTCCCGTCCTCGCCGTCTCCGCCGTCGCGGCGGGCGCCGCAAGCTATGTTCGAAGCCAGCAAGTCAGCATGGCGAAGATGCAGCAGAAGGGCGTTGATCCGGTCGCGGAGAAATACAGCGCGTTGATGGACGCGTACGGTGACAGGGATTCGTTGGAGGCGCTGGAGAAAGCGATGGAGTCGTATAAGAAAGAGTGACGAAACGACAGGGACGGCAGGAAGAGCCGAATGATTGATGAACACTGGAGTTTGAAATGGGTTTCCGGTACATTGAATGCATTGCATAGCATTGATGGCGTTTGGGGACATGAGCTAGCGGTCTTTGGAAGCGCTTGAAGCGACGGGATCGTTCATATTGTACCGCCCAAAATGTATAGCGTATTGTTGTTGTAGCACACTCACCTATAGAGGACTGAATTTGCCACCCTCTTCAATATTAAGAAGCATTGACACCATTTCAGTTTCAGCTATATATAAAATTTTGTGAAATATAATGACTTGGATTGGACAGGCTGTGAAGCGCATGGCAAATAGATGTTAAAAGAACAATATTGCATGGGATGTCAGTAAACGAGCTACAACTTGACCAGACAAGAGGAACTGAATACCGATAGAAAGTCCATGTATTTGATATTCCCTACCTCAGTAACACCCAGTGCCCATTGGAAAGGACGCCAGGTCAAAAGGTAGGGATTTTGTCTTCACAGGATGGTCAACAACGCTGAGAGCATGTTACCAGTATCTATTCAACCAACTTTTCAACGCCGTAAGGTAGGCATCCGAGGGCTTTTGCACTAATGTATAAACAACCTCTCAGCCATCCGTAATGCAGCCATGGCTCGCATCCTGGACGCTCTTCGCATATTTATACAACGTCCCCTTCTCATACTTCAACTTCGGCGTCGTCCACAACTGCCTTCTCCTGTCCAGCTCCTCCTTATCCACCTTCAGATTCACCTCTCGCGTCTCCGCGTTGATCTCGATCACGTCACCGTCCTTCACCAGCGCGATGGGTCCACCCTCCTGCGCCTCCGGCACAACGTGTCCGATCAAGAACCCGTGGCTCCCACCACTAAACCGCCCGTCCGTGATCAGCGCCACGTCGTTGCCCAGACCGGCGCCCATGATCGCGCTCGACGGCTTCAACATCTCAGGCATGCCGGGCCCGCCTTTCGGCCCCTCGTAGCGGATGATGACGATGGTCTTCTCACCCTTCTTCAGCTCGTTGCGCTCCAGCGCCGCGATGAAGTCGTCTTCGGCGTCGTAGACCTTCGCGGTGCCTTCGAACGTCGTGCCTTCCTTGCCGGTGATCTTCCCGACGGAGCCGCCCGGTGCGAGGGACCCGCGGAGGATCGTGATGTGTCCAGTGGGTTTGATGGGGTTGCTTAGCGGGCGGATGATTTGTTGGTCGGAGGGGAGGTCGCGTGCGTTGGCGACGTTCTCTTTTAGTGTCTTACCCGTCACGGTGATGCCGGAGCCGCTGATTAAACCTTCTTTGAGGAGGAACTTATGGATGGCTGGCGTGCCGCCGAGGTCGAAGAGGTCGGCCATGACGTACTTGCCGGATGGCTTGAGGTCGGCGAGATAGGGGGTGCGGTCGGATACGGATTGGAAGTCGTCGATAGTGAGTTTGATGCCCACGCTATCTGCCATCGCGATGAGATGCAGGACCAGATTGGTGGAGCCACCGAGGATCATGGTGATGACCATTGCGTCTTCAAGCGCCTGGCGGGTGATGATGTCTTTGGGTCGGATATCTTCCTTCAGGAGGTTCCTAATCGCGCTGCCTGCTGCCAAGCATTCAAGCTGCTTCGCGGCGGATGCGGCAGGGTTAGAGGACGAGCCCGGGAGCGAAAGGCCGATGGTTTCGATTGCGGTAGCCATGGTGTTAGCAGTGTACATACCACCGCAGGCACCTTGTCCAGGACACGCGTTGCGGATAATGTCGAAGCGGGATTCCTCATTGATCTCTCCGGAGAGGAACTGTCCGTAGGATTGGAATGCGGAGACGATATCTATCTGCTCGTTTTCCCGGGTCTTCGCGCATCCGGGAGCGATGGTGCCTCCATATACCATGATCGATGGTCGATTCACACGGCCCATGGCCATGACCACACCCGGCATATTCTTGTCGCAACCAGGGATTGAGATGTTCGAATCGTACCATTGGCCACACATCATCGTCTCAATCGAGTCTGCGATGACGTCTCGGGATTGCAGGGAGTACCTCATCCCTTTCGTCCCCATCGAAATAGCATCGCTGACGCCAATTGTATTGAACTGCATGGGCATCAGACCAGCTTTCTGCACTCCCTCCTTCACCTTATCGTTCAGAGTCATAAGATGCATGTTGCACGGATTCCCTGAGAACCAATTGGACACGATTCCCACTTGCGCCTTATGCATATCTGCTTCCGTGAAGCCCGTGGCATACAGCATTGCCTGCGAGGCACCCTGCGCCTTCGGTAAGGTGACATTTCCGCTGATTTTATTCAAGGCCTGGTCATCGGACGTTCTGTAGTGTATACTACTCGAGAATGAGGCTCTCCTATGATAATAGCGGCAAAAGTCAGTCTTGACGAGCAGAACAGCTCCGAGAATCGGAGGAACTTACTGGATGCTCCGAGCAATTGGAACTGCCCTGGCCAGAGATGGCCGGAAACAGGCTCCCCGAAGAACTGATCTCACCATCGCGCCCTTTTTCTCCGAATGGATCGCGGTCTCAGATATCAGCGATGAGTAGACAACGTTGATGAGTCGAAGCTCCCGAACATAGTTGCTGTTGGTACATAATGAGGCTCATGTGGGGAAATTTTTCATAGCCAATCACAGATCGAAGGATTCCAACCACTCCATTGAAAGTTGAAACGACGTCTTATTCTATTATTATGTCTTATTCTACAGCGTCCGTCACCTATGATCACCATTAAAGACATAAGTTAGGTAGAGTTGCGAAAGCTGTCTATGATCTCGCATTCTAACATTGGAATTCAGTCTATTAGCTACGACAATGATAGTTGGACTTCCCGTTCCGTCTTGCTCATGCGTTCATAGCCGCCGCACACAGTAGCTCCCTGTTTGCCGTGGTGTACACTGGCATATCCTGCTCACAGGTTCATAGCCGTCACACGCAGTAGTTCCCTGTATGCCGTTGCGTATACTGGCATATCCTTCTCTAGTTCGAGTATCGGAAGCGTCTGAATGTGGACCTGGTGGATAGCGGCCTTTGTCCATCACCCCAGGGATATCCCATTTATAAAGTTCCTCAAGCAGGTCCAGAATATCGATAGGTCCCAGAAAAAAAGCCCATTCAAGGACGCTGCAGAAATACCATCACCCACCGATGTCTGGAGTGCGGATGAAAGTCGCCCTCTGTTCCAATAGGAATCGAGCTGCATCGCAATGCCCCCCTAATATCGTTGCTGGAGACTAGTGACCTCGTACTTGTCAGCCACGGTGCGAAGGTCCACTAGCCCGATTAGCATTGCTGCGTCTCCGATGTTTTCACCATCTGTTGGCGCTTTGAAAGGAAGCCCTAGCCCATAGATGAATTTGAAGAAGATTTTGAGTTAGTTCGAATCATAGAACAGCTCAATTACTTCCTTAGAAGCGTCCTTTGAGAGCCCAGTATAGGAGCAGGAATAAACAAGGCGGGATCGCAACTCTGCGGATGATACCAAGCACGCGGTCTTGAACCAGGAAGATCTGTCCGCAAGTAGGATTCAATGTGCCCGAATCTCCAGCCGAGAAGTGCGAATGGTTACATCAGAAATCACCTCGAAGCTGTAGTAGCTGCAACTGAAGAACTCCGTTAGTACTCGACTTCAACCCCTGGTTCACGGATTATACTCGTAACTTACCTTCCCAATCATTGACCTTGGGTGCATCTTGTGATGCCTAGGGCGGGTCGGAATCGGCCATCATGTACTTTCGATGGGGATTGCAGCGGTGGGATGTGCGTCTGTGTGCAGATTATTGAAAAACGCACTTGGAAATAAAGAAGATGTCTACTATTCAATATAAGGATTGGTTTGACTGCCTATCACATGGAGAAGGCTATCTCGATGATGATTATAAGGAGATAGTGGATTCCACGACACATGACCATGATAGAACCAAGGAGTACAGGCAGATAATGGCCTTTTTTGGGTTGGGAGCAGCTTTTAGGATGGTACTATTTCGGATTTGTTCTTTGCTCGAGCATCACGGCGAATAAACATGCATGAAGGAATATACGCGGAGTATCGGAGTCATTGAGATATGGCTTCCCCTTGACGTACAGGTATCAATATTTGCCTACCCGTTAGGAAACATGTCTCTCTTTTTCTTTTTAGTCGGCCGGATTATAACTGTTGTAACTTTCTTTCCGCCCCTCAGTTACTCTATATTGTCCCTAACCTACAATCACTATCCTCTACCTTGGAATGGAGGCGGTCGAGGAGTGAATCGTGGCGGCAGTGGTGGCCAAGAGTCAGTTCTGATAAGCAGAAGGCTTATCCAAGGCCAGCCAGGTAGAGTAAGACAGTACCTCCCGAAGGTTCTGAGTCTGCAAGGGGCGAGCGGATGGTAGTTGAACCGCATGGCTTCCCACCCATCCGCTATGCCCGTTTGCCCCCTGCGTGACCCCGCTAACCTCTCCCACCAAGCAGTCACACTGGAAACCTGTGGCCCGACAAGCGAATCTCTTAGGACGCCCGCGGCGTGAAGAGAGTGCCTCGGGTGCGATCACACCATCCTAAACGGCCTAGATCATCGTTGCCACCTGCGCACTCGGGAGTGGTTCCCTCATCATCCATCAGATCGAGCAGCCCGGCTGCCACGCGGCCCTCATCTGAAGTCATGTCTCGGTTGACTGAACAGGAGTAGGCGGCTAGATTGAGGCTCGCATACTGATCGAGACCAAGGACTCGGAGGCCAAATGCAGTGGCATAACCTTCCACTCAGGACATCCCCGGGGGTCTCAGTGTTCGAGCAAAAGGAGTGGCTTTCCCCTCTCGTGCTTGGGATGTCGTTGTCCATAGGAGAATTCATGACATGATGGCCATACTCATGACCCATGACATCTGGACGACAGCTGCGGATTGACGTCAGAGCGATGCGATTGTTAAGGTAGTTGGACGCTGAGACATCAGCTGGGAACCAGACATCGATGTGGGGGACGCCTTCCAATCCAACGATGGCGTTTCCTTCGGAGCGGATTCTGCGAAACTCAGACCAAACGCGACCGAGGTCCGGACCGATTTATTGGGTAACAATCGCGTCGGTGTTAATCCGGGTTCCGCTCCACGAGATCTCCAGGTCAAATTCCCAGGGCTAGAGGTTGTTCCTGTCAGGACCAGACTTCATTGTGAAGTGTGCGTCGTCAAAGTAAAGCTTCGCCGCAACGGGCAAGTCGTCAGCTGCAGTTGTCAAGGCACTGGAAACGCGCCCAAAAGCATTGAGCCTAAAGCCCCAGTCTAGTTGGCCTTGAGTATTTATTGTTCGAAACAACCCAACTCCTGTACCAGCCAGGGCTTGAAGAGCGCCACCGGGATCCTTTTCCCAGCGGACTTGAATATTGACTGGATATCGTCAGGTTCCAAGAGTAGGATCCGGAGGCCCACCTGGGGGAGTCGGACGAAGCAATGTCCGGCCCGGAATCTATACCATTTTCTCGCAGTCGCACTCTTGTCTGACAGCCTCGCCAGCGTTGGGCAAAGTGAAGTTTGTGTATGTCATTTCTTCCAGCCTTGAGTGCCTAAAGAGGGAATTAGTCGTCTCGGAGTTATTCTCGCATGCTCAAAGGATGGGGCTCCTTACCAATACTCCGCCGGCCTTGTTAAGATGGCTACAGGAGCGCCTTTTGTCCGATTCTGAAAGGAAACATAGACCCTGTCGAACCCAGAGCCACCCACACCGTCATTCACCGTCCCGACAATAACCTCGAGTTCCCAGGTTCTCTGGAGCAAAAAGGTTTCGCCCCTCGGGATCAAAATCCGGCTTGATACTACGGTTCCATTCGTGAACGCTAATTGATCATTATCAATAACTGACATGGTTGGGTACAAATCGGCCATAGGCTTGAGAGTAACATTATATTCAATCTGGTTGTCCACATCATGTATACTAGGGTGCGTGATGGAGAATTTTATTTTCACTTCTACGTTGTCCTTGGAGATATGACTGGTTTGCAATGACTTGATAAAGGAAAGAGAGAAGACGGGGAAGGAGCATGAAGTCTCGATACGGGGAACCTCATTTATATCGTCGGTAACTTGGTAGGAGGGGAATATCGAGATAAGGATTCCAACAAGGCCGGATATGGCCCAACTTGCTTGTCGGAACATTATGTAGACCACAAAACGCAGTTCATAAGGACAAGAGAATAGAGAAATAAATTCTAGAGAACGGAACCCATAGACTACCACGGCCACCCTTTAAGAATTAAGAATACTCAACTACGCACAGCAGGAAACTCCGACTTAGGAAAATAGTATGAGGAATGGCCATGTCAGTGAGCTCCCGAAAATAACAATCAACTCAGCTCTCTCGAAAGTAGACTCCAGACCAACGGTAGGGGAGAGACATGGAGGGAATGAGGCACCAATCACTTGTTGATAATTCGAGAATCCCACGATTGCGCGTTTCGTTGATCGTGGGTCTCATTCAGCATCGACGCCTCTTGAAGATCACGGCCAATACGATCGAGTCGATGGAGAGGATGGCATTCAGCCGGGCGTTGGTTGCACATATACTGGGATAGCAAGGCATCCGAATGAACTAGATCGGTCCATCAAGCTTGAGCTGTATGTCTTACCACGCTTGAAGCTGGCCGGCAGGCTTCACATATTGTGATTCTGGCTTTGGAAGTCCTTGCGGGTCTCTTCCGGTGTTCTATACGTGAGGTTGTTGATGTTCAAAAGACAAGTTCTTTTCGAAGATTCAATTCCTCCCATGCCATCTCTCCTGTGAACTCTCCACTTTTATGGATACCCCTGTCCCCAGCTTCCTGTGACCTGTCATGCAAACAGTAGCAGAAAGATACAGATCCAAGTTCCACCACATGTCTTCCTACCGGGACTGGTTCGAACCGATAGCGACGCCTGAGAGTGTAGGACCGTATGAGTCGTAGAGCTCTATCGAGTTGAGGGTGCTTTGGAATGCGGCATCATAAAGACCAAGGTCGTAGCCGGTAGTTTTCAAGCTCCTTACCCTTCGAAGCTCTAGAAATTTGGTGGTATTCCAGCAAGGTACCGATTCTCAGTTGCGATTGACTTGTCAACAGGAAACCTTCCATAGATACTGCGCACTTTGGTGCGCATACTCCGATATAAAAGACACCGAAAAGCCAAGACGACCGGCTTTGTCCTCAAATCTGTTCGATGGTTGCGGGCAGCCAGGGGCCAAGTAACCTTATTTTCGCCCTGTTGGCGATATCGAAGATGCAAAGGAGCTAGGAATCACTCCCAACTACGTACTTCCGGGTACTAATACCTTCGTTGACCTATCTATGCATATCTAATTTCTAAACACCATACAAGGACCCGTTTGTTTGAGCCTAACAGACAACATCGGTAACCTGTCCGATCCACGATCATCTTCGTGTCCTTGTCGATCGGTGCTAGTTGTAAATGCCTTGGCACTGTGCTCCGTACAGTTGTCCTCATCCGACGAAGAGTGCGGTCGATCACGGACAAGATATGGTTTAACCCTCATGGTCCACCGTGGAATAAATTCTCGATTAAAGGCGATCGGGCGTTCGCTCACCATAAATCTCGAAGCAGTTGCTCCTGCCTGTTCTCGGCCAGGACGACAATTGCCTCGACGACATGGAGAGGAAGACTTGTCGATAATCACGATTTCTCGATATCTCGATGTTTCAGATCTGGACGGATTCGAATTGCCAATCTTCAATGGTCCGCTCTAGCATTTGATTGTGTGGTCAGCGATTTCGGCTCACTTTCTTGGTTCACGCGCCCCAGGTGAACCATAATTGAGAATACTCTCCCCAGTTATCTCGGGCTGGGGAGATCGACGCATCCTCGTTTATCATTGCGACCAAATCATTAAGCAGCAGAAATTCTGCAAGATCAATACCCCAACCGACGCGAAAGATGTACTACTGCATCGGAGAAGGATCCTGCGGGACCGTCTGGTCCGCTGACGACACGCATTACGCCATCAAAAGAGAAGAAGGGGGATCGGAAGGCTCACTGTACAACGGCTTTGTGATGCATCAGAAGGCTCTAAAAGCCGCGCTTGTCACCACCCCGGATTCCCCCAACTACGTTCCTGTCGACGATCCTTGGTGGAACGACCATCTTGAGAGATTCCCGAACGGCCATCGACCCTGCAACGCCCTCATCAGCGAGCGGATACCGCATTTCCCTCGGGAAGTACGCGACAGGATCATCGATCGGTACTCCCCTGAGTCCATCCGAGCATCCAGCAAGGAGGCGGTAGCGAACCGAGACTGCTTAATCCGACCATATCTAGGCTGCCGGCGGCAGCACAAACCAGATTCAGAGTCTCAAGCGTTCAGTCTCCGAAATTATCCTCTTCATGCTGACCAAATGGAGGAGCTTGGGCTGGATACGACACTCTACGCGAAAAAGCTGGCAGAAGGGCTTGCAGAGCTCTATTGGAAGGTGCGATTGGACGCCGATGATGTCGAATTCGTTCTTGCTCCCCCGAGGAAAACCGACGACGAATTCCAGACCGTCCTAAAATCGGAGACCCTTGGCGACCATAGCATCTGGATCCTAGATTTCGACCGCTGCAAGAGCATCACACTGGACGGATACGGGGTAACTCAAGCCGTCATAGCGTTCGTCAATAACGATCCGTACTTCCCACAACCGGGGAGCGACAACGAGAAGGACGAGGCGCTCTGGAAGACATTCAAAGACCACTTCCTCGAAGCGAGCCAAGCGATGTTGCACCTTTCGGAGATCGGGTTACCAACGCTGTGGATCCATCTAGTTGAAGAACGCGTTCGAGGGAGATTCACCGGGCCGATTCACCTTCCATCGGGCGTGGAGGCAAACAACCTCAAAACTGCTACGGTGTAGAGATCTGCTGCTCCTTGGCGAGCTACGACTCCTACAAAGAGTTGGTTCACGGATCTCTTCCGACGACTAGCACTCTCTTCGACAGACCTTCCTTGTACGGAGTACATCCTCGAATTCGAAACGCTTGACATTGAGCTCCTCTTCCATCGCCGCCATCTTCGAGAGTCTTCCACGGGTCTACGTCGCCAATATTCCGGGGTATATAGTGGACGGTTTCTCCGGGCATTTTGCGGTTCGAGAGCGATTGTGACGAATAACGGAATAAGATCCTGCGGCAATTAGACCCTGCCTTGGTTGCACCGGTCATTTGGGGGCACTTGCGGTGGCAAGGGGTGAAGGACTGAAGGTGAACACACGAACAGTGCTCAGCGGGATATTACATCGATGGGTGATTTTAGGTCTAGTTGAACTGTCCAAATTGAACGATCGACGAAGCAATGGAGTTCTTCTGTGGTCGGCTGATCAAGGTTTCGTCTCAGGTCGTTGGGCGAAGTAAGTAGGATTATGTACTTAGTATCCTCCATCACAGCCAGTCCGTTTACCGTACATTGTAGATGTCGTTTGTAAGACAGGTATCTTTGTCCTGGCTAGAGATCAATTATGGAAAGTGTTCGAGTTAGCCAACTCATACTCTGAGTTGTTCCGGGCTCGTGTTCTCCGTTTTACCCTTGTCTCGGAGTAGAAGCAACCGGATGATCATCGCCGTCTGTTCAAGAAAGCTCATAATGGAACCGTAGCTTCGGAGGTGAGAATTCCATGCTTTTCCCATAAACCGTATTATTACCGTATAGCTGGAAATATCAACATATAAAATGGCCGTTGCCGGTGTCGGAGATCGTTTCGCTTCTCGGTTTAAAGCTCCGTAAGTTCTTGATCGCTCATGGAGTGATGCTCTGGGTATACTATATAGATATGATATTCAATTGATACATGGTGGTGACGTAGGAGGTCCTTCCCATACAATCTGTAATAATACAAGCAATCATACATTTAGCATTGGAGTTCTACAACATCCATTGTAATCTGTTGGGACGCAAATGAACAATTGAAGTCGAGTCGCAGTAATCCATCGTGAATATTCGGGTATCTCCCATCCATCTCACTGTTCTCACATGGGACTGGCCTCCTGGGAGCATCCGTTCGGCAGAGATTTTCCCCCATCCGAACGACTCGTTATTCCCGAGGAAGCCCGGCCGGAATCGCGGAGCTCAAGCGGATCAACCCCTCGAAATCCCACCCGCCCGCTGGTTCATGTTTTCTCCCGTCCGCTCCAGATCTTTTTCTTTGAGAAAACAAAAAGTTCGCGACTTCTTCCCTGCAACAGATCCATTAATTCTTCTGTTCCAGAGGAAGCTTTTGATTTAGAGAGCTTCATTTGGTCGTCATGTCTGCTCTGAGCCGCAACATCTGCACTGCAGCATCCAGGTCGCTTCGGCAGAAAGCTGCGAGGAACCCCACTGCTTCGGCCATCTCACGAGCTGTTTCTCGCCCTTCCATTGCTTCCTCCACCTCCAAATTCTCAGGTCTACAGCAGATTTCGAGGTCCGCAGCTTTCTCCACCATGTCTCCTCTCCAAAGCGGCGCTCCTGCGCCGACAAGTGCAAACAAATGGGATCCGGAGCTGGTTGATATGGCGAGCTATATCCACAATTACAAAGTCGACTCCGAACTGGCAGTATGTGATTCCTTGCAATAACCTCAATTGAAGCCTCATCAATCCCCTTTCCAAGCTATTGGCTGCGTTTAGCCCCAATTGGAGAAGCAAGGGCTTACCCGACACATAGTTCGACACGGCCCGCTGGGTTTTCCTCGACACCATCGGTTGCGGTCTCAAGGCTCTGGAATTCAAGGAGTGCACGAAACTTCTCGGGCCCGTCGTTCCCGGCACCATTGTCCCTAATGGCACCCGTGTCTTCGGCACTCCGTACCAGCTGGACCCCATTCAGGGCGCCTTCAACATCGGCGCCATGATCCGGTGGTTGGACTTCAATGACTGCTGGCTGGCGGCCGAGTGGGGCCATCCGTCCGACAACTTGGGCGCCATCCTCGCCGTTGCGGACTGGATCTCGCGAACGAACCGTGCCGGCGGCAACCTCGGCAACGGCAAGATCCTCACGGTCCACGACGTGCTCGAGGCCATGATCAAGGCCCATGAGATCCAGGGATGCTTGGCGCTGGAGAACAGCTTCAACAAGGTCGGTCTCGACCACGTGGTACTGGTCAAGGTCGCGAGCACGGCGGTCGTGGCGAAGATGCTCGGTTTGAACGAGTCACAGACCCGCGATGCTATCTCCCAGGCGTGGGGCGATGGTCAGTCCATGCGCACTTACAGGCACACCCCGAACACCATGAGCCGAAAGAGCTGGGCTGCTGGTGATGCTTGCCAGACCGCCGTCAACCTGTGCTTGAAGGTCCAGGCCGGTGAGGGTGGCATGCCGTCCGTCCTCAGCACCCCGACCTGGGGCTTCTATGACGTGAACTTCGGCGGCAAGCCGTTCGAGTTCCAGAGGCCGTATGGCAGCTATGTCATGGAGAGCGTTCTGTTCAAGGTCTCCTACCCTGGTAAGTCTCCTCAATTGTCCGCGTAACTGGGGATGTAGCTGACTTGAGCCAGCCGAATTCCATTCCCAAACTGCCGTCGAGGCTGCTCAGCGCCTCAACAAGAAGCTCGCGGCTCTGGGCAAGACCGCTGCCGATATCGAGGAGGTCGTCAACCGAACTCACGAGGCTTGCATCCGCATCATCGACAAGCAGTTCAAGCCCATGGACAACTTCGCGGACCGCGACCACTGCGTCCAGGTATGCACCTTACCCCTCTATATTGCTAAACGAGCATTCGATACTAACAGCAAATAGTATATGGTTTCCACTATGTTCGTCTTCAACCGCCTCGAGGCCACCGACTACCCCGATGGCTCCGAAGCCGCCACCTCCGAGCTCGTCGAGAGCCTCCGCCAGCGCATCCGCTGCGTCGAGGACCCGCAGTTCACCGCCGACTACCACAACCCCAACAAGCGCACCATCGCCAACGCCCTCACTGTCAAGCTCCGCGACGGCACCGTCCTGGAGGAGGAGGTCGTCGAGGCGCCGCTTGGACACAGGCTGCGACGTGAGGAGGCGAAGCCGGAGATCTTGAAGAAGTTCGAGAGGCACATCACCCCGCATTACGATGCCACGAAGGTCAAGGAGATGGTTGCATTGGGTCAAGATTTGGAGAAGCTGTCGGAGATGGAAGTTGATAAGTTTGTTGATTTGTACGTGACGGAGGCATAGAGGGCTTTTACGAGATTGTCGTTGATATAAATTGCTTCATTTGTCAAAAAAAATGTGGTTCGTTAGGCGCTAGCCATGTATTTTTCTTGAGGCGGCTAGATAGACCAAGTTTTACAGCAATTGGAGAAATTTGAAGCTCCATTTAACTTGATTTTCTTTGGCTATATTGGTTTTCGATATCAAACCCTTCATTTGCCTACAACCCAAACGAGTCAGTGCAATCCAACGTATCCACACATTGTACAACGGGATCAAAGGAGTATGGAAAAGTCAAATCACTCACCCAGCATGACCGCAGACGTCGCCCCAGCATCAACAGGTAATGCAATCCCTATACTTGTTAGCCCAACCCCTTTATCCATCGCGTTCATCTCACCAGTAATCCACCGACTCTCATCCGTCGCCAAAAACCGGATCGCACTTCCCGCATCCCACCCATTTCCCTCTGTTTTCAACAGACTCCTCTCCTTCCTCGCCGCCCGCATCTCCTCACTCATCCCCTGCCCATACATCATCGGCGTATATAGCATCCCCGGACACACGCAGTTCACCCGGATCCCCTCCGCCGCATGATGCGCTGCCATCGCGCGCGTCATGTTCACCACCGCCCCCTTCGCCGTCGGATACAGCAGATGCGGCGTTCCGCCCCGTAACCCCGCCACGCTCGCCATGTTGACGATCGCCCCGCGATATTGGCAGACCGGGGTGGGTTCGTTCTTCAGCATCGCGGGTATCGCGTGTTTCGCCATCATCACCATCGACCCGACATTCAACTCCATTCCCTTCGCCCATGTCTCCATCTCCACCTCCACCGCCGTCCCCCTCCCCCCCAAGCCCCCTACATTATTCACCAGCACATCCACCCTCCCCCATGCCTCTAGCGTCTTCTCAACAATGCTCTTGCAGGTATCTTCCGACGTGATGTCCCCGCTGAGCGCCAGCGCCTTGCCGTGGCCCTCCGACTCGATCATGCTAACCGTCCGCTGCGCGCGCGCGAGGTCGAAGTCTACGCAGGCGACCGCGCAGCCCACCTCGGCGAGGAGGATTGCGGCGGCGCGGCCGTTGCCGATGCCGTCGCCTTCGGAGCCGGCGCCGGTGATGATGGCGACTTTTCCGGCTAGGGAGCGGGTGGGGCGGGTGATGGTAGGGTCGGCCATGGTTGATTTCTTGGGCGGGAATTACGCACTACAATCGGTATATTGGTTAAGGAACTACTATGTAAGAATGCTGGATTCTGAGTCTCGCTCGGCAATTGTAGGAACCGAACTGCCATCTCCGGCTACTCTCATCCGAAGCCCCCCTGGTACCATACTTTCCTAGGGTTTTCGTACCATTATTCATTAATGCTCCCTAGGTGCACCGCGTATTTGGACGCGATGCCCAGCTATAAGCTCTACATATTCAAACAAATACGCGCTCCAGCAGTTCTAGCAGACCTTTAGTTTTACCAGCCAACCGTCCGATCCTAGCTCGGGTCTTTCGTTATTTCATGATGGTTCCTGTAGCCTCGTTCCACACTAGGAGGTTATACACCTAATCTCAACTGGGCTTATCTTGCTCAGATTCCTGTCATTCATCTCGCGTATCAACAAGTAGATAAACAAAAAGTTAGGATCATTCATTAAGCGTAGAACGCAGTTTCCCTACGGAAAGGTGCTAACTGCCAAAGCATAGTCCATGTCCTGTCCGACACACACGACGTAGCTCATTAAGGGGAATTCTACGGTCGCATGGCGATACTGGACCTCCGATCTCCCTTTCCCTTCCTCTTGATTCCCATCAACTGCAACATTTCGACCCAGAAACTCAGCGGCGGTTCGTAGAAAGTTAATTCATACGCATCAATGATTGGTGCCTCCCATATAAGATCCACCTGGCTTGACGGGATCCATTTCGTGCGCTTGACAAGCTTCCAGAAAATGAACAGGACAGGGGCCAGGAGAACCATGGTATAATTTATGAAGAAGTTCTTGACGCTCCAAGGTTTGAACGAGGCATAGCCATAGGTGAAGACGACGAATATCATCCAACACAATCCGATCCAGCCGCACCACTATGATCAGGATTAGAACAGTTCGTGCAATTCAAGTTGGTTCGAAACTTACTGGCTGCAGGTAACCAGTGTATGGCAACTTGCTCCGATCAAAGTTTTGCGCCTTAGTCGCGTAGTAAAATTTCAAGTATGTCGAGCAGATGACGATGAAATTAATAATACCGCCGGCAGTGATAAGGCTCACCTATAAGAGTTTAGCATAAGTCCTCTCCTGGAAACCTGTAAGGATTCAAACAACGTACTAGCCAACTAAGCACAGTGGCCGAATTGTTGCCCAGCTGAAGGAACGCCAAGCAGGGGAAGCACATCACGAAAGCGAAACAGACGATGGGGACGCCGCTTTTCGTGCAATACCGGAAAAAACTAGGCGCTTGTCCTTCAAGAGCCAGGCCATATAAGCTCCGCGTAGCGCAATAGGTATAAGTATTGCCAGCCGAAAAGATCGAAGTGACCAACAGCGCGTTGACCAGATGGGGTAGTCCCTCGACCCCAAGGTTTTGCATCGCAATGACGTATGGCGAAGCAGAAGCTGTTCCTGATCCGCCTGCATCGCCGTTGATAATCGCAAGTAGCGTCGGATCGTTGCGAGGAAGAACAATGCTAACGGCCAGAGCGCCGCCCATGAAAAACAACCCGAAGCGGAAATAGACGGTTTTGAATGCTGACTTGATGTAGGTACGCGGCCGCTTCGCTTCTGCCGCTATCATCGCGATGTACTCGGGCCCAACGACCGCGAAAGAAGAAGTCCAGAGTGCTGCGAGGAAGCCCTCAAACCGCCCTAGGGAGCCGGTGGTACGATATTCGGCGAAAGCGCCAGGGTCTCTCCAGTAACGGAACCCGTAAGCATCCTAAGTGAGATTTAGATGACTATTCAGCTGCAATTTGCTGATTAGACGTACATGCTTAGGATTGCCGCCGACCATTGTCACGAACGTGAAGGAGAACAAGATGATGATCAGTATGACTTTGCCGCCAGAGAGCCAGAACTCGGATTCACCATAGTAATGCACTGCAAGCGCGTTAAAGACGCTATTGCCAGATTTTAGCATTCATTCTCCAAAACATTGTCTTCAGGATCTGGGGATAGGTTTCAAAGGGAACGAAAATGGTATTTCTCACGCATAGCAGACGATACATACTGCAATTACGGCAGCCGGTGGGATATCATCCCGCCAATACGAAAGCACTGTGCTTATAGCCGTAATCTCGAAGGGGATGAGGAGGGCTTCATAGAGGAAGAAGTTCCATCCTGCCATGACCCCAAACGCATCGTCGACCCATTTCCCGGCGAGACGGATGAAGCCTCCGGAAACAGGCATGTAAGTTGACATTTCGGCCGCACAGTTATTCACTAAACCCAACATAATTGAGGACAAGGAGAATGCAAGGAACAACGATGCAGGACCACCATTGGCAAGACCGGCATTGATACTCACAAAGAGCGCCGTTCCGATCGAGCCTCCAATGGCGATGAGCTGGATTTGTCGATTGCCCAGATGTCGCTGAAGATGGTCGGCATTGTCTTCGACTTCACCGGCATTATGGTAGTAGTCGGGTGGTTGTATTTGAGGGTCAATGACCTTTTCATCGAATTTCGGTTCTGCCATGGTTCAATTGCATCTGCGGGGTCGACTGGAGAAGGAGCATGCGAAAAAGAGGGAGGATTGAGCGAAAGAACGCGATCTTACGCCGGGAACGGCGCCGTCTTATGCGGCACAAAATCTAACAGCATCACAGCAAGGATGAGCGGAGATCTACGTAGCAATTAGAAACGCTATCCACGGGACCACAGATCTAGGTGATAGGCTGCGGTACTGCGGTACAGCCGTACAGGAATCCTACGGGAAGAATTAGGAGGGTTGAATACGACCCACTTCTACTCTAGGCTGGAGGGTTAAGCTCGCCAAACTGCATCCAATGAGAGACCTGCGCCGAGCAGAGGGAAAGACTCAGAGTCTCCCACCCCCACGAACCACAATCTTCCTCCAGAAACCTGAGAAGGGACCAATCTCTGGCATCATCGCTTCCCACATTCACGGTGTTCTGATGCGGTTGCTGCATGCCGTCGCGATAAGGTTAGAGTCGTTGCACGGGTCACCAAAGATACTAGATAGAGCCTCACGCGACAGAGTTCTAAGCCTTGACTAGAGGTTCCGTACACCAGCGGAAGCAGCGGCTCATCCGTCAGTGGCGTTATTCAGCCTAGTTAGAACAGTCTTAGTCCATCCGATCCCTGGGTGAGTAGTACTGCGTAGTAGTAGATGCAGCCGCAATGATCAAAGCTAATTTTGTAGATGCGGTTAACTTCGTGCATGCTTTTTGGGATGCATGGCATTCTGGGATATCCAATCATGTTTCTGATTAAATATTAGTCTAAAAGATATTAGCCAATAGGCTTCTATTAAATGGCCGCACGTAAGACACTAAACTAAAGAGAGCGAAAGTAGAGTGAGAATTACGATTCTGCGCCCAATATCGCCCCATGTGGAGTCTAATTCCGACCAGGAATTCAAAATCCTGAAAGACTTTATGGAGACGCACAGTGTACTACGCCCGAAGGGTTCAAAACGAACCAGAGAACCAGCAACCAGCCATTTTGACTCTTGAGGGGCTGGAACGGATGGTGACACGTCCATTTCGTCTCTCCTCCTTCGACCTTTCAATCCGCTACTGTCCGTCGTGACGCAATGGAGCAAGAGGTGGGATTCCCGAGACCCCAACCTCGTCGAAAATCCACACATCAACTTTACTGCCTTTTTAATTGGGGCAGGAAGTGAGATACTTCGTCGAACATCGACTTGAATTCCTACGTCCTATCGCGGACTTGGATTTGATGGCGCTCTTCCTCTTTTCCTCTTGAACTCGCTCGATCAGTTGTTCTGTATTGGGAAACCCCTAGAAGACGATGAAGCATTTGATATGATAATGCGATGGGGCATTTCACAGAATCAGAACATGGACTTGGATCTCATATTGCAGGACGTCATCTTAAAGGTTAAACCAACCTGAACCCTTCTATCCGTTCTTGACAAGACGGTTGTCATGGAAATTTAAAGATTATCCTTGAGCTCTAACTAGATTCGCACCATGTACAAGCTTATTACTAAGGATCTTGGATGGGTTGATGTTTTTCTAGGAGCAGCAGTCACTGGAACAACGACTCAGAGAGCTTGCAGTTGGCGATTTTTGACGTCTTCGATGTCGTACTAACCCAGTGCGATATCAACTTTACCTACAAAGGCTGTACCATCTGGGGACACCTGGTCCACACTTTACTGGGCAAATTTGCAAGAAGTGGTGTAAAAGAGCGGGTGTTTCACACCCTTCGATGTTGCATGGAAGGTAGCGCGGATATTATATCGATCACATCCCATTACGGCGGGGATACTTTTTTCATCGACGACCATCTAGTTCTATATCGAATAGCGCTCTATACAAGCTAGAGAAAATAACTCCAGAAGTTGGATGGGTGGAAATTTATGAGACGGCGTTGGCAGATGAATCAGGGCACCAATTTGTTCCAGACTGACAGTCTTCACCACCGACAACTGGAGGTCCACAGGCATTTTCTCTACTGAACGATTCCAAGGAACCCATCCTAACACAGATTGAAGGAGGTTCACAAAGATTAGGCTGGTTTCAATGGGTGTGGTGTTGATGACCTACAAATCTGTTGTTCAAGCATTTGAGGAAAGTCTGTGGCAATGGAGAATTTCAGGCGACAGTCAATCATAAAAGGGGAATAAACAACTTGATTTGTGTAGTACAGTCAACCACCGCTATAACGATTACCGCTACAGCGATATTCGCGTTATAGCGATAAGATTCCCTGCACGGATTCTCAATCAATGCTGCCAAGAAAATTCGTTTTAGCGATATCCGCGTTATAATGATTGGATTCGCCTGTACGGATTCAATCGTTATAGCGAAGGTTGACTGTATTGGTTAGATACTGTCTGAAGGATTAATAAGAGTGGCCTAATGTAGCTATTGGAATCCAGGGCCATTGTGAGCACAAAGGCATGGACTATTCCCAGAACTTCTTAATATATTGTTCAACCGTAATGGCCTTGATGTCCGGAAACATCTCATTGAGTACGGGTCGAATGACCCCTTCCCCTTCCACGTCATGAGTATCCATGAGCTCCAATTGTAGCCACATCCTCCTCCAGTAACCGCTGTCTTCGTTTTTCAGATCCTCTTCGAGCTCCTGCTCCACCAACCGCGGACTCCGCTTCTCGATCTCGATCTCCCTTCCCCTTATCTTCTCGATGATCTTCGCAATCTCATCAAACCGCAACGTCTCCCCCGCCATCCCCATCTCCGTCGTCCACTTCCCGTCTGGCAGGCAACATGCCGCCGCAACAAACCGTCCCACATCCCCTATCTCCGTCAGCGTGATCCTCGCCGGCTCCCCATCCTCCCGCACCGCCATCTCCATCCGCATCTCCCCCACATAAACGAACTTCGCCCCGTTATCCTCCATCCCATTCAATGCCTCTGCTTCCCTCTCGCACCCGTACCCAAGATAGTTCATGAACATACCAACCGCGAACCGCGTCCATTCGAAGCCGGGGTGCTCCTTCGCCGCTCGCTCGCAGAGTGGCCAGAGGGCGGATTTCGGTTTGAGCATGTCGACGCACAGAACGCCGGCGGGGCCGGCGGACCATTCGGAGGGTGCGAAGCGGCGGCAACCGGCTTGGAGGGCGGCCTGGAGGAGGGCGGATTCGTTTTCGACCCAGGAGCCTTCTTTGTTGAGCGTTGTGGAGATAACCTGGCTCGATTTAGAGAACGCGACGATAGAGCGGGTTAGGTGTATGGACGAAGCTTCAGAATCTACAGGCGTAGAACCGGATATTGCATAGACATAATACAGATTGTAAGCATGCGAGGCGGTACGCTTACCGTATGGACTCCTTGAAGCGCGGAAACTAAGCTGTCTACGGAGCCGTAGTCCACCTTGCGGATCTCAACTGGTAGGTCGGTGAGCCATTGCGGCGTCTTCGATGTCATCCTCGAGAGGACAATTGGAGTGTGATTCGGGTGCTCATGGAACGCCGTCACGATAGACCAGCCAAGGCCCCGAGAAGTGCCTCCAGCAACTGCTACGATGACCATAATGACCGATCTTGATTATCCGGATACGATGGTGGACTAGCACGAAGATTGAAAGTACTTATCACAAGTGGAAGAGACCTCAACGGTTGTTTGTGAAGTTAAAGTAGCTAGATGGAAGCTTCATCGACTTGACTCATCGCGAATTCGCAATAGGCGCCTCAGAAATCTCGGTGCGTAGTAGGATATCTGTACGATGACATCAGATAAGGCGGTACACTATGTTGGATTGGTACGTACCCTTTGTGCTGATGTTTCTAATCCGACCGAGAACCGTAAAGGGCTGAAACTGCCAACTGGAACCATCTAGCTCAGAATTGGATAGTGGTGGTTGTAATTAGTATGCACATTCAAAAATGGAAACCATCCTAATCCCAGCATTCCAACAACTGAGCCACGAACCTGGCAGCACGAAAATGCTCAATGACCAATTGCCCCATCTACCCTATCGGAACATCAGCAGGGTGAACCTGAATTACGAATTCGTACTCTAGTCTTGGGTTATGGCATATCCACTCGTCAGGCAAGCCCATGATGTCGATAGTACTATTCAGTCTGTCTGCCATGAAGCGCTGCTAATCTAAGAGAAGGCGCCATTCCGGGCTTCCTCTATAATGAACCGCTGTAATGCAATTTCATGTCTCGGTCGTATCGTGATAGTCGTGAAGTACGCTGCAGTCCCCCTGTCCTGGCCGGAAGCAGAACCCCTGAGAAAGGAAAATCTTGACACCGAATAACAACCTGACGCCGTAGAGCGAAGAGAAAGTGTCGCAGGTTCAGTTACTCCGCGCTAAGAACGTCCGTTCATCGATCCGAAGTCCCCGTTGAAATGGAACCCATCCCATATATTTCGTGATCATCATCAACCGACTTCCACGTCCATCCCGTCTCCATCCTCGTCACCATCCCCCTCTTCTTCCTCCCCAGACGTCACATCCCTCACCCTCTCCCTCCCTCCCTTCTCCGTCCCACCATACCCAAACCGTCCCCCAGCCAATCCCCCCACTCTCTCCAACTCTTCCCCCCCCACCACCCGCCCCTCACTATCCACCTCCCCACACAGCTCCAGCACCTGTCGTCGTCCCAACTGCCGAAACCCCGCCGTGCGAACCACCCGCCCCCAATGCGTCATGCAGAACCCCGCGGCCCGACGACGCAGCCACGCCTCGTTTGCCACCGACGCACGATCCCAGATGACCGCCGCGTTCTGCACGTCGATTTCGCGGGAGAGGCGGTGCACGCAGAGTGCCCGCAGCCGCGGCATGTCATAGCACGACGCTAGGACGAGCATGCCGGCAACGTCGGGGAGGGAGGGTCCGGGAGGATCGTTCGCGGATGCTGGGGAGGGGTTGTGGCTGGCGCCGGCGGGTTGGCGGCGGCCGGTGGAGGGGGATGGGAGGTTCAGGGAGCTGGAGGAGCGGGAGGAGGGGGCGGTGCCGGGGGGTGGGGCGATGCTGTCGGTGTAGAGGTAGAGGAGGAACGCGCGGACGGCGGAGTAGGGTTCGGGAATGTGCATTTTCTTGGTGTGGAATTCGAGCATCTGCGCGGCGTAGAGGCGAGAGAAGTGCGGCCAGCGCGCTTGGAGGATGAGTTTGTGGACATGGATGGGTGGGCTGGTTTGAGACTGTGCTGCGGAGAGGGAAAGGGGGGTGGGTCGGTTGAGGGATGCGTGGGTAAGCTCGGGGGAGGAGGATGGTGACGATGGAGACGACGATGGTTCGTCGAGCTCTGTAGTGATGATGAAGTCGGTGCCACTCCCGGTGCCTGGTGACAGATCGAAGAATTTGGCAAGGTCCGTGCCGATAGCGGAGAGGTGGCTAAATCGATGCGTATCAGATGCTGGGAGGACCGATTTTTCAGACTCGAACATGGCGTTGCCAAAGAGGCCGAACTTCCTCAGGTCAATATGCAGCACGTCGCTTAGATACTCGTCGGCAGGGTTATTGGGTTCCGTGGGACACCCGAGAAGCCAGGCTTGTGTCCCGTCTTCATTCATGGCGCAGTAATGCCAGCGATAGCTCATATTGAAGAGCTCGCGGCCGTCTGCAACACGCTGCCAACGAAGAGTCTCTAAGTCTAAAGCAGAGAGGCTGGTGTCGGTAAAATTGGAGATACTTGCAGCGGTGTGGAAGTCGAGCAAACACCCAGATGAGTACGCATGGAAATGTTGACCAAGCGTCTGCGATGGAAGATTCGGGCTCGCCACAAACTTGATCGATGAGATCGAGCCTGGAGCAAGCGGTAAAGATCGAGGGTTGATCCCGGAATTGACTTGTACACTGCTAGAATTGGCCGTGTATCCGGTCGAGCCCGGGGTCGGTTGGGTTTGTTGTGCATATCCCAATCTCTTGGGCTGTCCATTTCGATCTAAGGTGCCGTACGACATTTGCGATTCGAAGGCGACCGAGCCGCGGAGGTCAAGCCACCATAGTTCGCTGTTTCGCTCCATATCCTCGTTGATCCCGCCGAACACCCAGATCCGACCGCCCCAGATCCAGCAGGTGTGGTCATAGCGATGTACCAGCCTCCACGCTCGTGACCATGTCCATGTCTTGAGGTCCAAATAGCAGATATCGTCGAGGACCCAGCTATCCTGCCCGCTCATGCCTCCCATGATCCAGAGTTTCTGATCATGAATTACTGCTGCATGACGAGCGCGTCCTCGTGGAGCGGTACCGTGAAGTTCAGGTTGTGTCCAATGGAGCGTCTTGAGGTCGAGGATGATGACATCCGACAGATGTAAACGGTGCTCGTTCTCGCCTCCATAGACAAGAAGTTTATCTCCCTGCCATAAAGTCGCGGTATGGCCCATACGAACACCCGGGATATCGCCGAAGTTATCTACTAGACTCCATTGTCGGGTAGCCAGGTCGAGCTTGAGAACATGGTTGTACACTGCAAGGTGTTAGTACAATCGTAGTCGCTTTGGATGCTTTCCTCACCTTCATCCGTATATTGATCAAAACCGCCAAAAGCGTATATCTGGTCAGTTCCGACGTAGGTCACCGAAGCATTCACTAAGCATGCTGGTCGAGCGCCAACGGTGGTAATGATCTTCGGTTTGTAGCCATTGTCGCTGCTACCCCTGCGAGGACGGACCGGACTCGCAGACATGAGATAGGTATTGTTCGACGACCCGGATGCGGGGGTTTGGGCGCTCCCAGCGACGTTCTGGGGAGTGTTTGAATGGTTGGAAACGAATGGTGGAGGACGACTGTCCATGTTTCATAGGATATAGATCTATGTAGGGATTGCTCTTCAGTCAGACATCGAGAGACATGTCTCCGTATTGTCCAAGGAAGGGTTGAAAACAATGGTAAGCGGGACGATATCACGACGGTGAACACAAAATGTCGGACTGGTAGGAGGGGGCTGGCAAATGTCAATCGTGGCATCCCAATCCAGACTAGTGTGTCTCGGAACGTTCCGCCCGAGGTTCCAGCTGACTGGAGTTCCATCTCCGCTCCGCTCCAGTCTTTCCGCCCCGCTCTCCCCAGATGGCTGTTGGTGATCATCGAGAGCAAGGCTCGTAGATCCCAGTAGAGAATCTGCGGTTCTGTTGCAGCATCATGCCGATACCAGAGGACTCGATAATTGAATTAGGGATGGATTGGCTTGGGATCGACTATCGGAAACCATTCGTGGCCCTGCACTCCGCGGTTCTTGCAGTGTACGAACAGCGGGAGTCCAAGGGAATAACCATGCAATTACCAACTTCCACAGGTTGCAGCTTGAAGTTATTCCTCCCAATAAGACTTGAAACTCATGAAAGCCTCGCAATGATGGGATCGGACCTCCTTGATGCTGAACTTCGTTGCCCAGTGGATGACGTTGGCGGCTCAACCACCGCACTGCCCCTCCACCAATCCACCTCCGTCGTCGCTGTGCCAACCAACCCCAAACATAAAACCTTCCTCCGCTCCCATCACCATCCATTTCTTTCTACACCTTTACAAAACCTTTGTATCACACATCTTGCATACTTTACGAAAAACTCAAAAACACCCCCTCAGTTATTTGCATTTTGCATTTTGCTTCTTGATCGTTGCCTGCATTGCATATCCTCCTCAACACCTCTCTAATTCCGCTCCTCATCACTCCTTTTTCGGAATGGCGACAGTGGACGTTTGCACGCCTATCAAAGGCCGTCAATTCTCCATCCGTACTGCTGGCAGTCGGATGCCGCTGACCCCTTCCCCAAAGGCCCGCAATTCAAACATCACCGTCTCCAAAACCCCAGAGTCAATTCACACCACCCCCACCTTTGCCCATGCTATCTCCAAGTCAACGATACGGAAGTCTGCCAAGTCGAACATTGCAAAGGACTCCCCTCGAAGACTTGATCTCGGTCTATCCGAATGGGCTCTGACGGGTACTGGTACATCACCATCAAAAGCTCGACCAACAAGTAGCCGCATCCGACCGAAATCCACAGTTCGGGTTCCCTTCAATGCCGTTGACCGATTCATCCCAAACCGGACAGCAAGCGAAGAGAGCTGCAAGATGGGCATCAACAAGCTGGACCGACCGAAGTCAAGCTCAAGTTCGGCGTCGGCGGGTTCATCAGTGCTGGCTTCCTCGGCAGCGGATGCATTCACTCTTGGAGGCCATGGATCATCAGACGACTTGACTCTATCCCTTGACGGACTGAATTTGAACGACCGAGACGATGACGGAAATGAGCGGAAGTCCTACACAAAGCCCGCGCGGGACACGGCCGCTTACGAATCGACACTTGCATCTGCATGTGGCATTAATACTAATACTCGCATTCTAGCATTCAAGCCGGCTCCACCAGAGTCATCCAAACCGATCGACCTGCGGTCACAGTACAACCGACCTCTCAAGCCAGCCAATTCGATCAATGGGCAGCTTCGACGACGCATCCTTACTTCTCCTGAACGAGTCCTGGATGCTCCGAGCATCGTCGATGACTATTATCTCAACCTTCTGGATTGGTCTTGCAATAACCAGGTTGCGATCGGCTTGGGTCAATCTGTCTACATCTGGTCAGCCGAGAGCGGAGGGGTGAATATGCTTCTTGAGTCGACTCCTGACACATACGTCTCGAGCCTCAAGTGGAGCGGTGATGGAGCCTACGTCAGCGTCGGGCTTGGTACCGGCGAAGTTCAGATTTGGGATGTGGAAGAGCAGACCAAACTCCGAAGCATGTACGGGCACGAGTCTCGGGTCAGTGTTCAAGGTGGGTTCAAGTTCCTAATTCCAATGCCACTGTCATCGAACCACGCTAACCGTAATCCCCAGCATGGTCCAAGCACGTTCTCTCAACCGGTGCTCGCAACGGCTGGCTCTTCAATCACGACGTTCGCATCGCCCAGCACAAGATCGCCGACCTCGAGTCCCACACCGGCGAAGTTTGCGGCCTTGACTGGCGCGCCGACGGCGCCCAACTCGCGTCGGGCGGCAACGACAACCTCGTCTCCATCTGGGACGCCCGCAGCCTCGCAGCCCCTAAATTCTCTAAGACGAACCACAACGCTGCCGTCAAGGCTCTGGCCTGGTGCCCTTGGCAGAACAATCTTCTGGCAACTGGCGGCGGTAGCCACGATCGTCATATCCATTTCTGGAACTCTACGACCGGCGCCCGTGTCAACAGCATCGATACCGGAAGCCAGGTTACCAGCTTGCGGTGGTCGACCGGGTACAAGGAGATCGCCTCGACCTCCGGGTTCCCCGACAACTCGATCAGCGTGTGGTCCTACCCATCGCTCGTCAAGAACATCGAGATCCCCGCCCATGAATCTCGCGTCCTTCACAGCTGCTTGAGCCCCGATGGACAGACGATGGCGACCGCCGCGGCGGACGAGAGTCTGAAGTTCTGGAAGATCTTCGAGAAGAAGAGCGGTGGACCGGTGGCGGCGCCGTCGAAGGGCGTGGCAGGTATGGAGAGGGGTGGCATGTTGAGGTGAAGTGGTGAAGTAGGGATAGGGGGTACTATGGCTCATTAATCATTCTTGTCTTCGATTGAGAGGTCTCTCGCGTTGGAAACCACATTAGTCAGAGCGGCTGCCGCATCCATCGGGAACGCCCATGAGGACTACGTAAGAGGACGTCGGTGTATCGGTTTGAGGATGTTTGTTCGAGTCACGCAAGGGAGAAGACGCTGTGGAGGCTGAGCTGTGCGAGATGGGGTGGACGGGCCATGCAGCCGCGAGGGGATTAGACGCGGACGACGCTGGGAGAGACCGAATCAAGACAAGTACAGGTAGGTCAAATTTCCATAGTGGTATCTCGGGGCTCTGGGCTTTGGAGCGATTAGCTTGGGGTACATAACAGCGGCAGAATAGCGAGATATCCTTTGAATAATTCATCTCTCTCAACTTTAACAATTTGATTCCCATTCGTGACGGAATGACGAAAATCAGTTTGGCGCGATGGAATATTGCAGCCTCAGGCTCCAAAGCATAAACATTTGTGCCTCCGTGGGTCACATGCACTGCCAACCACCTGACAGCACTCCTGGCTTGGGCCTTGGGGCTTCATCGATCTATCTTTCAACCTCCTCTCAAACCTGCAGTCCTTCAAACAACGACTCTCGAATCTTTTCATAAGTTCTGCCCACTAGCCAGCGGTCCATGGTCCGCGACAGTGGCGCTGAATTTCATTCATAGAACGGGGGTCACTCATCCGGTGTCTAACGCGAAGCGCTTCATGATCCAGCTCTGAAACGCGACTGCGCCGCCGACCAACATAGAAATCTATTTCCACTTCCCTTCACGAAGCGCTTCAGGTGTTCATCATTGGGAGCCACCGCTCGGCTCAATAGAAACCGGACTAATGACAGGGTCAACATTTGCAACGAGCCTCCGATCTGTTGCGTTGCCCAGGAATACCTCAAACGCGTGCTAACGATAACGGCTTCAGGAGTCGCGTTGGAGGGCTTCGCTTCGGTCAAGGGATCTGTTGAAATAATGTATATCATTCCTGATTCTGTTCTGTTTCTTTTGTGTTGCCTTTCTATCTCAACTCATTCTCATCCAGCGACGCTCGCTTTGTGATTCTTTAAAGCGTGTCATTGCGTTTTCCTGAGTGTACTTTCATCATGCGGTCCATCCTCTCGTTCCGCCTGGTTCCTATATTCGCTCTATCGGCTCTCTCTGCTGCGCAGCAGTCCGTGCCACAAGATTTGTCACAGAGCTTTCGGCAAAATACTGTTCAACTACAAGTCAGCTATACCGGTGATGCTTCAAACGGGTTTGCAGATGGCTCAAGGTTCACAGCGCAACGTATGGCATCTTTAGCTTCATGAATATCTCAAACTTATAGGCTAATGTCCGTGGTAGAATGCGCAAACACGCCAGCTTTTGGTCTCGGCGATTCCTCCGGGATAAGCACGACAGCAAATTTCGTAATCATGATGCTGGACACGACCTGCTCTCAGCGGGTCATCCACTTCATGCAGCCGAACTTCAAGTCATCAGGGGACAGGCTCCAGCTCGCATCCCAAGCCCAATCGCTGGTCGACTACGTTGCGCCAGGCAGCCGAGGCGAAAAGGGTCAGCGACAGTACACCTTCCTCATGTTCCTTCAACCAAGCTCCGCCCGAATCAACTCGGTTCCCAATGCTGGTGATGTCGTGGACGTCGCGAGTCTACAGACGTCCAATGGGCTTAGGCCGGCCATCGCCGGTGTCGCGATGCGGATAGATCTAGGGGGAGATGCGGACTGTGGCAATAATAATGGGGGAGGCCAGAACGGTGGAGGCCAGCAGCAACAACCATCGCCACCCCAACTCACCACGGCGCAAGCAGCACCTCCTAACCAACCCGCTCCCCTTCCACCTCAGGTGCAGACCACACAGCAACCCCAACAACCACCTCCAGCGCAGACTACTCGACAAGTCCAACTGCCCCCATCTCGCCCGACCACCCAGATCGTCGCCCCTCCCCCCGCTGATCTGAATCTAATCGATAGCCCCGTCCCTTCCAGCACCCCGGCTGCGACCGCACCAAGAGCCTCCTCGTTGGTATTCATCACTAGCATTGCCAGTGTGGTGTCCTTCACTGGCCCAATCAATCTTGGTCCGATACCCACCGAGCTTCTTGCCGGAGTGAACACCCGCAGCGGTGGATCGGCCGCGGCGCAGTCAGGAACTGGCATCACTCCAGCGGCTGCTTCGAGCGGCGGGGTGGTTCCGTTTGCTGGGGCTACTAGACAGTTGGAGCGGAGCACCTGTTTGGTCCTTTTGGTGGCTGCGCTTTTGGGGGTCTTCCTAGGTTGGTAATATCTTGTCCTGATGCTCGTTTGTTTTCTTTTGCAAATCTAGGGATTGTATTGATAGATACCCGTAATGTATGTGGATTGAATTGTCCTATAGTCAATGCCGCCATGCAAGCTATCCATATGCTATGAGGCTATGACCTTCGGCCCAAATGATCATAATCCGGGCAATAACGGACTTCGGCAAGTGAAGGCCTTCAGCCGGAATAGTGGTTGGGATACCCGTAAAATCAGCGGAAGGTCAGTCGAGTCAGTCAATAGCCAATGTCAATCACCATCCAGGTATAGCGACTGAGTATGTACCTATAACTAGCTCGGAGATTACTACCATTGTTGAGTAGGCTTCACACAAGCAGCATGCGCTTCGCAACATTGGCTTTTCGTTCATAGTGGGTGTAGAAATGACTCCTAAATGAAAAGAGAAAGTGGAGTTAGAACTGTCATACACTAGACGCCAGTTCCCCTACCACCATGGCTCTAAGCTATCTATCATATACCATTCTGCTCTTCCTTACCCTTTAAGAGCTTGAATGAAACTTTGGCCAGCCCCCAGCTTTTGATTCCCATATACCTATACCTAAACCTTCGTCCATTAAGTCCTCTACAGTATACACTTCCCCGCCATCCAGATTGTTACTAAGAGCCGGACGAATAGTGACCTATGTGACTAAGGTATGTTACTAGCGCTACTATTCTGTCGAACTAAGATGTATAGAATTATACTAAACCGGATCCATTCGGATTTATATGTTGCGGAATACTGATAGAATATGGGAATCTGACGAAGGGTAGAAGATCTGGATGGGTGGCGAGGCAGCAAGGCAGCAAGAAGCTCGTGGAAATGAACACGATTGCCAATGAACTGGCTGATGCTGATCGTTATTTTCCCATATCTTTTCGTGGATATCAAAATGTAGTTAACTAACTAGTTAACTTAGATAACTGAGTTAGTTATTAGATAATAGCTTGTATACCCAGGTATGGGGTGCAACCATTTTCCGAAGTTTTGGCGGTTGTGCTTGAGTAAAATTCTATATAGTCTGAAAACAGCCGATTCATTTATCAATCACCTCACCGGCTATGGCGCAATTGGCTAGCGCGTGCGGCTGTTATTTGACACCGCAAGGTTCTAAGTTCGAGTCTTAGTAGCCGGGAAATTTGATTTTTTTGTTTACATTTTAAATATTATCATTCTTTTCAACCGTAATGATTCCTGAATAAATCATGTGGAGCAAGAAGGTTCATAGTTGCGTCGCCTTACAATAGGTAGTGATAGAAGCGAATTTTTTTTTATCGTCGGCCAAATAAGGGATGACCATCACATCAGTGGCGCTGAAGGCAGGAGGTGGCGAAGATAGAATGTTGGAAATTTGGATACAGATAATGGTATGTATCCCGTATGGGCCCTTTGGTATGATATTGAAAACGACATTGCAGCGTATGGTAGATTATGAGTGTGAAGCACTGGCTTAGGATATCAAGGCCCATGTACATGTACTACTGGTAGAAGTTCAACCATATCGGATCGCTAAAGCCACAAATACTTGTACATATGATCGAAGTGTGGTATTATAAGCCACTCAATCATAGATTGATATAATAAACGAGAATCTATAATATGTAGTATAGAGTTTATTGCTATCCATCATTAACAGTTCCCTCATTGTATCTAGTGTTTAGTGCTGTTAAACTTCCTTTTTAAGACTTGGCCGGCGATTATTACCTCTCTAACTTTTGCTCGCTCAGCACTTCTTCATCATATCTCTACATCTATACTTCGACTTTAGATCTCAAGCTTTAAATATACACACACATCGCCCTAACAAACTCATCTTGAATCTCCCAAGTATTGATGGGATTGATATTCTACAGCATAGAGCGAAAGATACCGCGAACGAGATCCTTCTCTTCACAGCTGATATGAACAACAAGTCCAAGTAAACCACGGATGCCCCGAAATGACACTATCTAGGGATCAAGAAATACCCTTCAGTTCACGTATATGTTCTGTCTTTATTGCACTCTCCTTCTCCTCTCTGGTCAAAATGTTATCTCTTTTTCACACACGATGTCCCCATCGACTCTTAGTGCCATGCAGTCATTCCATCGCAAAATGGAGTTTACCGGAGCACGCACTGAGAGGGACGAGGGACGGAAGTAGAGTGGTCCGGCATCTCTCCAGCATAAAGTCGTAACAGATCAGATGTGACTATGTACTGGTTAACTCTGCAAAATGTCGCCTCTGATCAAGTCACCAGTGGTATCCCTATTGAATCTCACAGTTCTTATACGTACCAACCAAGAGCCGTCTTTGGCGCTTGTAGCCCCCAGATTGGGGAGGCTTTGAGAAATGAGCACTAATAACAGGGGGCGTTTCGCGGAAATGATTCCGGATGCCAGGTCTACTCTAGTCTCTAGCCCATCGTCACCAGCGCTACCTTAACAACTTCTCCACTATCACCAAATCCGGTTGGAATCACGCATTCTCCGCCGAGTATGCAAGTTGGTACCTAAACGATGTCAGGCCAAGAGACGCCATTGGTGATGGATGAAGGGAAAACTTGATCAAGATACTCATGACCCGAATACCCGGAAGCAGGTAAAACCCTCTGCATGAAGGTTGATGAATAGTCCATTCACTCTGCAGTCTTCAGCCTGGGGGATTTGGCTCAACCAGTCATTTTGCCGAATGACCGGAAGGCAAAGGATCGTGCTCGATTTCTCCCAGCGTCTCTCCATGCTGGATATGCGCGAGTGCGACAGACCAAGAACCAGGATCCTTCATGGTGGTCTCGCGCATTGGGCGCCTAATTCCCCAAGCCCTATTCTGGGCCGCGTCAAAAGCACATGCTTAACGCTTGACGTCGTATCTGCATTCTGCAGTAGCCTCTGCAGTGGACGGTAATGCCAGGAGTCAGGACGTGTGTTGGCTTTTCGCTTTTTCTGCTTTTCATCACCAGACTGGGAAAGGCTTCTGGGCTCTGGCCAACCGAATTCAATAGCCCCTCGAAACAAACTCGTGGGTGGTGCCATATGTACGAAAGGATTGGGTCGTCGTCACGATGGGGAAGTATTGAGCGATGACACCAGGAGTTCAGGACTCACTGCAACTCCATTATCGAAAATCGAATGGTTCCAACTTTAAAACAGGAGTGGATGTACAATCATCTCGAAGTTTGCCATGAATCGACGTCCCACTTTGTAGTCCTCGACGGGTGAAGTGCTGAACGGAGACGGAACCTGCTCCACAGTCGATGTTACCCATTCATCTCGGCGAGAATTAATTTCGCCGAAGTGGCGTAGATACTACACAGTATAGTATCCAGGTTTTCAAAAGGATCGTGGTGTCCCGCCAGCGGAAACAAAAGGACGATGATCGCCCATTCAACCTGCATGCCATCTTCACAACGATGCAAACGACGCAACGACGCAACGGTCGTCTCCGACCAAAAAAGAACAGATGCCGATCCGTGCCCCCGGGCAGGCTGAGACCGGGCACCAGCGTATCTCGCTCAGAGATCGGAGGATTCCCCATTGGACGTTGTTGAGAAACTAGGGCAGAGATCATGAGAGGTTTCGCTTATTTCTGCCTTACGGGAACCAGTGCGAGATGCTAAAAGAAGCCGAGGGTGTCTTGGTCTTTAGCTGCTGGCTTCAGCGGTTCTAAAAAATAAAAAAAGACTTAACAATGGGGCATTAATGTAGCGCTAAGGTACTCCGTGAGTTCGTGCCTCGATCAGACACACATGCCCACATGCACAACGTGCGTGAGATGGTCCCGATCTTTCAGGACGTTTGTTTCAACTTTTGAAATTTCGGTTCAATCGCATCGTCGTTCTATAAGCGATCATCGTTATGCAAAGCTTCGAAGATTAGGTTTTGGACTCCTATTATGACTTACCAGTCCCCATTGCTCAATGGTCAAATTTGCCCCCACCAATCCTGCCTTAGCTCTATCGACTTTCAGCTTTCATGTCACTTCGGTCCTTTGGTGCCATGTGCAGGTTGCAGCAGCCCATGTCGTATTGGTATTGTAGTTCCTTAATCCTTACGGATGAGGCGGCTAATAATGGAAAACAACCTGACGCTGCTGAAAATTTCCTTGCATTTCGATGGCGATTGAGATCGGTATTATTGGTCGTTGATATTCCCCCACAGTCAAAATATCGCTTTGTTCTGGTTCCCTAACCACGATATTCCCGAATTCCGTCATGAACCACGGAGTACTCCGTCGACCCGCGTCCGTACTAGCATCTCATTTTCATCATTTGCCTGGGTCTCTGGGGCGACTGGGGATGAAAACGCTGGTCCTCCGGTGCACCGGCAAAGCCTCCGCGCTTGTGCGACACCTTTCCTATCATGGTTTGGCCCTGTTGACGATAAAATGAACGTCCCTCATCCGCTCCCCACACCATCGGCTACGGGCTCTCACATCCCAACAGTCCAGTCCACTCTTGGCGGCACAGCGCCCTTAATTTGCAGATCCCACAACTATCGCTTATGGTGGCATGATCCGAGGGAATTTCTGGGTACATAGCGATTCCCAAGCCAAGGCCAGATTAGGTTTGACTTTTGAGAACGGCGTCAAGTCCGTTCGCTCACTCCGCTGCCGCAGACAAAGGGAGCAAAGGACTTCGAGTACTTTCTTAATTCTCATCTGTCCAATTAGTCCTAAATCAGGATCATTGATTATCATACATGTAGATATTAGCAGTCAGAAGCCAGATGAGGGTAATTGTTGGACAATTGCTTCTTGAGCTCCACGTGCTGACGCCAGCGAGTCCATGACTAGGGAAACGGATCACCCAAGAACCACGATCAAAGAATACAGCTGTGGCCCGTTGTCGAGGTGGCGTTGCTGGATCATGGGGCCGTTGGTTGATTGACCAATGATATGGACTTCGGACATTTCTGAAGACGCAATGGACTGTGGGCAGGCTTGACCGATGTGCTAGTCCTAAATTCGTGGCGATGGCTGATGAGCAACCAGTGAAGAGTCAAGAAACCGCTACGCATGGTCGATTGAGTACCTGGAGGCAAGGTCAAACCGTTTGGATAATGAGGAATTCACATGGAAAATTCACTAAAATAACATCAGAAAGCAATCAGTCGGACGATTTGGACGACATCCATAATTATTGAACGCCTTCTAGACTTTTACGGTTGGAGATGCATGAAAATACCAGGGCAGCGGGGCAGCGATGGAGCTGCTGGGCGCCATGTCAATGGTGACCCTTGATAACGGTTTTAATCCGCATTGTGGCGTTTCGGACAACACTCACAGCAGACCGGTTGGTGCATTGACCACATCTTAGCGGCTCCCATGAAGCACTGGTCTCTTGGAGGAAATTCAAGGTCATCGTGTCTTGGGGAGTTTGGACGTGGTCCCCTGAACAGTTGCACAACTCACAAGGAGTGGTGCAGCTTACGGAGGGCCGACTTATCACTCCACCAAAATGCATCCCATCAAACCATCACTAATCGCCAGCCTTGATTTCATGTATTGGCCTGGTGAAGAGATGCGAAAATAGGGTGCAAGATGATCTTCAATGGCTCAGGTCCTAACGACAACCCGCAACACACGAGGCACACAGCGGGACTTCTCCCTGACGGCGATCCTTACCGATCCACCCTGGTGTACCGTATATCTTGTCTCCAGTCTTTTCGTTGCTCCGCTCGGAGACAGCCTCGCGACTCACGTTGTACTTATCCAGTTCCTCAACTAAAAAATGTGGCAACGGGCAACTTACCCAGGTACCAGTTACTTCGGATTGAATACTAACCCTGTCAATCATCCCCACTTGTCTTTTTGTGTTGTAACATGTACCCAGTAATATGGTGTATCACCAAGTCGACGATGGCCAATGCGTACCATATGCAGTCGACAGCTTACTCACTACTACTTACTGGCTACCAGTTCTCTGTAACTTATCTCCAGCGCAGGCAAACTTGAAGGATTCGGAATCTCGTGTGGCTTCCCCTGTGCCCTCCACTGGAGCAAGGGGTGGTACCATCCGACCACAATCTAGTTCCGACCATAGTAAAGACTTGCATGGTGCCAGGGGGTCAACAATCTCATATGTACTGACGTAAAAGGCAAGCCTGGAGGCTTGAAGTCTTACAGTGTTAAGCAAACGTCATCTGTGGACTGGACTGGGAAACTAAGTTAGGACGAAAATGATCGACGGACCGTCCCCGCAACTCGTTGGATGAAGGATGAGATCCAGCACTGATCAGAACGGTACCCAGCACACGGTTTGTTCCCGTCATTCCTCCCTCAACTCCTACACTTCGCTATCCCTTTGGTCAATGGCGATAATCATGTAGCGGTATCCTTTCGGAGTCGCCAGTGGACGAATTGATACAGCCATACGTTGGACTATCCAGACGGACTGGGCCTTTTGGCTTTCCCCAAAGGCTTTTCGCAAAGGTCTAGATCCGGGTCGTTGAAGGACTTCAGTCTCTGTTTCCGTACAGGGTACCTCGTCCGTTCTCCGGCTTCTTGAATTGGAGTAAGCGAATGGCTCTCCTCACGCAACACAGCTTTCCTTCGACGCCTTCCATCGAGTACATATCACATTACTCGAATGCTGCGGCCTTTTCCTTCGGCCCGGATGTTAAGTCCTCATGTGCACCCGCCGCACTAGGTCACACTGAATTGTCTATCGCGGAGGCATCTTCGGCCATCGCATCATCACAGGCACGGCCATCACCAACCCCGACGGGAAGGCAAGCCGACCCGGCTCTGGAATCTGGAAGGAAACGGCGGACTTCTCAGTGCAGTCTTGAGCATGGTTTGCGACACACTTTGTCCGCGGCACAAATAAGAGAGACAGCAATGGCTCCAGATAGCGAGCCCACCACTCCAAACACCTCCAAGCCCCGCAATAAACTAGGTTATCAAAGAACGTCGGTCGCCTGTGGTTAGTTCCTTTCGAATGAGACTCCCTCTATTGTGGTGGCTTGACTGTGGTCACTAGTTCATCCGCTTATCATCCTCACAGGTCACTGTCGCAGACGCAAGATACGATGCGTAATTGCGCCGACCGAGAAGTCGGGAAGGTGTCAAACCTGCATCAAACTTCGAAAAGAATGCCATTTCTATCCAGTGGAGCAGGCAAACTCGACAGAAACTCGTCCCCAATCCATGATCAAGAGCGACAGTGGACTGTCCGGCTCCTCTGCTCCATCACCGGCTATGGCTGGATCACAGGAGGATGACCAACGAGGTTCAAATCAATCTCTTCAAGATAGCGATACCAGTTCTGCTTCAGGGATGGGCAGACCGTTTCCGCCGAATTACCCTGCCGAAGGCAAGTTACACCTTTTCTACTGATCGCACTGAACTGACCGTCGGAATAGCAGGGTTCTCGCAGTCATATGGGACAATATGGAACCCCTTATTCAATCAGCCATTCATTAATGAGTCCAACCTCCCTACTCAATGGAACCCACCGCCACCACCAATCCCAAGCCAACTCCTAGCACAACCACCAATACCAAAGACCCCTCAAGAACAGATGCTGCACCAACACAACCCCAACTTCGACTTGGGTGCTCAAGGCCGCTCCTTCTCCGTCGGCAACGCCGACCACTTCGCCAACTTCAACCCCTACGCATCCTTCCCCGACTCCGGCTACCCGCAAGACATGCGTTCCCGCCAGGCATCCCTCCCAAGCATCCCCAATCCCCTAGCCTTCGATCCCCAGCACCCCGAGCTGGCACGGCAACAAGTCATCCCTGCGGCCGCGACCCCGACCATCCCATCCCAATACACCGGCGCGCCGCCCACTCACCGGCGCATGCCGACCTCCTCCGCCACCTCGGGATCCACCGTCCCGGCATCGGCGATTCCCTTTACTCGCCCTTTGACCACCAACGCCCCCGTGTCGAGTTCCGTGGCCTCCGAGCAAGTCGGCTTCGTGGTGCAGCCGCTTTCACATTCGCAAACGTGGCCGACGTACGTGGAGCAGACACAGGGTCACCCGCCTTCGCAGGTGTCTGCGCCGATGCTGGGTTCGTTTGCCGGGCCGTGGTACGGCGAGCATGGCGACTCGTACGGGCAGGGAGGGCCACCACAATAGAAATATACTTCATGAGTGCTGAAGAAACGGTCGATTTAATGGGTGGGTGGGTTCGGTTAGGAGAGGAACGGTTCCTACGAAAGAGACGGTGACGCATTTTCTCACGGCGTTGACAGTTTTGTTTTTCTGTTTTCCTGTTTCAGCGATGTTTGATGGCTTTCTGCGATGATTTGCATGCATGGATTGGTATTTGCTTCGGATGGAAAACATTCGGCCCTGATTCTCTGATTTCCGGTTTATTACGAAAGCGGGAAAGCATTTTCCTTTCTCTCCGTCAGAAGCCCCTCTCCCCACTCTCCACTCATCTATACACCATCGATTACACTTATTCTGTATACCGCCGATTTTAATCATGCCCGTTACGCGGTGGTGCAAGGCATTCTTCACGGCCTTAGACTAATATATTGCGCGCTGTACTTCTGCATAGCGATCTGGAGGCTGCTAGACCTCGACATGGAGCGATATCAATTTTACATTCGGCAACGCCGATCTGGGCTGCTAGGCCCTGGACATAGGAGGAAGACGATGGCGATTCGAGGCTGCTAGGCCTCATGTTAGAAAGGCATGATGACCCCCGAACTAGTGACAATGAAAATGCGCAAGGTTCAAAACTTCATGGGAAAGTGATGACGACCATTCCATTGCCTAACCGGAACTCCGCCATTATTTCTGAATCGTTGTCTGTGCTTCATCATCTCCTTCATCTCGTTCATAGCGACCTTGCCGCGCCACCAAGCGCCTCTCGCACAGATACTCGGCATCATATGCTTCCTAACATCAACAGTCGAATCATCCACCAACCTCTCGCTCCTGACGACCCGCTCCGCATGCTCACCCTTATTTCCCCCATACTCCTCGCTCACAACTCCCAATTCCACCCCTTCTCCTCCAACGGCCCCAGCCTCTCCACCAACTCTTCCACCTCCATCTCCTCACCCATCCAAAGTCCCAGATCCTCCTGCCCCTTCGGCTCCTTAGGCGGGATCAACACCCTCCCCACCACATGCACCACGCCGTCCTTCGCAACCCCATCCGCGACCGCGACGCGCGCGAACCCGTTAATCCGGATCCCGGCAAACGGGCCCCAGCGACCGACATCGACGCTCAGATGCTTGCCCTCGAGGAGCGTGGGGAGATCGACGTGGAAGTGCGGCGGGGCGACGTTGTCTGGATCCATAGCTGTAGAGCTTCCCTCGTGCTTGGGCCCATAGAAGGCGTCAGAGTACAGGGTCTCGTTGTGCACGATGTGGTACTGCAGGAGGGCTTTCAGGTACTTGTGGCCGGGCGGGGAGAACAGGAAGGCGTTGATCCGCGGACCGAGTTTTTTGAAGGCGGAGTTGGAGGGGGCGAAGAAGGTGGCGCCGGTGTGTGGGGGGAGGGGGAGGAGACCGGTTTGGTGGAGGCCGAGGGTGAGGGTGCTGAAGGAGGAGGGGAGGAGGGAGAGGAGGGGGGTGGTGGGAAGGGGAGGGAAGAGGAGGGAGTCGATGCCATGGATAAGGCCGTTGGTGGCGGGCTGGGGGTGTTAATTGCGGAAAGATGGGGAGGAAGGGATGGCTTACGATGTTGGAGACGATGAACTTGGAGTAGTAGTTGAGTGTCAGGCCCTTGAAGCTTAGCTTCACGGCAATACGTTGCGGGCCATTGAGGGTATCTGGTTCGTAGCGGGTGGGGATGGTCTGGCTGATCAGCAATCGTTTTGGCGAATACAGGCCGTCGGCAACATGGTAGGTCAGAAGCTTCTTGATGAGCTCCTTTGGAGGCTTGTGGTGGTGGGGGAGCTTCTCAAAGGCCTTGTCTACGGGGGCAAAGACGGTATAGTTCGCTTCGGTTCCGTTCAATAGCTGTACCAGGTCCTCGTCCTCGTCAATCAGCGCGGCAAGCTTGGTGGTATACTTCGATTTCGAGATGAGTTCGTATACCGTCAGATTCGACGGGCCGTGGTGTGGGGGCTTATGGTGTGGGGGCTTATGGTGTGGGGGCTTATGGTCTGGAGGACCATGATGCGGAGGACCATGATGCGGAGGTTCGTCGTCCTCGAAGGTATCGACATCGTCAATCATGGACGACTCCAGCCAGGAGGTCACATCAAAGAACTCCTCCGGGAACCGATCAGCACCAACAAGGTCTACGACGCGGCTCATGGATCGCATGGCCTCATCGATGGCGTTGGTCGATGTCTCCACGACATTATCGAGGACATCTCGGACGCCGTCGGCGATTTCATCTTTACTTGGGAGATGGACCCAGGCCGTGTCGACTTGCTCGTGAAGTTCGGAAATGGATTCGACGATCTGCTCGTTGGGAAGTACCCACGCTGTGCTAGTAGCGGCTAGCGCTACGATGGGAGAGAACCGCATGTTTGTGGGTTCAATGGCGGGGTATGGAAGAACAAGTCGAATTGACAAATGATGAAGGTAAACCTACGAACGAAAAGAAGAAGCACAAAGCGAAGAGATGAACTAAACTACAGTATACTAGAACAGATCGGATGGTGGTGGTGAGACCATGAGAGTCGCTCGCTCCAAGGCCTCCGGCAGGGCAGAGCTCGATGAGATGATGACGAATACAAGCTTTCGGCCCCGCAGATGACGATCGGGTTGATGTATGCTCCGTGTTCCAGGAGCTTCAGCCAATCTGCCGTGTCCAATTGTTCATGGTCCAACTGAGAAATCCTTACGAGATAGACTGGAGTCTTGACGCGATCCCATGTGCCTCTGACGGAATCCGACAAGTAGCAGATCGGGATTCTATACTAGACTGACGTGCTTGGAAGAATGACGCAGCCTAGGTTATCGAGATTCGAGAGCAGTGAGACTTAGGATGTCGGCGTTAATTCGACCAAAAGCGCCGATGGAATACGGAGTAATTGGATGATATTTTGATGGTTAAGATGCCAATTAACTTGAGTGAGGCAGCATTGTAGCAGGTATTATGTCCCGGTATTCCACGATAGACACTTATGGATATCTCAGGTATCCATGCTGACGATATTTGAAGGACTCAATAATCTAGACTTCCAACGTTCTAGCGTAAATTTCATGAACGAACAAGAGGTAACCCCCAATCGTGCTTTTGATGACTTCATGATCAACCCCTCTCATTTGTTGTTTCGTCTGCGGATATGGAGTCGAGCATAAGAACCTGCGGATTACTAGACTCCGAATATAATTTGAAGGTTTGCATATTTTTCTTTTCATAGGTATGAGCAGTAAATAGATTTCCAGCTTCGGGCAGGTTTTCCTGATATATGACGTGACGGTTACTTCATTCCTCCATCACCATTCTCGCAATATTACCGGCAGATATCAGAACGGTGTTCCCTTATGAAACCGAAGAGCAAGCAACAACGCAATGGCTGGTTTCTTTAACATTGAATTGCCTTTTCATTTCTAATTGCCACCTCCGTCCTTTTGCTTTGCTTCCAATTACTGCAATTCATAGGTCATATCAAACCTGCCGCTGTAGTGTCGCATTGAAAGATGCCGCTGTCCACTCACGTGAGTCTCAATGCTGCTTGATCAACTTCAAAATACCTACATCCATACTGTCCCTCCTACCCTTTTATTTTCTCTTGTGACAACCTTCATACTATCAAACCTGGGCCTAACTGTTTGATCAGATCGATCCGGAAGAGCTGGTTGAGCTCCTCCGTGACTCCCCGCGTGGGAAACATGCGAAGAGCCATGTATCCCATTTTGCTCCGTATACCGCCCGAGATGGTCGCTCTATTGAACTGAGCAAGTTTCGGCTCCCTACCAATGGAGGGGATCCAAGTGACGTGCGTCAGATCCTCGATGATGAACTGTCGCTAGACGGTGAGTGCTAGATTCCGGTGAAAGGACGACCCATCCCGATCTAACGGATTAGGACGTCCGGCACTCAATCTGGCATCGTAAGGAAATAGCATGGAATAGAACGAGAGAGGGTTGGAGCTAAGTTCGTGTAGATTCGTCTCCACATACCTCGAGCCGGAGGCGGAGCGGCTCCTCAAGGACAACTACAACAAGAACCTCGCTGACTCGGACGAGTACCCCACGCTCATGGACATCCACGCGCGCTGCGTCTCCATCCTCGCGAACCTCTGGCACGTCCAACCGGGCGAAAGGGCCATCGGGACGGCGACGACGGGGTCGTCGGAAGCGATCCAGCTTGGGGGGCTCGCAATGAAGCGGCGGTGGAAAGAGAAGCGTGAAGCCGAAGGGAAAGACACGTCGAAACCGAACATCATCATGGGGGCGAACGCACAGGTGGCGTTGGAGAAGTTCGCGCGGTACTTTGAGGTGGAAGCGAGGATCTTGCCGGTGTCGAAGGAGAGCCATCATCGGCTGGATGAGAGGCTGGTGAAGGAGAATGTGGATGAGAATACCATTGGGGTGTACATCATCCTGGGATCAACGTATACGGGCCACTTCGAACCGGTGCAGACAATCGCGGAGCTATTGGATGAGGTACAGAAGGAAAAGGGGCTGGATGTGCCGATTCATGTGGATGCAGCGAGCGGAGGGCTCGTTGCCCCGTTTACCGACGCTGGAGTTGGAGGGGGGGCATGGTGAGTTCGCAAACTGGATGATCGACGAGGCGTGCAGATGTCTAATACAAATCGATCGCGCAGGGACTTCAAGATCCGGCGCGTCCACTCCATCAATGTCTCAGGCCACAAATACGGACTGGTCTCGCCCGGCCTTGGCTGGATCATCTTCCGCGACCAACACTACCTCCCGAGGCATCTCGTCTTCGAGCTCAACTACCTCGGCGGCAAGGAGGAATCCTACACTCTCAACTTCTCGCGCCCGGGCGGCCAGGTCGTCGTGCAGTACTTCAACTTCATGCGCCTGGGGTTCACTGGGTACAAGCGCATCATGGAGAACTGCCTCGCCGTCGCGCGCCTACTCAGCCGCAGCCTCGAAGCGACGGGCTGGTATCGGTGCCTCAGCGACGTGCATCGGAAGAAGGGGGACTGGGGGTACCATGGGCAAAAGGAATTCGTCCGCAGCGAGTCCAGCGCGGATTACAACGAGGGGCTGCCGGTGGTCGCGTTCGCGTTCACGGAGCAGTTCAAGAAGGAGTATCCGCACGTCAAGCAGGCGGCGGTGAGCCAGCTGCTTCGAGCGCGGCAGTACATCGTCCCGAGTAAGTTCAATAGCGATCATCGCCATCAACACCACCAATAAACCCACCCATCGCCTTCGCGTCCTTCAGCTCTAAACCGCAAACCCTACATGGCGCAACCAATCTAGCCCCCCCCCCCCCCAAAAAGCAAACTTAACCAATAAATCACAGACTACCCGCTTCCCGCCAACGAGCAGAACACGGAGATTCTCCGGGTGGTGGTCCGCGAATCGGTGTCGATGGACCTGATAGACCGGCTGATCGGCGACCTAGTATCAGTGACGGAGACAGTGATGCAGATAAGCGAGGGCGATCTGGCGGCGTGGCAGTCACTCTCGGCGGACAGCGTGGAGAAAATGCATTCGACGAAGAAGCGGAAGCGGAGTGTGGAGGAGGATCGAAAGCAGGGAAAAATGGCGATCCATACGGCGGTGTGTTAGGGTTGGTGGTGGCGTGGATATTGATCTTGTTTGTTGCACGGTGGAGGGGCAGGATCGAGATTAGGGGGGTTTGTTGAGATGTCACCCGTGGTAGGAGAGAGGAAGGGGTGTCACTGGGCGGAGAAGCATGTTGTGGTCCGGCTGAATGATGAGATTGAGTAATTCTGAGAAAAGCACCGCCGCCACAACCCTCGATTCTGTCATGTCAATATGTAAGTCATTATGTACATTGTACCACCATTGAGTTTTTGGATGATCGACATTCTGGAAACAATTGCATGGCTTGTGCTACGCGTCTCCAACAGCCACCACCACTCACTCCGATAAGTCATGGCCTATCTGATTCCGTAATGGAATTCTACTCCCAAATCGCAACATTATTTACTTGCTTCTTCGTGCACTGTCTCCCTCTGTAATCTGTACGACACCCGTTGCAATCTGCAATGCCATGCATCAGTCCCGCCGCATCCCGAATACCAGGTCACAGCTGCTCCGTCCTGCCCGCCGCTTGATTGCTTGCTTCTCGACGCCGCACCACATCGCAGTCCTATAGATAAACCGACTGACCTGCAAGCCCGCATCCCGCCGTGGCCGAGGGGCGAGTTGGGTCGAGACCTGCGTCGAACGCAGGACGGCGATCTTGGCATGGCAGAGCAGGGCGGAGGGACTCGGAGGATCGGATCTGACTGGATGGAGTGGGGATTGGCTGAAATCTGGATTGCCGATGTGTTCGGACTTCCGAGTTCAGACATTTAGCGAACGGAGAGCGCGGTCGGATGGACGGCAGCGAAGAGTAACAAACACGGTCGTCTGCACGCAATATCGCTCATCAGAGTCATGAATCATCCAAGTCATCACCGTCTCCATTCTTTGATTCATACAGTCTTAAATCTTCATGCGCTTGACTAGCTAGCTCTGATACTTAGTAGTAGTAAATGATAAGTCCCAGCAAAATCTCAATAAACGTACGAGTAAGGTAGCCCAGTGATCCGGTGACGATCATCACTCATGATTCATGCGTCTTGACCAGTGGATTGGGGAAAATTTAGATCAGGATCTGATCACGGCAAGTACCGGTAGCGTCGTTTCCCAAATCCCTAAGTTCCACCCGTTCCCACCAGCCAAATCCTCGGATCAACCCTGTCGCATCCCTGCAGTCGGTGGTTTACGCTAGCTCGCCTTGGCGTGTCGGGGCGTGTGGCGCATGAGGATCGGATGAAGCAGACAAGGGTCGTCGGGGTTGGCGCACTGGTGCAGAAGCAGTGGGCCCAGCGGCTCAGTTGCACTTGCAGCCCGGATCCCTGACGATCTCCGCGCTCTAATTGCCCCGATCTCCGTCCATCCCTGGATATTCCCCCGGATCGAGCAAATCATTACAACCGCTTATCCATCCCGACGACCAGCACGACCCGTCTTGTCGCCTCGTTCTTTTATTTTTGGTGTACCTGTTGCGTAATTGCTTGTCCTGACTTTCTCATCGGTTGCGACTGGTTGTTCCCTTGGTTTTGTTTTTTTTTTTGCCGTGCGAAGATCAGCAATCTCCACTTGGGAAGCGACAGAGGACTGCGAGTCTGCGACGTTGCACTTTGGGGCATCTCCTGAATCGAGGGAACGAGACTGCAGTTGGGCGCTTGTGCTAGTTCGTTTGGTTCGCGTTTGGTTACTAGATGCCAAGGAATTGGTCAGTGCCCCCGTCCCGCGTTTTTTCTGACGACGATACTGGGAGCCCGGGAACCATCCTTGATCCAGTGGCTGTAGCATTCCCTTTGAGCCGCGTCAGAAAGTCACTGATAATTGATTCATGTCTCTCCGCTCATTTCGGCCAGGTACCGCACCGGACGATGCGGGCTTCTCTCGGTTCCGTCGGGCCCCTGTGCGATCGGTCATCGAAGCCCGACGCCCAGTCTCTCCGGTTCGTATCGTTGATTGCTTTTCCTCCCAGCCCTTGCCCGTCTGCAAATTTCCCGGTTTCAAGGGCTCGGGTTTTCCCTCTCCCTTTCCTGAGTACCCATGTGCCTGTGTGTCCGCATGTTCGGTTGCCCATTATGCACAGAGATCAGAAATGACCCAAGGACTCGGAAATGGCATGGCAGCACCGCATATGACCTGTAGGCTTGAAAGTTGTACCATCGTATTGGAGCGGAATCCCCAAAGTCAACAATCAGCATCGGTTTTACTACCCATCTTATTGGTTAATTTTTTCTCGCAAGGTGAGGCGTTTCGGTGGTTCGTCTCTCCGGTTGGAAGGGAGGGTAGATCACCCGCCTCGTTGATCCGTTTGACGATCCTAGATTCCTGGGACAAGCTGGCGGTTCACCAAAGATTATTAGTTCCAAATTCCAATATTCTATCGCTTGCACGTCACATAGCCTTAGAGGGGCGGGAAGATCTGGCGTCAAAATCGTTCTTTCCTTTCCGATTTGGGTCGCTGCTGCATTGGTCTTGCGGATTTCCGCGAGCTTTGCATTTGAAATTCGTCATTGTCAGGTTGCCCGACCTCCGTATCTCGTCACCAAGTACCATTCATTGTTCTGTCAGCCATTAGTTCTTCCATCCTGCCTTGCTCCCTTGTTCAATTGTTTCACTGTGCCGCGCAAGAAGCCCCCCTTGGTGGCGAATCCGTGATCTTATTCGTTGGTATCCATCGCCCTGCCGGTGAGAACGGCCAGAAAAGGTCTGGTCCTACGATCTGGTGGCTGAGATCTGGTGTTCGCCTGCATGATCAAGATGAGATAGGGTGTGCGGCCGATCCAACACCTTGGGACTCTCCAGCCGCATGGGACGGGATACTTAACGGCACGACGGACCCGTTTCATATTCGCAGGGCCATTGATTGGGAGAGTTGATTTGCTCCACGTCTTTCCGCATCTCCTGATCATGGCATCACCCAACTCCGGAGTCTCCAAGGTGCTCATCTACCTGCTGCGTCGTGACCTGCGGGTCACGGATAACCCCGTCCTGGACGAGGTCGCACGGCTATACGAGGGCCGTGATAGCGGGGAGCACATATCATCCCAGCCCGTTCCCGACTTCACCCATCTCCTTCCCTTGTACGTCTTCCCGGCGCAGCAGGTTGACGTGAGCGGGTTCCTACACAAGGATGCGAGGACTAGGGAGACGGGTTCTCGGAAACCCTATGCACCCGCCCGGAGCCAAGTGGGAAACTTCCCGAGGACGGGGCCCCATCGCGCGAAGTTCACTGCGGAGTCGGTGTGGGACTTAAAACAGTCCTTCCAGAAGCTTGGGAGTGATCTGGTCATCCGTGCGGGACGGTTAGCGGAGGTCCTGGACGACATGATTGAGCAGTTCGAGCGTATGTTACCTCACCGTGAAGTTCAGGCCGTTCCGTTCGCTTATGCTAATTCGTTGCAGGGGATGATAGCGTTTTGTCCACAGAAGATGGTCGACTCGAACTTGTGGGCGTCTGGATGACATCGGACGCTCTACCCGAAGAGAAGGAGGATGAAGCGCAGATTAAGGCCGTCCTGGAAAATGGGGGGAAGCAATTCCGTCTCTTCGGGGACGAGAAATACTTCGTCGATGAGTAAGTCCCCCGCGTTGCACAGGGGTCGGTTGCCTGCAGACACTCACAGCATTCAGTGCCGATCTCCCGTATTCCTCCATGAACGAGCTCCCGGACGTCTACACCACGTTCCGCAAATCCCTCGAGCCGCTCCGCTCGAAACCACGGCCAGTGCGCGCTGCTCCCCAGAAGGGCTCCCTACCACCCTTTCCCACCTCCACATTGATCCCCCCGCAATTCGCCCCTTACGAGATCCCAACCACGCTAGAAACCCTGACCGAGCGACTCCTCCGCCCCCTCGATCTCGATTCCGCGCTGAATTTCTTCAACGCCGCCCCCTCCGAAGCACACTGGGTGTCCACCTATACCGCCAAACAAGTCACCAACGCCCACCCCCTCTCCGGTGGCGAAACTCGCGGCCAGCATCGCGTCCAGCACCTGCTCCGCACCGGCGCCATGACCCTCTACCATGAGACGCGCAATGGCCTTGTCGGTGAGGACTTCAGCACGAAGTTGTCCGGCTATCTCGCCATCGGCGCGCTGACTGCGCGCTGGGTTCACTGGCAGATGCACGCGTTCGAAGAGGGCAAGATCCCGGCGTCCTCGGACAAGGAGGCGGACGATGACGAGGATGAATGGAAGGCCGCGCCAGGCTTTGGCGGGGGGGAGTCGGAGGGTACGGCGGGCGTGCGGTTCGAACTCCTCTGGCGCGACTACATGCGCCTATGCGCGCAGAAGTTCGGCGCGCGGCTATTCCTCCTCGATGGGTTTCGCGGCGCGTCCGCACGGCCGACGACCGCCGGCTCGGAGTCGACGACCTCCACCATCACATCCCCGACAAAGTCCGCCCCCACCAAGACCTGGCGCTTCCTCACTGAACAACAGGAAGCCGAGTCAACATCCCCGAAACCTACGACGCTACCCGCCTCCGCGAACAACGCGCCGTCGTTCGCTCTGTCCACGCAACAGGTGCTCCACCGCTTCGTCACGGGCACGACGGGCATCGGGCTCATCGACGCCTCGATGCGCGAGCTCGCCGTGACGGGTTACACGTCCAACCGGGCGCGACAAAACTGTGCGTCCTTCCTCTCATCCCCATCGCACCTCGGGGTCGACTGGCGGCTGGGGGCGGAGTGGTACGAGTGCTGCCTCGTGGACTACGACGGGGCGAGCAACTGGGGCAACTGGCAGTACGTGGCGGGGGTGGGCAACGATCCGCGGGAGGGGCGGGTGTTCAATCCGGTGAAGCAGGCGGTGGAGTACGATGGGCGGGGGGAGTACGTGCGAGCGTGGGTGGCGGAGTTGCGGGAGGTGCGGGTCGGGGAGGGGGGTGTGGAAGGGTTGATGGGGGTGTTTCAGGGGTGGAGGTTGGAGGGGGAGGAGAGGGAAGGGCTGGAGGGTGTGGAATGGGTGGAGAGGCCGTTGGTGAGGATCCCGTTTGAAGTGGCGAGGAGGCCGAGGGAGGGAGGGAGGAGGGCCAGGGGGGGTGCGGTAGGGAGGGGGGGGGGAGAGAATAGAGCGAGGGGACGGGGGGGAAGGGGGAGGGGACAATCTAGAGGGGGTGGCGGGGAGAAGGGACGGGGACGAGGTCAAGGTGGTTCTAGAGGGAGCAGGTCGGGTTCGCGTGGCGTTCGGGGTCAGGCGGAGTGATGAGAGCAATCTCCTACCTGTCCTTCCTTGTTTTGAAGTGCTCGGACGAGTGTTTCGGTGTCGTATGATGACCTGGAGTTTCTTTAGCGGTTCATGATCCTTTTTGGAATATTTATTAATTATCTCGCTGTCGTCGGCGTAATCTGTGGCTGGAACTTGAAGTGGAGTGCTGCCTGACAGCCTAATTATATTGGAGCCTTGTCGCCTTAGACAGCAAAAGACTTCATGGCACCTGCAGGACCCACTAATATTCCGTCTAGTTGACGTCACTGTTCATGTTCGTGTTTGCAAAACTTCAACAGTTAATTACAGCTCAGATTTCAACCACGTCTACCGGTACTCCATCCTTTCAATTCGGAAAAAATGTTTCCAATGCGCCGAAGGTGCGGGGAGACCTCCCCTGTAGCATGTCTTTTTGCCAGGCTGAGGGCGGGTCCAGGCAGAATTCAGTCCATTACGTCCCCGAAACACATTCAAGCGATACCGGTAGGTATAATTAACGGGATTGTCGGCTTTCCGAACTTGAATGTCTTCCCTAGCGACCCGATGAATGAGAAGGTAGGGCAGCAAGGATGAGTTGCAGCAAATCATCTCAACGAAAACGTCACCGTCATGTCATTGTATCATAAGATTGAAACTGCTACATAAGAAAGGATAGATATATCAACTTCTACGTCCATCCGATCAAACCTCCCATTCCAACACCATCATCAAGCTAAACAATACCCACCCATCCAATCGTCCTATCCTACTCATTATGTCCTCCAAACCACTCACCACTGCCCCCGCCGGCAAAGTCCTCATCATCCTCAGCGACGCCCGCTCCTTCCCACTCAAAAAAACCTCCGGCCCCTCCGCCGGCAATTCTGTCGCCCAACCCACTGGCTACTTCCTCACCGAACTCGCCAAACCCCTCCAAACCCTCCTCTCCGCCGGCTATGAAGTCACCTTCGCCTCCCCCCTCGGCTACGAGCCTATCCCGGACCCCAACAGCGAGTCACTCCTCGCGTTCGCCGGGAACTTCTACGAGCGCCAGCGCGAGAATGAGCTGATCGACCGCATGAAGCGCGAGAATGGGTTCGCGAAGCCGCGACGGTTCGGAGAGATCAGCAACGAGGAGCTGGAGGGGTTCGACGGGGTGTTTGTCCCCGGGGGCCACGCGCCGCTGACGGATTTGGGCGACGACGAGGAGCTGGGGCGGATCTTGCGGCATTTCCACGCGCGGGGGAAGCCTACGGCGGTGATCTGCCACGGGCCGTATGCGTTCCTGAGCACGCGGGCGGGGGGGAAGGAGTTCGCGTATAAGGGGTATCAGATCACGAGCTGGAGCGACGTGGAGGAGAAGGTGATGGATCGGGTGCTCGGGGGGGATATTCCGAAGGTGGAGACGGCGCTGAGGGAGGCAGGGGCGAAAATGGTGGAGGGGGTAGGGGAGAAGATTGGGAGGGTGACGGTGGACCGGGAAGTGGTGAGCGGGGGGAATCCGATGGCGGCGGTTGGGTTAGGGGATCAGTTCGTGGAGATGATGAGGAACAAAGTTTGAGAGGCTCGTGTATCTGTGTATATGTACCTATTTCATCGCTGTATTATCTGCAAATAGACTGTCAAGCGTATTATGAACTTTCCAAGCCCTCGGTCGATGTCAGATATATCTGACAACTATGAGAATGGCACTATCCCACGCGACAACGTGCTCACTGAAGACACTCGTAACTTCCGGATGAAGACCCAGTCCTCCGTAGCAGCTACCAGTACTTACCACTTATCATAGTAACTGCGTAGTTACCAGTAGGCACATCTAAAGGCAACCCTCGGTTGAGTACGGGTAGATATAGTTACCGGTACCTAAGGTGGTGAATAGCGTAGTCTATCAAGACCATCAATATTTGACGTCATAGTCTAGAGCACATCCAATTCCATGCACCACGCACGCTAAATTTGATGCAAACTCCGTCGATTGAACTGAAACCTGGTCAGTGGTCATGGGTGCTCCATCGAAATTGACTGTGACGGATGCAATTCTGAACATTCCCCATTCTTGCCTCCAACTCTGGTGTTTGCCCAAGCATTGACGTCACACCGAACCCCAAAGACCATCACGTCACGGGGCTTCTGCTTCACTGTTTCGTACATAAAAGGAATGGAACCTGCCCTCCAATCTTTCAAATCTATTCTACCTACCAACAAACATCTCAATCTTTCAATCTCAGTCCTCAACCAACCACAACTACTTTCAATCAATCTCTCAACCTTCACTAAATCATCATGTCTGACGCTCTCCGTAAGCCCCTCTCCGACCAGGCCGGCGAGAAGATCACCCCAGACTCCCAGAAGAGCACCTTGGATAAGGCCAAGGAAACTGTCACTGGTGCCGGCGACCGTGCTGCAGGAACTGGTATGTTGACTCCAATCTCCGCAATCAAACCTGCAGAACTGACGGTCTATGAACAGCCCAGCCTGAGGACCAGAAGAGCTACACCCAGCAGGCCGGCGATGCCATCCGCGGTGGCTCCGACAACACCTCTCGCGAGGTAAGCAGCACATTCGACTATGGGCGACGGGACATTGCTAACTCCGTCCAGGGTCAATCTATCTCGCAGACCGTCACCGATACCGTCAACCAGGGTGTCGAGTCCGCAAAGAATGCTCTGGGTATAAACAATCCCCCGAAGCAATAGATGTGTCGGACATCCACACCCACTCAATCTCCCCACGTGGATGAGATTGCACGACCTGGCAGCGTTGCTTTCTACTTTGTATTATCATACCTGACTTGCAGTACGACGTCTCAGACGTGTGGAAACAAGCATGAGTTGTGCAATGGCATGACGAATATCTTTCCGGGTCCTAGATAGGAATCGTACCTTCATGTTTGATTTGTGATGAATTGAATGCTCGCTAGTGATTGTGATATATTTCTCACGGGAATCTGATGAAGCATGAGCAGCTTCAGGTGCTAACCAACGCTATAACAACAATAATATTGATACTGTAGCAAATAATACTCCAAAGACCTGAATCTATCATCATCATGACGTTCAGGGACCCGAATCCAATGACATCAAAGGTTCAATTCTGTCCAATCACAAAGCAGAACTCTGCCAGGGTCCAAGCAGGGTTCATGGATGTTATTGCCTTAACGAATGTTTTCTAGCCTCAGGCATTCAATCGTCATCACAGCAAGCATAGCAGCGGCCAAGCCTGGACATACGAGATTCTTACCAGACATTACTTTTCAAATATCTAACTATTACTCTCCGCAACTCTGCCATCGAGACCTCAATTATATAAAAAGTTCCACTAACGCCGACACCGACACCAAAATCCCTTATCTCCAACCACCTTCTCCCGCCTGTCCTCCCCCTAAATACTCTGCCTCCCAACCATGGCCAAAGACAAACGAACCGTCAATCCCGCTACCGCGCACCTCAAATCCCAAAAGTCCCGCGCCCTCAAAAAGTCCAAGGCCGCACAAGCCACCGCCCGCGAGGAGCGCCTCGCCCACAAGAACCCCGTCCGCCTCGACCGCCGCATCGCCGAACTGAAGGATACGCCCGACCTTAAGCCGCGCGAGCGCGAGGAGCTGGCAAAGTTGGAAAGGGATGTGGTGATGATAAGGAGGGCACGGGAGAAGCGGGGGGAGGAGGAGGAGGAGGAGGGGAAGACAGATACGCGAGAGCGGAAGGGGGATCAGCGGAGGGATAGGGAGGAGGGAGGCGTGTTAGGGAAGCGGCGGAGGGAGGGCGAGTGGGAGGATCGGCGGCCACGCTGGGAAGGTAGGAGAGACCGCTTGGAGCCGGAGAGTAGCGACTCGGACGAAGAGGCGCGGATGATCCCGATGCCGAAGGACGTGGAGAACATGCCGCCGGTCCCGCGCCGTCGCGGCCCAGGACGCCGTCCGGACGAGCGCGGACCTCCTGATGACAAAGGCCCCGACGCACCGCAGGGGACGCATGCGCTGCCCGCGAAACCGGTCGTCGCGGCGCCGCCGCAGACGGTGTATGAGGGGAAGGCGGTGCTACGGGACTTGCGGAAGGAGGCAACGCGGTTCGTGCCGGCGGCGGTGAGAGGGAAGATGGCGGCGGCGAGGGGGGAGGGGCGATTGGTGGAGCCGGAGGAGGCGGAGAGATTGGAGAGGGAGGGGTATTTGCGTGGGAAGAGGGGGGAAAAGGAGGAGTTGGTGGTGTTGGGTGATAAGAGTGGGAGGAGGGGGGAGTTGGAGGCTGAGGAGGAGCGGTTTGAGAGGGAGATGAGGGAGGTAGAGGGGATGGGGGGGGATGCGGAGATGGCGGTGGAGGCGGCGGAGGGGGAGGCGGTGGCGCGGATGATGGTGGGGAAAGCGGAGGGGAGGTTCGTGGATGAGGGACGGGCTGCAGAGCGGGCGTTGCGGCATGTAGAGATTGAGGACGTGGAGGATGAAGATGGGGGTTATTAGGACCTTACTTCCACATAGGACCTCACGATCTACCAGGATCCAATAGGAGCTATATTCAATTGAAACCATTGCATTGCTGATTTATGCTGCCGAACCTGTTATGCTTGCGGACCCAGTATCGCCTGCTCCAAACGAGCAGTCATTACCATCATAGTCATACATGCGGCATGAAAACGCCGCTGAGAAACCCCGAACAGAATGAACCCAAATCCGCTAGTGATACAATGACAACCCGCGCTCGACTCCGCTCCATTCCTATCGTCGGCTTCGCTCTTAAAACAATCAAAACAGCTCGTTCCATGGGGACATCTTGCGTCGGTTAGCATCTTTCGCTGGACACTAATTGTATGCATTTATGTGTCGATAGCGATGTGTGTGCGTTAACCAATGCTTAGCTCAGAAAATGGTCCCGAAAGTGCCTTCGGGTTTTGGAAGAGGCTTTCTGGGACTCACGGCGTTGCCATTTTCATCGGTAGCAGGTTTGCGATGCCTAGACAACAATTAGTACTTGAGTCCAGAAACAGGCTGAAGTGCTTACCTGAACGTGAAGCCAACGAAGAGGCCCTTCCCCATCTGCTCGTCTCGGTCGGCCATGGTCTCCAACGCCGACTGTTTGTCATGCACTTCCTTATACTTGGCCATGTCCGCTTCATTGGTGAAATCATCAAAGTACCCCGCATCCGTCTCCGAATCCAACTCCGGCACGAACGGCGGCCGCTGCTCCTTGAGTCGCGGCCAGTCCACCTCCGCGAAGTAATCGTGCGTGCGGATCTCCCGGATTTGCCGGAACCGCGACGTCTTGGCTGCGACCATCCGCGTGATGAGATCCCAGGTGCGGCGGCTGAGGAAGTAGTTCGGGTCGTCGTACACGGGCTTCTTGAGCACCTTCTTCCAGTGCTTGAGGTTGTGCCACGTCTCGTCGACGTTGGAGCCGGCGAACGGGGGGTACCCCGCCAGCGCCTCAAAGAGCATGCAGCCGAGGCTCCAGTAGTCCACCGTGAAGTCATATTCCTCGCCATGTAGGACTTCGGGCGCCATGTAGTCCGGCGATCCCACGATGCTCTTCGCGTAATTGACATCGCGTTCGCGCAAGGAGCGATATCCCTCGCGTCGTTCCGCGGCGGTTCGCTCCTCCATGGGCCGGCCAAAGGGGACGGAGACGTTGCCGACGGACTCGAGCTTGATGCGCATGGACTCGATCTTCGCGGGCGCGAGGAACCCGGCGGCGAGGCCGAAGTCGGTCAGTTTGACGTGGCCGCTGCTGTCGATCAGGAAGTTCTCCGGCTTGAGGTCGCGGTGGATGTAGCCGAGTTGGTGCAGGGCGTCGACGCATTGCACCATTTCGGAGACGTAGAAGCGGGCAAGGCGGTTGTGGAGGACGCCGGTGTTGTTGAGAAGGGTTCGAAAGTCACCGCCGGGAACGTATTCCTACAACATCGTTAGCGTTTCCTATAAATGAACGGAATCGGAAAAGCTTACCATTGCAAGGTAGATGCTGCTATCGTCCTGGAAGGCGTACAGCAGCCTCACCAGCCACTCGCTCTTCGCCGAGGTAAGGATGTCTCGCTCCGTAAGGACATGCCTGATTTCGTCCAACTTAAACAAGAGCTTCTTGCTCATGACCTTTAACGCACACACTTCCCGGGTATCTTTCTTTTGCGCAAGGAACACCTGTCCATATCCGCCTTGACCCACTTGGGTCAGGATCTGGAAATCGCCATGTCGGAGTCGCGTGCGGCGCTTGCGAAGATTGGCTCGTTCCCGTCCCAGGTACTTCGTCAATGCCGCATCGTACTCGGCTTCTTCAGTTGCTGGTGGAGCTGGAATGGCAGCTTTGAACTGGGTGTATCGAGTCTGACGTCCGTGGACGTAGCTGAGGAGATCATAATAATAGTCGAGGAAGTCTAGAGGGGTTAGTATGAATTCCTCTCAACATGCAACAGTAAGCTTACAGAGCTGTGTGACATTCGCCAGTCGCTTCACTGATGGCTTCTTCAGCTTCTCCAATTCCTCTGGTGTGAGACCCCGTTGTGCCGAGTTGGCATGTCGTGATGTCTCCAAGTCCCGTGCGCGGTACTGCTCCTGTCGAGAAGCGGCCGCTTGACTCAGATAGCTGGGGTCCTTCTTGACCATAGGTCGACCAGGATCCTTGTTTTCCTTGTTTGACTTCCGAGTCGGGCTCTCGGGCAAGGGGATCTCCGTGTTGCCTCCATTCTTCAACGGTGACGTCGGCGACCCTGGTCCTCTCGCCGCATTGCCAGCGGTGGGAACCAGTCTCATGGCATTGTCGAAGATGTTGGGAAGATCATATGCTCCGGGCGGCTGGAGATGTTTACTCGGACTCCCTTGGGGGGTTTGAGTCGGGGAGAGGAAGTTTCCATGGGTCGGGGTGGAAGGGGAGTCATAGAACTCGTTGGTCGACCGCGATACGAGCGGAGGGGGTGGCATCGGAAGTTTGAGATCAGGGCGGTCTGCTCCGCCAACAGCAGGTGGGTTGGAAGACATTGCGATGGCTGAGTGACGCCCACCGTATGGTGAGCCGGATTTGTATGTTCACAAATTCTGGCGAAAGGACATAGATCTCCTGTTGGGCAGCACGAATGAATGAAGGAGGAAGAGGAGATCCGAGCCAGGGTGGATGCACAAAGCAGACGGTGGATGGAAGTGATGTTACGTACTGGTCAGGAATGGTGGAGTGTGACGGGGTCGGTTTGGCTGTTGGGAGTTGGCAACCAAAACAAACCGTTGCTCACGGGAATGAGGTGTTGACGCCTTGGTGCCTGAAATTGTATGCCAGTGCGATGTAGATGTAGCATTCCACCCGCTTGGTTCAACTGTTTATCAATCATGGATCACTGAACTGTTTGCGTGTGGTTCGCCTAGCCGCTGGATTTATTAGATCTTTTGTAGGATCGATATAGATTTCACTTGCTGGTTTCACTTGTTGACTTCACAAGTGACTACGGAGGACAAATGAAAGTGAAGGGGCAGTTGTGGTAAAATTATTGGTTGTAATAATACGCTAGAAGTTTATTACACACATGCCCCCAAATTCAATAACTATGAATGGCCAGCAAAGTAAATTAGCTCGAGGCTAAAGTTCTTACTAAGACATAGGTCTACCCCCAAACCTGAGCATAGTGGCCACGGTTTGAGTTCAGCCTTGATGCCTCCACTACCTGTACCTGTACTGTATTGACCAGTAGCAGTACGTCCATGGAGTCCATTCCACTGCATCAAGCTCCACCTGCAATTCTTCATTGGAGCAAGGCAACACCCGCGTTTCATTAATGTCAATTATTGGGCACACTCATTGCAACAATTCAATCGACACCCTTTCTCCAATCGCAAAACACACCAGAAGATCGACCATGAGAATTCTTCAATAATTGACTTGGTGCTACTCAACCCCTTCACCATGGGCCCCAAAGCCAAATCCTCAGACTCAGACTCCAAGAAGAGGAAACCAGGCCAACCCCTAACAGGCCGGGAGCGGAAAAGAGCAAAGGTTCTCGAGGCCCGGCGACTATCAACTCAGACGTCCGGAAGCGCATATGGGAATGGCGAAATTGACGTCGCCAAATTTGTAAAAGCAAGGGAATATGAGATCAAGGCTCTGCAAGATGGGTTGAAAGACGCGAAGAAGATGTTGAGCTCCCGAGCGTTCCAGGAGGTGCCTCGAACAATGCGGAGGAGGACGGCGAGCCATAATCCGAATAGGGTCCCGAAGAAACTCCGCCCCCGCGCAAAGCGAGAGATGGCCGATGACAATACTCCCGTGGTCACACGGAAGTCTCGAAAGCTAACTGGAGAGAAACGATTGCGTCTGGAGACGGTCAAGCGACTCCAGAAGCTCAGCGCCCGCTCTAGGACTCGGAAAGAACGGAAGGCGCTGGCCAAATTAGAGTCCGGCGGCAAGATCAAAGTCACGAAGCTCGGCGCTACCGAAATGGCTGTCCCTCCAGCGGAATCGCCAGTTAAGACAAGAAAAGCACGCGTCAAGAAATTTGTGCTGAAGATGCCGGATCTACCCCCAGCCAAATTCCGAAAGCGGCAGAAGAACAAAACGTGGCTGCCGACCCATCTATACCATTCCAAAAGAGCACGGATGACGCCTTCGCTGGAGCCGCTGTGGAGGTTTGCGATCCCGTTGACGCCTTCGGAGAAATGTTATCGGGTGACGCATCGTGCTACGACGCAGAAAGGGGGTGTGGCATGGGATATGAGCTACATGAGCACGATCAGCATTGAAGGTGTCGAGAAGAGTATTAAAGGACTATTGAAGGGGTTAGGGGTTGCCATTGATGATGACGAAAGCAACACCGAGAACAGCCCCAATGGAAGCACATCCGAATGGCTTCATGGCACCCGTATCTGGCAAGGTTGGGTTTATGAACGAGATTCAGATCCCAAAGAAGCGATTGCACCCGTTACGATAATTTGGCGGAGTCTACACCAATCTACACCCACCGGAATGGACGTGGACACGGCGGAGAAGTCAAACAAGAAGCGACAAATCTTCATCCGAATACATCCCTCCGCATTCCTCCAACTTTGGACGCAAGTTGTCCGTCTTGCCAAGGTCCAAAAACCTTCCCTGTCTGTCGAAGATGTCCGATATGAAATCGGCAGCATCGAAGTTACCGGGTCGGCCTCGCTAGAGGCGATCATTGGGACTTTAAGACCCGACCAGGAGGGTTCACTATCTACGGATGTCAAGGCCTCCTTGATCAGGTTAGCAAGGAACAAGCCAGAACCGGTGCCCGTCAACGCGCTTCTTGCCTTCGATATCCACGACCCGAGGCTCGTTTATCCTCCCAAACAACTCGCAGAAATCGATAACGGCAAGAACAAACCAGCCCGTCAGGAACCCCCCTGGCTCGCCGGCAAAATGCAGCCATCCCCAAACCTATTCGACAGACAAGCCCGCCGCGTTGCGTCGAATTCAATCCTCCCCCAATCCGCCATCGACCGACGAAAATCCCTCGCCGAGCCCGGAAACCCCCTCGAACCCCTCCCAACCGACCACCCCATCCCGATCATCATGTACCTCTCCTCCCCTACCTTCTCCGGTCGCCCCACCTGGACCCTCATCCTCCCCTGGCGCCATGTCTCCCCCATCTGGCGTAGCCTCCTGCACTACCCGCTCCGCACGGGCGGCACCCTCCGCCTCGGCGGCCTGGACGAAAAGCGCCAGATGCATTTCGAACGCCACGAGCCGTGGTTCCCCGGCGACTTTCCCGGGACGCAGGCAGGGCGAGCGTGGGAGATGTTGGAGCGGCAGAAGCGGCGGAGGGAGTGGGAAAGGCGACCGAAGGGGAAGCGGACGGAGTATGGGAGTTTGGAGTTGGGGTATGGGAGGAGGGGGGAGCTGGGGGAGGGGTGGGCGTGTGATTGGGAGTATTTGGTGGGAGGTGGGGAGCAGGAGGGGGAAGACTCGTTGACGGGGGCGAGATATCGCTATGTGGATTCTTCACTGGCATCAGCGGTGGCGGCTGAGACGATAGCACTCCCTGATACCCAAACAAATGCGATCGCCATTGTGCGGTTCACGATGGTCAATAAGGGCGTCCCATTGCCCTGCGCGAGGGTCTACCGTCTCCCTTCCAAGGACGCGGATCTTCGTCAGGCATGGCTTGGACTTGCGAAGGCGCCGAAGCCTATGGTACTTACCCCATCTATCATGTTTCCTCCCACCATATAACTAACGCTACTAAACAGAAACCCTTCAAAGATCAATCTAGTCCATACTCCTACGTGGAGGGTGACACTCCAAATCCAACGGGCCCAAAGCCGGGCGACCCGCGGTATCCGAAGGTGCCGGGTGAGGAGGACTTCATTGGCTTTGTCACGACGGGGAATATGAATCTGGCGGAGGGGCTTGGTACTGGAGTCGGAGGACTATTGCTTCGGAAACTCGTCCGCAGCCCGGCCGCGGATGGTGAGGCACAGCACGGCGATGGTTCGAAGGGGCAACAACTGTGTATTGTTCGGACGGCGGGGGAGAGGTTTGGGAGGCTTGCAAGGTGGGATTTTGTATAGTAGTAGCTAGTCTCTAAGTTTATAGCTATCAGCCTCACAATTCGTCCGATTATATCTCCAGCCTCGATGATCAAGGAGTGCCCAGGCGTTGATCGGCGGGTGGCGTCTCAGCTTGCTGCACGTAAATTGCATGGGCCCTGGACCAGGCGACTTGTGAGGAGGCCTCAGGCGACAAGGCCTACACCAACTCCGAGCATCTCCTGTAGATCTGGACCGAAGTGATATCTCCGCGATCGACCAGACAACAGGTTGAACCCCCGAAAACCGCTGGAACGACCATATTGGATCCGTGTGAGAGGTCTTCCTATCTTTACCCGACGCCCTACCTCAAGGACTTCGACACCCCCCTCCCAACGCCTCGACGAACTGCCGCGGGATATGTGCCTGGTACATCACCGAACCACGAGATAGATGGACGCAACAGCAACCGGCTGTGCGTGAGTTGTCGCGATACCCACTCGAGGGGGATTTGAGCGTTCGTCAAGCCTGACACCGGTGGGCGGACGAAAACTGGTTGCAGAACGAAGTGGCAGCTTGTTGTAGTGCGTCTGATTTCTCGGTCTTGAGACGCTGTACGACCGTTCAGAAATTATCGTCCCCGATATTTGGTCCCTGGCAATTTCCACGCAGAGGCGAGGTGGGATTATACCGACTGCATTGGACGGCTGGATTTCGATGACGAGATCGAGTGAGCCGTAACGGTTGGACTTTTGTTCGCCTTCACTTTTCCTACATATATCCTCCGACGGTCACATCACATCCACACCTCCACACTCTAGTTCCTTACATTATGGCTGAAGGAAGCAGACATCAAGGGTCACCCGTCCAGAACGGGACACAGATAATCCAAGTTAGAGAAAGTAGCATGGCTGGCCTGGTACACCTCTCAAGCCCCATCCGTTTGCCATCAACTAACCCACGTAGGCCACTAGCATCCTCGAGGATTGCCTCCACAACATCATCCACGACATCGTCCTCTCCACCCACCGCTCCGAGAAGATCCTCCGCATGAACTCCGCCGCCGTCCAAGCCATCAATCACGCTCAAGCCACCGCCGCCAACGACGCCCCCTCCGCCAAGAACAGCGCCCTCACCCAAGGCCAACCCCCCCAAGTCCGCGTGGAGACCGACGGCGCCGTCTACGAGAACGGCAAGGTCACCCTCAAAGACAACCCCCTCAAAACCACCCCCGACATCTACTGCCCGCAATGCCGCCAACCCCGCCTCCAATACCCCCTTCTGGGCCACAACTCCCGCACCCCCGACCTCTCCGCCTCCTTCTGCTCCCTCCACCCCTTTATCAATATGCCCGGCCACGACGTCTACGGCAACCCCTTCCCCACCGACCCGGCCCGCACCAAGAAGGAGCGCGAGCTCCTCAAGCAACAGGCCCGCGCCGAGAAGGATGGCACACCCGGCAGCCAGAACACTGAGACCGGCCAACACACCCCGGACGAAAAAGATCCCCACGGCCCTAACGGCAACGGCGCCGCCGCCATCACCGCAGCCGCCATCCAGAAAATCGGCGCCGGCAGCGGGAAACCCGCCCACTACATCCCCTGGCACACCTGCCCGAACTGCAAACGCAGCTTGCTGATCACCCGGTTCGCCCAACACCTCGACAAGTGTCTGGGCATCGGAGGCCGCGCGTCGAGCCGCAACGCGATGGCGCGGATGAGCGGCGCCGCGGGCACGGGGTCCAGCACGCCGCTCGGGGCGAGCAGCCGGACGGGCAGCCCGGCGCCGAAGCGGGGTGGCGACGACGACGAGGAAGAGGTGCGCGGGCCGAAGAAGAAGCGGAATGGGGTGGGGAGTGGGTTAGCGCGGCGGGAGCAGAAAGGATCCGGGATTAAGTTGACGATTAAGCCGGGGGGAACGAAGGGGGGTGGTGGGAGCGGGGAGGCGAACGGGGGGACTGGGAAGCGGGAAAGGGAAGAGGAGGGGGAGGCGCCGAGGAAGAAGATGAAGTTGATGAAGGAGGGGAGCGTGGTGAGTGATGTGGTGGAGGAGGCGAATGGCGCAGATAATGCGAGTACCGCGACGGCGGGGGAGGCGGATTAAGGGGTTGGATTGCTGGGATTCGCATTTGATAGCGCGACAGGCGGTGAAGTGGTGGGTTGGATGTACTATCATCCAGAGGCATTGCATTTGAGCTGTCCCGTCGGCTCGAGGGCTGAAGAGACTTCAGGGACACGCGACCGGGGAAAGGCGTTCTATATCCGGGTTTGGCCACAGGGAAGGAGTTTCTCTTGTATGATCAGATCCCGAATCCGCACCCCCGATGCTCTGCAATGGAATTTACTTTTCTCTTTCAATCGGTAGCTCCTACAGTGCATCACGCTTTCGGGATGGGAGCCTCCTGATACTCAATGAAAGATAACATGTTTTGAAGACGTTAAATTCCAAGGCTGGACGGCATCGCCAATGTTTCGCCGATACGCCGGGGTCATGCGACGGGATATCAACAAGGGCCGTAATGTACATCTAAACCCAAGCCCAACCGCTCGCAAGCGTTCAATACATCAACCATCAAACCCAAACAGATCCCAACGCCCGTTTCAGAGATGTAAGCCACCAAACCACCTCGTTATACCAGTCCCAAGTCCCTTAGCTTCAACTCTCCGCCGCCGCAACCTTCTCCGCAACCGCCGCCCCTCCACCCACACTCTCACTCACCACCGGCGTCACATTCTGCGGCACCCTCCCCGCTCCTCCACCCACTCCCGCCGCCTGCCCCGCCACCGCCGCATTCAACCGTTGATCCAACGCCTTCAGCGCCAACGCCCTCCTCCTCTCCGCCTCTTCCCTACGCGCCCCCATCCCCGCGCGACCCACCCCATTCGGATTCATCAAACCTGGCAACCCGCCGTCCGCGCGCGCCTGCGCCTGCTCGTTCCCCATCTCGATATCCTCGGCGCTAAATGGCGCGCAGACCCGTACGGAGACGAGGAGCTCGTACAGTGGGTCCGCGACGGCGGCGATGGGCGGCTGCACGGCGTCCGGGAAGAAGCTGGCGAAGCTGAAGGTGTCGGAGGGATCGCCCTTGATGGTGGAGAGGTCGCCGGTAGCGGTGGCGGCGAGGGAGGGAGAGAGGCGGAAGAAGCGGAGGTAGGTCCAGGCAACGAGGAAGCCGAGGAGGGAGAGAAAGAAGGTGGAGAGGTGGAGGAAGACGAGGGAGGAGAGGAGGGAGAGGAGGAGGTAGAGGGCCGGGAAGTGTTTGACACGAATGCGGAGGAGGGAGCGGAAGAGGGAGACGGTGTGTTCGGGGACGAGTTGTTTGAAGGCAACGAGGAAGGCGGCTTGGAGGGCGGCGGTGCCGGAGATGGTGGTGGTTCTGGGGATAGTCAGCAAAACCCTTTAAACTCTAGCAGACGGAGGGCCGGAGAATCGACTTACAGAGCATCGACGTCTTTCGTCAACATATACCAGACGACGCTCCCTATCCACACCCCAATATTCGGCAACATGCCCGCAAACAACATAAACTTTACGAACTCCTTCCCGCCCCACGCCCGCTCCAAATACCGCCCGCCGAAGAACAACATCATTCCCGCGATCAGCAGCCCGAAGAGGTTCTGCTCCACCAACGCGGACGTCGCAGCCGTCCAGGGATACACGATCGACACGCCGGGCACAATGCAGAGATACGGGGCGCCTCCGGGGGTGTTGGTAGAGAAGCCTGTACGTTCGAGGGTGTAGAGGGGGCGGGCGATGGCGTTGAGGATGGTGAGGAGGGTGAGCACGGCGAGGAAGAGGCGGGTTAAAGGGGGGATGTTGATGCGAGGCATGGTTGGGAGGGGATAGGAGACGCGATCGGTGAGGGAATGGGGTGGGAAGGTCTGGGGTTTAAATGATATAGGGAGGATGTGGGGAGGAGAAGAAAAAAAAGAAGATCACATTCAACTCAATATGGTTAAACGAAGGTGAGGAAAGGAAAGGAGATAGATATGATGGTGTGGAGCTGTCGATGTGGAACTTTTAGAGGATGTTGGGGAATATCCCGTCCCCAGATGTTGGACGGAATCCCGGTCCGGATCACGTGCTTCAATCAATTCCTATCAAACGGCCTCAGGTGGAAAGTCGACCTTAATTAACGACAGATACAAGCCACATGCATACAACACAGTAGAGTTATCCTCATTCGAGGTCATCCGGTTAATAATAACCTTGCTTGGAAATATGTGCGTTCCCATCATAACATCAATGCAGTCCTATTGTATTTCGTTCCAGTGATCGCCAACTCCCATCAAACACGCCCTTATGGCGGACGGTGATGATGATACAAATGAGACTTAAATTTGGAATCTAGCCGATCACATCTCCTAAGGATGCGACTTCCGGTAAACTCCTGGTCCGGTCCATATCTACTGTTCGTACAATTATACCTAGGTGTTCAAACTTGAAGTGAAGGAAGAGTAAGGGTGACCTTACTAAACTCGTTCTCTTCGACCACCTTAACAGGACGTGGCAAAGCCGTTCATTCTTCCACAACATATAGCGCAGCCCTCTTGTGTAGGTGCCATAGTATAGGAACTCAATCATCTCCGCCACTAAATGGTCGTCGAACTCCATGATTACGATCCTGTTGGTCTGCGACTGCTAACCACACACAGTAAGTACATATTTCGACTTTATACACGCTACCAATCTAACCTTAAAGCCGTGTTTTAAGGCTACTGCAAGGACGCATGACTGGTGCAGGACAGCCCTCTTATGCACCAAGAGATGTGAACGCCCGCACTCGATCATCAAGTCGTCTGCATGGGGCAGGAACACATTACCACTATCACCGACCAATATCGCTTCTAAAAACCCCAAGAACGTGTTGAAGACACCGATGTAAGGACTTTGCGAGCAAACATTTGGAGAACATGCAGGAATACACCATTAAAAAAGTGTTATACACTTTCCAAGGACCCTTTATCACTGTGGTTGAATGAAGTATGGAAGCTTGATCCTTCTAGGAGTGTCCGAGTCCACGTGTTTTACTATGCTTATCGCCATCCTACCTTTGAATCCAGTACTAGTTTCAAGCATGTTTGTATCGAGCTCAGAGAAGGAAATTGCAAGGTATAGATGGATTGAATGATACTAACAACAAACAAATAAAATAGACCCTCCAAATATTGGACTAGATATCTGATGATTGTGATAGGACTCGTATGAACGAGGAAATGGGCAGGAAAATCAACTTGACAAAGAGCTATCGAAGAGACTTGTTTCCATCTACAGTCAACCTTCGCTATAACGATTGAAACAGTACAGGCGAATCCAATCGTTATAACGCGGATATCGCTAAAACGAATTTTCTTGGCAGCATTGATTGAGAATCCGTGCAGGGAATCTTATCGCTATAACGCGAATATCGCTGTAGCGGTAATCGTTATAGCGGTGGTTGACTGTACTTTAAAGTTATGAAAAGAAGGAATTGCTTGGCTGTCTCTTGATAAGCCATCATAGGGGTTGGTTCAATAAAACTCGTCAAATAGACAACGGATTTGATATATCAAAGTCATGACTCGGGGATGTGCTGTTCCAGGGTTGGCTTTCTTTGCTCGAAGATCTCCGTTCGTCCGGCTCCTGATTTGGATATCTTCGATAGTTAAGCCTTCAAACCTAGTAGCCATTATATTGCTTCGCCAAACCCAAGTCTCATAATTATCATCCAAACTCTCGCTAACCTCCACGACTGAAGCCAGAATAGAGAAATTAAGCCTTTCCCGGAGGCTCGGTTAATATACCCCCAAAATCCAAATCTTCCCGCCCGTCCGAGCGAAGCCCCCATATGATTCGCCGCTGACCCGTTCCTGTCCCGATGTTAGGCTGAACTTGGCGGCATGGTGCATCCGGTGGCTGGGGGGTGACCTGCATGCCGCCGGAACTAAAGGCTGAGAGGGATCGAGGGTTAGGACCGGAGTCGAGGCTACCGGAGCGAAAGCTGGAGATGGGAGTCTGGAGAACCGAGAGTATCCGGGGAACCGGGGGTTGGAGGAGGAAAGTTGAGATCATCTACAGTGGGTAGGAAGAGGAAGGTCGATGAGATATCCCCGTAAGCAACACCATCTCAGAACCGATATCCAGAATGCAAAACGTCATCGCGAAACTGCCGCCCTCCATGGAGAAATATCGATGGCGATTCATGGTCTCGTGGTCGGCTACAAAATCGCCCGATCTTCGTATCGAAGAATTGGCCGACGTGATGCGCTTCTTCCCTTCACTCTCATTGGCAGATGCAAGAAATATTGAATGGGGGCCTCTACAGTCTACGACTAGGTATACAGAGTGTACAGACTACTGGATTCGCCTGTGCAACCCCAGATCCTCGATGATCGGCTGTCGAAATGCCTCAAAAGTCAGACGGAGGGGAGGGGCCATATTAGTTGGACAGGATGCGATGTGAGTAATTGAGGAGGATTAGTGCATCCATGTTCGGAGTTGGGAACACAATTGGCAGCCTCAGAGGCATGGCCTTCCGGATTCCTTGTTGTCCGGCGGTAGTAACCCGGAATTACCAGATCGATATCATCTATACATAAGAATAGGGGGTAATTGGGGTTATATTGTATCGTTTGTATGGGAAGCAAAGTGCGATGCTCCCCGCAACCCCCGCCGCCGTCATCGCATCGAAATTCGGGACTGGAGGCGTCGCTGGTCCCTTTGGTTCATTCATCTGTAATGAGAAATTGTCATTTGCCGGTTAGCAGCATATACATAATCCGCTGGTCCGCTCCTTCGTTCGACCTCGTCCTCCATTTCTTCCATCTCCTCCATTTCATACCGACCTCGCCATCTTTCTGTATTATACCCGATCGTAAATTGATTCGATTCACCGCACGTATCGAGCATTTATAGTGCGCGGCTCCTGACGGCACAGATCCCGACGGACTCCCCACCCTACGTTCCGTCGATCCGACGACAAGAAGAAATCGTGGAAATTTGGAAAGTCGTGAGAATACAGTAAATTCTGGCCCATCATGTCTGAAGGAGATGTCAAACCGCCAGTTGTGGGAGAAGCCCATGATGTAGACACTTTCCATGGTATGTTTCCGTCCCATCTCGAATTCTCAGTGAAACGAATTTCAGCTGATGCGAACCGCACAGTCCCCAAGGCATTTTTCGAGTAAGATTTCCTCCAGTGTCTTGTTTTCAAGGAATTCCTGGGAAAAGAATGAAATGCAGAAGATGCCCACCCTTCCACTGGATATCCGGATACACCGAGACTGGAGATCAGTATACGATCTCGCAAAATGATATCGATATTTCCTAGCATCTAAAACTAACCTTCCCCAGCAAACACCCCGGAAAACCCCATCTCGAATCCCTCGAACACTACCAAAAGCTCTACAAAGAATCCATCGACGAACCCCATGTCTTCTGGGCGCGCATGGCCCGGGAGCTCCTCTCCTGGGAACGCGACTTCCAAACCGTCTACTCCGGCAGCCTCGCGAACGGTGACAACGCCTGGTTCCTCGAAGGCCGCCTCAATGCCTCCTACAACTGCGTCGATCGCCACGCCTTCGCCACCCCGGACAAGCCCGCCATCATCTACGAGGCCGACGAACCTGAAGAGGGCCGCGTGCTCACCTACGCCGAGCTCCTCCGCGAGGTCAGCCGGCTCGCCTACATCCTGCGCCAGATGGGCGTGCGGAAGGGCGATACGGTGGCGATCTACCTGCCGATGATCCCCGAGGCGGCGATCGCGTTCCTGGCATGCGCGCGCATCGGCGCCGTGCACTCGGTCGTGTTCGCGGGGTTCTCGTCCGACTCGCTGCGGGACCGCATCGTGGATGCGCAGAGCAAGGTCGTCATCACGACGGATGAGGGGAAGCGCGGAGGGAAGGTCATTGGGACGAAGAAGATCGTGGACGAGGCGTTGAAGGGATGCCCGGATGTGAGCCATGTGCTGGTGTATCAGCGCACCGGGGCAGAGGTGCCGTGGACGAAGGGGCGGGATTGGTGGTGGCATGAGGAGAAGGATAAGTGGCCCAGCTATCTGCCGCCGGTGAGCATGAGCTCGGAAGATCCGCTGTTCTTGCTGTACACCTCGGGCTCGACGGGCAAGCCGAAGGGCATCATGCATACCACGGGTGGATACCTCCTCGGCGCTGCGATGACCGGCAAATACGTCTTCGACATCCACCCTAGCGACGTCTTCTTCTGCGGCGGCGACGTTGGCTGGATCACTGGCCACACCTACGTCGTGTACGCGCCGCTGCTGCTGGGCGTCGCTACCGTCGTCTTCGAGGGCACCCCCGCGTACCCCAACTTCTCCCGCTACTGGGACGTCATCGAGAAGCACGGCGTCACGCAGTTCTACGTCGCTCCCACCGCGCTGCGCCTCCTCAAGCGCGCCGGTGACCATCACGTGAAGCATCAGATGAAGACGCTGCGCGTGCTCGGGTCGGTCGGCGAGCCGATCGCGGCGGAGGTGTGGAAATGGTATTTCGAGATCGTTGGGAAGGAGGAGGCTCATGTCGTTGATGTACGTTCCCTCTCATGTTACCTCGCCTTAGACCACTGCTGACAATGCGCAGACTTACTGGCAAACCGAGACCGGCTCCCACGTCGTCACCCCCCTGGGCGGCATCACTCCGACCAAACCCGGCAGCGCGTCCCTCCCCTTCTTTGGCATCGAGCCCGCGATAATCGACCCCGTCTCCGGCGAGGAAATCCCCGGCAACGATGTCGAGGGCGTGTTGGCGTTCAAGAAGCCATGGCCGAGCATGGCGCGCACGGTGTGGGGCGCCCACAAGCGATACATGGACACCTACATGAGCGTGTACCCGGGATACTACGTAAGTCCACGTTTCCGATCGCTACGGGGAATCTCACTGATGTGTTTCGCGGATCTAGTTCACTGGCGACGGCGCAGGTCGCGATCATGAAGGCTACTACTGGATCCGCGGCCGTGTCGACGATGTCATCAACGTCTCCGGCCACCGCCTCTCCACCGCCGAAATCGAAGCCGCCCTCCTCGAGCACCGTACGTCTCCCCTCCCCCCCTTTCCACCCTACTAAAACTAACCCCTCGTAGACTCCGTCGCGGAATCCGCCGTCGTCGGCGTCGCGGACGAACTGACCGGCCAAGCGATCAACGCCTTCGTGGCACTCAAAGACGGCATCGAGACGGACGCGATCAAGAAGGAGCTGACGCTGCAGGTGCGGAAGAGCATCGGGCCGTTCGCGGCGCCGAAGGCGATTTTCGTGGTGCCGGACTTGCCGAAAACGAGGAGCGGGAAGATCATGCGGAGGATTTTGAGGAAGATTGTAGCCGGGGAGGAGGATCAATTGGGAGATACGAGTACGGTGAGTGGTTTTGGTTTTTGTTACTGATGGGATGAGAGGGGTTGATTTGCTGTGGAGAGCATATCGCTATCCATGTGATACGGACTTCGCTGGACGGCATTGCTTGCATTGCCTCCTTTCTCCATCCCCTCTCCTCCATCGCTTTTCCTTCCCATTTCAACCTGTTTTCGAGCTTTCCGTTTACAAGTACGATACTAACTGACGCGTCCTACAGCTGAGCGACCCTAGCGTCGTCGACAAGATCATCGAGACGGTGAAACAGAGCAAGAAATAAGCATCCCCCTTCGATCCGATGCGACATGGGGAGCTCGACTGGTTCGTATCAGTGGTGGTGATGGCGCTATGTCATTCCTCAAGCCATTGTCCGAGGAGATCGAGAGAGGAGCACGATGTGGTTGATTATGTGATATGATTACGGAGGACATATGGGTCGTTGCAGTATTGGATACGATGATGGGTTCTGTTCGAGAACGTACGGACCAGGAGATTTACTGCTGGATTTATTCGGTAGCGCGGGTAATTAGTTACAGTGCGAGATATCAATTCCATGCAGATTTCAATGTTCCGAGGGAGACGATGGTGTGATACGGAAGAGGAACACTCCTCCGGTCGGGGTATAATATACGATACTTACCTACCCACCGGACTACCAAGCGCAGTTCCACGCGGTTCTCCAACCCAGCTCGCCGAGCCCATGGTTCCACCATGTTTCCCTCGTTCTCCGTGCATACTTCCGGAAAAGTTCACCGTCGGCATTGCCCCTATGCCTGAGATCTCCGATCTTGGTATCCTGATCCGCCGACTTCCCCACGAACGAACATCATGACCGTCTTGGCAGACCGATGGAGCCAAGATATGCTAACTGCTAAGGGGTAGTGGTGACGTTTGATCTCGGAGTTGGATGGATGCAGGAAGCGGTGGTGGATGAAGATGCGGAGCGTCTGGAGTTGGGGTGGGCACGGGACACGCGGCCTGGAGGCTAACCGCATTGGGTAGTGAGATATGTCTTGCTCACGCCTCACACAGCACGCTGCGCCATGGGGGCGGAAATAATGTAGAGGGGGCAGATGATGAATTATGGTAATATGGTTACTTGGGGTTCGCTCGAATGGAAATAGGGCATAGAGACTTACTATGTAGAGTCTGGTAGAGGGGGAACAATGGGTACTAAAGACGGATATAACAGAGAAACGCCACCTACGGCATCCAGCGTGCCAGCTTCCTCTGCCTACTGGATGCTCCTTGAAGTATCACCAGTTTGCGGGTTTATGCGATAACTCTTCTATTATCTGTATCCGAAGTGGAAGTCCCTCTCTCCGCGCCATCAGCCAAGCAACCGGAAAGTCTAAATAGTAATCCGACGGTCAGAGACTTGAGGGAAGGCATCCCAAGTCCCATCCATACTCCCCTGTGTTACAGACTGACAGACCGCGTCTCAAAGTCTCACTGTCTCATACTCTCATGCCCCCAATCCTGTCCAATTTAACATGGGAGGCCTGGATCTTCTGTCGATCATTGGCTCACCCGACAGGAATAAACATTCCATCCTTCGGTTCGCACGGATTTTGCGACGCTAACTGCAGCACGCAGCCCGATTCGAGCATTACAACCAACGGTTGCTCAGCCTCGTCTCTCTGACGACGCTGGGGTTCTCGGCTTTGTAAGGAAGGAAGAGGCTCATACACTAATACCTTCACTCGTATTCGACACTCCATGGTGGGAATTCCATCGTTCTGGTCTCAGTCGTATCGTTGCTTGAAAGTCTGACCCATCTCCACCCTTCACTATTCCGTGTTCTGGTCGTTCCGTGAATGCAAGTCCCGTGCCTCCAACCGTAAACCGAGCACGCGAACACATAACACATCCATCACACGTTCTCGCATCACCACTCGTTTGTGTTGTGGACTCCTGCAGGAACCTGTGAATTGTGAATCGTTGCCCTCTTTCCGTTGTACGGGCAATCTGTCGAACCGCCGGGTTTGGCGGAAGAGACGCTCCCCCACAGCGCCGCGGTTTTCGCTGACATACGCCTTTGCCTCCTCCTAGTCTAAATAAGGAACAACACCTCTGATCTTAATCTTTACAACAAAACCACATCCTCATCCTTTATGGCACGGTGGCTGCGAAGTTTTGATCGTTCGAATTGATATTTGCTATTTGAATTTTCTCCTGTGTCGCATTTCTGCGCCGTCCTTCACTTCCGATCCTCTCGTTCGCCATCAGAGCAGAAGACCCTTCCTGGACCCTCACCGGACCCTCACTCATCCTCCGAAACCCTTCCTCCTCCTCCCATAGTCCCGGTGGCCACGGGAGAGAAATCCCCTAACCACCTCCCATAATGCTCTTTTTTAGAGCCTCGCTGCTGGCGCCGTTAATAGCCCTCGTCAGCGGCAGCTCCGTCACCCGCAACCCCCTCACCCACCTCGGCGTCGTTACTAATCCCACCATCCACACCCCAAGCCATCGTGTCAACGCTCTCTCCTCCTTCGACCTCTCCTTCGACCTGCACGGCCAGCGCATCCGCCTCGCCCTCGAACCGAACTATGACATCCTCCCCGAAGGCGCCACCATCGAGTATCTCGGCGTCGACGGCGAGGTGCTGCGTCGGGAGCCGATCGAGCGGCAAGACCACAAAGTGTTCAAGGGGTCAACGTGGGTGGACGGCACGAGAGCAGGGCATGCGCGGATCGTAGTGTTTCGGGACGGGATATACCCACTATTTCAAGGGAGTTTCGACGTCGGGAGTAATCATCACCATGTACAGTTGGACTCGCACTACATGTCGACGAAGCACGAGTTCGATCCGCAGTTGGACGCGAGGGACGACGAGTATATGGTGTGTTTCCGCGACTCGGACATCGCCACCGAGCAAATGCACACCGAGCTGCGGCGGAGCGTCGAGCCGAGCAAGGCCTGCTTGTCGGATGGGCTGGAGTTTAATACGCAGCCGGACCATCCGGTGTACCGGGCGATGCTGAAGCGCGACGATAATTTCTGGGGGACCCCGATCGAGAGTTTGTTCGGAAAGCGGCAGATTGACAGTCGACCGGGAGGTGGCAACGCGGGCGGCATCAACCTAGCATCGTCCGTCGGTCAGACGGCCGGCTGTCCGACGACCCGGAAGGTCGCGCTCGTCGGCGTCGCCACTGATTGCGAGTACAGCAAGGCGTTCAACTCGACCGAGTCTGCCCGCCTAAACGTCATCCAGCAGATGAATTCCGCCTCGGACCTGTACGAGCGAACTTTCAACATCTCGCTCGGCCTGGCCAATCTGACCGTCAGCGAACAGACCTGTCCCGGCACGCCGCCGCCGACGCAGCCGTACAACATCCCATGCGGCGGCGCCGACATCCAGGAACGATTGAACATCTTCTCGGGCTGGCGAGGCGAGCGAAAGGATCAAAACTCGCATTGGATGTTGCTCACGAACTGCCCGACAGGGACGGCGGTCGGCCTTGCGTGGCTGGGACAGGCATGTGTAAACGAGGCGCTCGAAAATAATTCCACGCGGAACGGCCAAATGGAGATCACCAGCGGTGCGAACGTGGTCGCCAAAACCTCCACCGAGTGGCAGGTCATTGCGTAAGTTCGCTCCATCCCCCTTGAAATCCTCACCCTAACCATCGATAGCCACGAAACCGGCCACACCTTCGGCGCGGTGCACGACTGCACCTCCGAATCCTGCAATGACGGCGTCTCCCTCTCCTCCCAACAATGCTGCCCCCTCTCTTCCTCCACCTGCAACGCCGGTGAGCAATTCATCATGAACCCCTCTACGGCCCGCGGCATCACTGCCTTCTCTGCCTGCTCCATCGGCAACATCTGCACCGCCTTCCGCCGCAACTCCGTCCGCACCTCCTGCTTCACCGACAACCGCGGTGTCACCACCATCTCCGGGCAGCAATGCGGCAACGGCATCGTCGAGCCCGGCGAGGACTGTGACTGCGGCGGCGCCGACGACTGCGGTGACAACACCTGCTGTGATGCCGCCACCTGCAAGTTCACCGCCGGCTCCCAGTGTGACGACAGCAACGAGGACTGCTGCGATTCTTGCAAGTACGCTCCCAGCACCCGAGTCTGCCGCGCCAGTACCGGCGAGTGCGATCCGCAGGAGACGTGCGCGGGGAACAGCGCGACGTGCCCGAAGGACGATCGGGCGCCCGATGGGCAGGGGTGCGGGGACGGGTTGAAGTGCTCGAGTGGGCAGTGCACGAGTCGCGACCTGCAGTGCAAGACAGTGATGGGGAGCTATACGCGGAACAACGACACGTACAGCTGCGATCATACGACGTGTCAGCTGAGCTGTCAGAGTCCAGAGTTCGGGCCGGGGAGGTGTTATGGGTTGAATCAGAATTTCCTGGACGGGACGGAGTGTGGTGGTGGAGGGAAATGTCAGAACGTAAGTCCACTCTTCCTCATCCTCCCGCCTCTTTCCTCGTAACATAACCGCTAACTCCATCCAATAGGGCCGCTGCACTGGCTCCTCCTTCGCCAAAGAAGTCGGCAGCTGGATCGAAACCCACAAACCCATCGTCATCGGCGTCAGCTGCGGCGTCGGCGGCCTCCTCCTCCTCGCCCTCCTCTCCTGCCTCTGGAGCTGTATCCGTCGCCGCCGTGGCCGATCTGCTCGACGCGCGCCCACCTGGCCGCCCGTGCCTCCGAACCAGATCCCAGGCATGCACCAGGGGACGCAGTGGAGTCCCTCGAGAGGGCCCGGGGGGCCGCCGATGGGAGGGCCAGGGCAGCCGCCGGTGCCGGAGCAGGGAGGATGGTATCCGCCGCCGGCGCCGGTGTTTGCGAGGGGGCAAAGCGTGCGGTATGCATAGGAGGAAAAAAGGAGTAATGATTCATGCCCGGTTCGGGTTCCTTTCCCTACGAAACGACGCATACGGTCAGTGGGTTATCACGGTCTTCTCGGGCGAGATCGGGCTCGGGATTGAGCGGAGTTCTTTGTTATGGACATTTTATGGTTGCATTGGAATGGCGTTTGGGATTGGGGCCTGGGTTGGTGTTTGGGTATCTTAGCATAGAGGTGGTGATTCGGGCATGGGCGCGCAGAGAGGACGAGGTTTGGGTGAGACGACTGTGATACCCTTCGCACTCGCATTGTTTAGCTAGTGCGTGTTCGAGAAGTCTTATCCTGATTGATAGACTGGTCAGGGATTTGAAGGCCCTCAATGGCTGAGGGTCGTACAGTGGCCGGTTCTAGATATTATGTATACGGAGATGAGAGATCAATGTCAGCGGATTTTGCTAGACAGTCGTATTGGTTATTTGGAAGTGTTATCTGTATCCGTAATGCTGTGGCGTATTCGGAGTCGAGCGAATCAGCGTCATCAACTGTCAGACGCCTGGGTGGGTTCCCCAGCGGTTCCGTCCCCGGATTCCAGGGGTTGGATAGAAACAGGGGTTGCCCAATCTGATATCAACGACAAAAGCCCATCAAAATTCGAACCCCCAAATCCATCCTCCTCTATCATTATCCCCTCTCCCCTTACCTCCTCCTCCGCATCCCCCCCATCCCACCATGGCCCTCTTCCACATCGGGGATTTCCCCATCGACCCCATCACCCTCTACTCCATCACCACCTTCACCACCCTCCTCCTCGTCTCCTTCCTCGCCCTCCACCTTCTCCTCCCCCGCACCGCCTCCCTCGCTCCCCGTCTCCTCTTCTTCTGGCACACCTTCGACTCCCTTGTCCACTTCATCCTCGAAGGCTCCTTCCTCGCCCACACCTTCCTCTCCTCCACTCCCATCCTCCCCGCCCCCCGCGATCCCAGCGCCGCCATTCACCCGCTCACCCCCCCCGGCGTCTTCTGGCTTAACGACCCCGCACGCCTCTACGGCGTGAAGTTCGGGGAGGGCTGGTTGGCGGGGATGTGGCGCGACTACGCGCGCGCGGATCGCCGATGGGAGGGCGCGGATTTGACGGTGGTGAGCTTGGAGGTGTTGACGGTGGTGGTGGGGGCCCCGTTGGCGGCGGGGATCGCGTGGGCGATTTGGCAGGCGGGGGGGCGGGTGCAGAGGAAGACAGCATTTTGGATCACGGTGTTGGCGACGGGGGAGATTTATGGGTGTAGGTTATTTTTTTTACGATTTTCTGCTAGTTTGGGGCGGGTGTCTGGTATATTAGGCATTCAGGAGACATGCTAACGCTTTTTTCGCTTGCTTTAGCTTGGATGACATTCGCGCCGGAGTGGTTTACCGGATCGCCGAATCTGGATATATCGAATCCCATCTTTCTGTAAGTTTGACGTATTTTACATCCCCCTTTTAGGGGCGATGCATCTCGCCGACTTGATCGAAACGACGTCCCTACTGACCGGCGGCATAGGTGGTGCTATCTAGTGTCCATGAACTTCGTCTGGATCGTCTTTGCCGTCTACGGGATGTATATTAGCTATGGGGTGTTGACGGAGGAGCCGACGACGAAGGCGGGGAAGAAGACACAGTGAGGTTGTTGCTGGATGGGTTGGGTGGGTTGATTGGTGTGGGAACCTGTGGTGTAATGGCATGTATTCTTGTGATATCTGGAAGCGGTTGTTGCTTGGAGTATTGTGCTGGGAGGAAATATAGGTCGCGGATCTTTTCATCCTGTATTTGTCTCATAGTCTCGGATGCCTCCCAAATCCATAATAAGCGAAAGATTCAATTGTTATCTGTGTATCAATATTCTGTTATAGTTGACCAATATCCCATGACCGTTCCATCCACTAGGCCTTCATCCAAATGTCAGTTTTGTAGCCATACCATATAGCCAAATACATGTAGTTTTTCCCTCAGGCGCCAATCCCCTATATAATACAATATTAATTAGTCTCGCAGGAGATAATCCGGTCAATGTCCGTGGCCACCCTCGCCCGCCAGGGCGATCAATGGCAGAAACATGCCCAAGAGCGTGCATCCGATCTCGGTACGCGTCAAGTTCGACCCGGACGACTTGGAGTATCCGTCGTACGCATGGCCATTCCCCATGCCGTCGCCGTTCGCCGACGAATACGGATTGGACAGATCCAACTCATGGGGTTCAACGGCGCCAAGCCCATTGGTCGCTTCGGAGAGGGAGTGCGTCGCAACATATCTGCTTGCGTTAGCATCATTTCGGGATGTACTTCGGAGGTAGGAACAGCAACACTTACAAGAACGTCCCGCCGCTGAAAATCAGCACGCACCCCGTCCACCACTGTCCGTTACTCTCCCCTCCCGCAGCCGTCCCCCACGACCCAAACGTCGAGATCGCACACCAGGCCAACAACGCGCCCATCGGCGCCGCAAGACTGAACACCAGCAGATGGCTCCGCGCAGTGCGCTTGCTCGCCCCGCGCTTCAGCAGCAGCGCGACGAGGCCGAACGCAGCGGGCGCTTTGTGGATCAGGATGGCGAGGAAGATCATGACGGTCAGCGAGTGGTGGGCGGCGTCGGAACCGGGCTTTGTGGGTTGGGAGGAAGAGGCGGAGGCGGCGCCGAGGGCGACGCCGTCGGCGAGGGCATGGATGAGGAGGCCGAAGGTGGTGGTTTGTGGACTGTGGGATTGGGGTGAGACGGGGAGGAAGGGGGTGGAGGGCGCGGTGGGGGAAGGGGGATGGAGGCCTTGGCTGAGGTCGGAGAGGGAGATGTGCATCGGGGCGCGGGGGCGGGAGGCACCGAGTTTGGGGAGGGCGTCGATGAGGTACATGAGGGAGAAGCCGAGGATAAGGGAGATGGAGATCCAGGTGTGGGGGGAGGAGGTGTCGGTCTTGGGGATCGAGTCGTAGACTTCGTGGGGGTCGGACGACTTCATCTCTTCGTCTTTGCTGGTGGTGCTGTCGAGATCTTTGCCTTTACTCTCGGTCTTCCCGCGCTCTCGCCAGTCACGCTTGCCGATGGATCGGATGTATTCGTCGGTGCTCCTCACATCGGGTTTTAAATGCTTCGGGCCCCTGAACCCTTCCGGTTCGTCTCGGTCCGCATCCAGCCCGATGTTATCGAAGGTGTGGAGTGAAAGCGCTCCCTGACCTCCACGTGTTGCACCCTCGCCTGGTTGGACGCTAGACTTTCGTGTATTGGCACTTGCTGAATATAATGTCTCGATTCCCTCGGGGATGATCACAATGAGTGCCGTGCCAACGAGGATGCCCGTTCCCAGGGCCGAGATTAGACGTAGCTGCCGTTTCGTAAGAGAGAAAGAGAGCGGGAGCAATCCTGCGAGAAATGACCTGCATCGAATAAGCGTGTGACATGATATCCATCGGTCGAAGTATATACGCAGCTCCCATTGCTCCGCTAAGGGAGAGAAGGAGGAATAGTCCGTCCCACATGTTGCCTGTGTATCTATAGGTAACTGTATCTGGTCCAGGGGAAGGGGGAGTGGAAGGGTCCAATGGATTAACGAAAGTTTAGAATGGAGATTTCAAGGCTCAAACATCCCCCAAACGACAGCTAGAGCAAACTTCACCTTGATCATAGCAAGAATTGACGAGGTGTCGATAGTTAGGGGAATGTATCTCCTTCAGCTACAGTAGGGATGAATCGACGGTTTCCATTCAGCTTCGTCATCACAGCACGTGACTAAGTACAAAAATGCCAAGCTTTACATCAGCCAATCAGCAATGTTGACCTAGCCAGCCCCTTCACTGCCACACTTACGCCACAACATCACTACATGGCGCATCTTATGGAAAACTTCGGAAGCACTGCGGCACTGCTTCGGACCAACTTCGGCCCATCATGTCTCCTCGTCCTCATCATCGCCCTTCACGTGACCGCTTCCAAAGGTTCCCTGTCTCCCTCCTATCGAAGCATCTTCAGCAATTGGAACTGGAGCTCTTGGGTTTGCCGCCGCTCCGGCTTCTGCCCTTTCTGGAGCTTGCGTTTCTCGAATCGCTTGTCGTCCAAGAGCCTGTTGACCCCCAATATCTACTCCTCCCGCCGATCAAGCGGGAACAGGTTAGGCTGTTTTTGGACACTCTCCCAAATCCTCCGTTCCAGGATCCAAACAGTGAGTTGGACATAGCACATTATCCTGATATCACACTCTACTCACACACCAACCCACTTCACCTCCGTCTTCATCACTTGCTTGAACACTATCTAATGTCACCATAGTCATTCCTTCTGGACCCTCCCAGAGTCCACCTACCATCATGGCTGAATGTGAGTGAGCCCTTCATGTTATTGCGTGCATCGCTGACCATATTTGTTAGGGCTCTCCGAAGCCAACAGTGTGGTTCACCTCGCTCTCGCTCAGGACAATCCCCAAGGAAAGCTCACCACAATCTCCGGTCCTTTCCCCCCATCGATGACCTATGCAATCTTCGGCGAAGAAGAGCAGATCTTCGGGTACAAGGACCTCCGCATCACCGTGAACTTTCGTGCACATGATATGCGCCCGGTCATCGACATTGGATACTCCGCTCAATTCACCCCGATTGGTGATGTCAAGCCGGTGGATTTGAAAGCCGCCCTGGCCAACTTCTTCCCTGCTTCGGCGTTGGACAAAGCCGCCGACCAGGAAATCGAGACTGCCCATACTGAAGCCCAATGGACTCCTCCCGGCGATATGGTCGCAGAATATCAACAAGACGGCCGAAAGTTCCAGATTTGGCGCGCAAGTTTTCTGGAACACCCCGAGGCGAAGCGCATCTTCCATAACATGCAAGTTCTTGTGCATCTCTTCATTGAAGGTGGGACGACCGACCTGTTGGATGAGCCCGACGACAGCCTTGGGCGATGGAAGATCTACTTCCTCTACGAAGTTCGACCCTCCCCCAAGTTTCGCATTCCCTACATTTTCAATGGCTTCTGTACCACCCACCAATTCTGGACCTTCCCTCATAAAGAGGCGCTGATCGCGCTTGGGATCCCGGGCTCAATTCCTGTCCCTGGAACGTCCGCACCGCCGGAGTCCATCGCGGCACCATTCCGCCCACCCATCGACGAGACCACCGGCTTCTACAAGCAATCCAGCGGTCTCGACAGCCCCTCCCGCCTCCGCATCTCCCAACTGATAATCCTTCCGCCTTTCCAACGCAAGGGACACGGCCACCGTCTCTACTCGACCATCTTCGCGGAGATGCACGCAAGCAAGTGGACGTACGAACTCGCCGTCGAGGACCCCAGCGAGGAGTTCGATTGGCTCCGCGATCTCCACGACTACGCATTCCTCCTCCAATACCCCGAATTCGCCGCCCTCTCCCTCCCGACGACCATCCCCGCCGCGAAATTCAAGCCTGAAGCCCCCATTCCCCTGAACGACATCGTCCCGCAAGACGTCCTCAAGAACCTTCGATTGAAGAGCCGGATCGCCAAGCGACAATTCCACCGCATCGTGGAGATGCATTTGCTGGCGCAGATCCCCAGCCTCAACCGCTCGCGGATCCGCATCTCTAAAAAAGCGCAGACTGTGAATCCTGACGATCGGAAGTATTTCTACTGGTGCACGTATCTCAAAGACCGCCTCTACAAGCGCAACTCCGACGTCCTCATCCAGCTATCGGACGAGGAGCGCACGAGAAGCCTGCAAGCGGTGGTGGACGCGGTGCAGGGGGAGTATGAGGAGCGGTTCGAAGTGATGAGAAAGAGAGGGATCGCCGTGGGGAGCACCACGGCTCAACCGGCTAAGGGAGGCGCGGCAACCGAGCCGACTCCGAGGAAATCCATGAAACGACCGGTCGTCGACGATGACGAAGAGTCGGACGATGAGGCAGGTGCTGGTGCGGACAGGCCGCGCGGGAAGACACCTAGGATTGATTGAGACCGAGATGCTGACGGTCTTTCAGGATTATTTGGACTAACTTGACAGTTTACCGGGCATAGCTGGGTATTGTCGATACGGTGGATAAAAACGGGCAACCGGAGGCGTTCATGGAGCCGCGAACATTTTCCTGGGCTTCAGGGTTACGGGCGAATAGAGACAAGGACCCCAGAGGCACTCATAGAGTGAGCCTGATGGTTGGGTTCAGACGCTACTATGGATAGAGAAGCGTTATCAGGCTTTCGAGGCGAACTCGATATATTCGGTACGATGGGTTCAAGCATGATTATGGTTACAGATACCAGGTATTAGCAAACAGGAAACATTCCAAAATGAAAATCGTTCAGACCATGCTTCGTTAATTCGCTTCAAATGCAATGCTAGCCGTCTCATTCGGTCGTCACCGTCCCACAAAATCCTCATTCACTTCATCCAAAGCATCAACCTCACATCTTTCCCCTCCCAACTCCCCCCAACCTTACAACACCCTCCCATAATTCGCCGGAAACAGCCCCTTCTCCCGACAAAACACCCCCCAGAACCAATCCCCATTTATGTCCTCCACCTCGCGGATTTCCGCCCCCTTCGGGAACGCCAGCTCGTTCGTCGCCTCTGCCTCAGGAAACCAGCCCCAGTGCGCCTGCACTCGCAACCCCACCCCTCCATCCGGCGGGAAGCGTGGCGTGGTTCCCGTGACCGTGGTGTCGAATTGCGCGCGGGACGGCGAGCGGGGGGTGCGCGTCTGCACGGTACCGTCCTCTTCATGCCACCACCATCCAGACAGCGAGCGCCCCGCACCTCCCTCCCCCGAGCCAGCAACGCGTTCCCCGCCCTCCGCGCCATCCGAACCCCTCCCCTCGCCCACCGCCCCCCTAGGCACCTCCTCATCCTTCAACGCCCACCCCCCAACCACCTCCCTCACTACCACCCTCCGTCCCCCACCGCCTCGCTCCTCAAACCCCACCACCTCCATCCGATGCCCACTCGGACACCTCCGCCACCCCTTCTCCCCATTCTCCGCCGCGATTGCCCCGCTGGCTACCAGCCCGGAGTAACACGCCGCACAGATGTCGAAGTTCCCCGCCTGGCAGTCCGGGCAGTGGAACCGCGTCCGCGACGGCGGGATCGGGTACCGGCACACGTCGCACGCCGTCGTGAACTCCAGCGGCGCGAACGCCATCCCTCCGATCATCGTTGGTGCACTCGGGAATTTCACGCTACTATTCGTTCCTTCGGGTGTGTGCGACAGCGGGAGCAAGGCGTGCGTGCAGTGCTTCGCTTGCACCACGCAGGAATTACAGTACCCCCACGCCCCGTCGTTGCACATCCCGCACTGCCAGTAGCACTCGTTCGCGAACCCGCTACACACGTCGCAGAACACCCCGCGCTGCACCCTTGTCGCGGGATCTTCCTCCGTGACCATCCGGCCACCTTGCGCGACCAACTCCCGCTTCGGCCGCGCGTACCGCTGCGCCGTGAGGGTGTGCGGAGGAGGATAGTCGGCGGGGTAGCCGCCAGGCGGGGCGGCGCGGTCGAAGCGCAAGCGAGCGGCGGGGCCGGCGCCGAAGTAGTGGAGGCAGCCGGCGCCGAGGCGGTAGCAGGGGTGGCAGAGGTGGAAGGAGCCGGAGTTGCAGAGGGGGCAGTAGTGGTGGAGGGTGTATTGGATGTTCGGGGTGGCGCATTTGGAGCAGGTGATGGAGGGTTCGGTGAAGAGGGAGGTGCGAGCGGGGGGGGAGGTGGTGGTGGTGGTTGGGGTTGAGATGTCGGGGGCGTGGGGTGTGGGGGTGGGGTTCTCTTGTCTTGCTGTGGGTCGGGATGGTGAAGGGAGTCGAGGCGACGAGGTGGGGGATTGGAGTAGCCCGCTGTTTGAGGTTGCAACCACTTCTGTCCGCGATGCACTTTGGCTCTGTCGTACAGGGCGAGCCCTCTCAGGGTCTGTCGACCGTCTATCGTTCGGATTGGGCCGCGACCTTCTCTCGGCGCTCGCCTCCGCCGTTTCTGGGGTATTCGACAGATCAGTCGCCGATCGAGCAGCGGCGTGGCTCGTGTACGATTGCGATCTAGACTGATCACTTGATCGTCCGCTCCTCGATGCTCCCTGGCTGGATGACCGGCGATGTCGATCCGAGGGCTGTCCGGTGGTGCGGAACGAAACGGGTGGGTGCCGAGAGGGTGAGGTTCCTGAGGGTGGGATATGGCTGGAGGAGCGCGACCGACTATGCCGTCCTTGATTAGGGTCTTCTGCATGGCGTGGAGTTAGCTGGCTTGGAGACCCTGGAGGTTGCGTCGGTCGTGGAGACGATTGACTCGGTGATCCAGTAGGATTCGTTGTAGTTCCGTGCGCCTCCGCAAGCTCTCGTCGCCGTCTATAGTACGCCTGGGCGATCATCTCCGTGAGCTCCTCCTCTTGTGACGGGGTCATATTGTTCACGTCGATCCCCTCCAGTAGCCCTTCTTCCACAATCTGCCGCATGATGGCCGCCTCAACCTCTTGCGAATCGTCTTCCGAGGCGCTCAGCAGCGATCTCAGGCTTGATTGATGCTCGATTTGGCGGGCCGGAACCACTCGCGGTGACCTTTCATCGTTCCCACGATTCCTATGCCGCCGTCGGCTTTCCTCCTGGCTCCGTGGCGGTCTCCTCCGACCATCTCCCGCAGCAGCACCAGCTACCACGCCAACTTCCCTCAGGCTCATCTCCCGCACCTGGCTCAACAAAGCCCGATCCTCCTCATCATCACTCACCACCTCCCTGTTCCGACTGCGCCGCTCAATCTTCGGGAGGACATCATCGCCCGGCTTATACATCTTCACCATCTCTTCCTTCTCTTTCTCGCTCTTCCCCTTCCCCGGATTCGCCTGTAGATACATGTCTAATAACGTCGTGACCGTCGCATTGTGCTTCGTCCCTCGGACCGTGGCGCGGCATGACGGGCAGGTATACGGATGTCGCGAGGGCTGGTCGCTGTGTCGCGCGGATTCGGCGGAGAAGGCGAACCATTCTTGCAGGCATGCGCCGCAGAAAGTGTGGAGGCAGTCGAGGAGCGTGAGCGGTTGGAAGAGGATGTCGGTACAGATCTAGTCACAACCATAGAGTTAATATTGCCCAATTCCAGTCCCCAGATTTCGAGGCAAAAGTACGGGACACCGGGGGATAGCTACCGAACAAGTCAACTCTTTCTCCAGGTCGATCAGACCCGTGCCTGTCGGACGCCCCTCAGCCATGGCGACAAAGAGTGCACGCTGGGACTTGCACACTCTTCGAATGGGAGATTGTCGGCTTTGGACAAGTTGCAAAAGGGGAAATATTTATTATGTCTCTACGGAATCCAACCTCGAAGGCTTTGGTGAGGGCTGGAATTGCCAGCGGAGCATACGAGGGGGAACAGGGCGGTCGGGCTCGGCATGCCTGCAGATCATGGTGGCGTTTGAGATTCGTGAGACGAATTTAAGGGGACTCGCAGGGCTTTGTCCTTTTACAGACAAGGTTACAAATGCATGGTCCTTGATTTGCCTTCGGTTCTAGGCAAGATTACGCGGTCGAGGATGATTAATATGACTCCTCAGCGGTCCTGAAACGGTACTCACAACCACTTGGAATGTTCAGGGAAAGTAACAATTGAACACCAGACAGCTGCCTCATCTCTTCGTATCATCATACAGAAGCTAGAAACAAAGTTGGCCCGATTTGAACACCCGAATGACCAGACCCTATCGATGCCCTCCAGACACCGTAACCATATATAAACACATCTCCTTCCGCATTGACGGGATGGAAGGAGAATGGAATGGTGAACAAGGGGGTTCTTCCCCTTCATACACGATACAATCGCCAATAATTGGTAGTAGGTAAGTAAGTATCGACTTTAAGCCGCAAAACCCGTCGAAAAGTCCGCCGTCCCCCTTCTCGAACTCGCCATCTCTCCAAACCGTCCACGCTCTCTCGTGGTGTCATATGCCTGCAGCACCCTAGCCTGCGACTCATCTGTTTGCGAGAAAGCGTAGCCACGCTGCTTTCGCATGCGCTGCACTTGGCGGACTTTGCGGATGGCCTTTTGAAATTGTTCCATTCTAGACGAAAGGTTAGCTGATGAATGACGAGTGGAATCGTAGGAAACGTACCTGGGCCGATAATCTTGAATGTTATACTTCTGGATCTCCTGGACATGGTGGTAGGTTTGGGGGAAGTACATCCGTTTGGCGCTAGACGGAATGGTTAGGATGGAGACAAGTGGGAGGCACGGGTGCCACTTACTATTTCCATGCGAAGTCGCGCAGGAGACAAAGAACCGGAAGCACAATTGCCATACCGTAGAACGTCGGATCTGTAAATAGACGCGGAAGCACGCCCTCGTACTCCAGTGAAAAGCCCAACGCCGGACCCGCCGACGCATACGCCGGCAAAAAGACCATCCAGACGGCGAAACTCCCGGGGATCGCCGCGAAGGTCCATTTCGTCCACTGGGTGCTGATGAGCGCGGCCTTCCCGAGCGTGGTCATCAAGCCCGCAGTGTACAGCGCGGTGCCCCAGACCCAATGGCCGGGAGTCTTCCCGTCAGACTGCGGCTTGTCCCAGTGGTAGATGTAGTTGCCGGCCCAGTAGAGGATGAGGGAGTGGTAGAAGCCGTTGAGGACCCAAGAGAAGAAGTTGTGGGTGCGGAAAAACATATTTTTCTGCGAGAGCTGGTAGAGCTGCGGGTAGCGGTCGAGGAGGCGGGCGGAGACGAATTGATCGAAGATGCCGATGGCGAAGGGGGGAAGGGAGGTGAAGAGCACGTTGTAGAAGGAGAGGGTCCAGGATTCGTAGATGACTTCGCCACTGAACGCATTTTGGAAGGAATACCAGAATTGCGTCATGAACACCGCCACGTTCTTGTAGAAGGAATAGAGAATCGTTTTAGAGACTCGGTGGTACGACCACGCGCCATGCACGAGTAGCAGTTTGCGAAGATACCGGAATTGCGCAATCGAGACGTCGGCGCTACGAGCTGCTTGCAGTCCTTCCATGCCGCTGATGCCTACGCCGATATGTGCTGCTTGGATCATGGAGACGTCGTTAGCCCCATCGCCGATGGCGAGGAGGATCGCTTTGAGGTGGCGCTTGACGAGCTTGACGACGAGAGCTTTCTGGAGGGGGGAGACACGACTAGAACAGGTTAGCAATTGTTAGAGTCAGCAGATGAGCGACATGGACTTACCAGCAGATAACAGCCTTGCACATGACGGCTAGGTCCAAGAACATCTTCTCGGTATCTCGCTCGAGCGCATACGTCAACGACTTGCCATCAATCACCAGCGCCAACGTCTCGAGTTCCGCGCCAATGTCCTTCTGGCTTCTGATCGCGTTGAGTTTCTTCTGGATATTATCTCGCGTCCCCTCGGCGTTCTCTTCGTTCACGATCAGCAGCGTCATGTCCTCGCTGATCAGCTTGCAGCTCATCCCGATGTTGATAGCTGTCTCCTGCCGATCGCCGGTCAGCACCCACACTTTGATCCCTGCTTCCTGCAGCGTGTGGATCGTGTCAGGCACGCCGTCTTGCAGCTTGTCCTCGATCGCGGTGGCACCGAGCAGGGTAAGATCATGCTCGATGATCTCCGCGGCTTTGTCAAGCTCCTCGGCACGGTTACCGCTGACGGTGGTCGCCGCAGTGTTGTAGACTTCGTACCATTCTTCGAACTCCTGGTCGCTGATATCCCGGTATGCGAGACACAGCGTACGAAGGCCATCCACAGCATACTCTTCCAGATGTTGTAGCGTAGTCTCGACGAACGGGTTGTCCTTGTGCAGGCGCTCAAGAATGACGGTGTCGGCGCCTTTGCAGTACAGTCGAACCTTCCCGTCCGGGCAACGGAAGATGGTGGACATGCGCTTCCTGGTGGAATTGAACTCGCAGACTGCGAGCAACTCGTATTCCTCCTCCTGCCCGTCATGTTCAATGATGACCGACCGCGGTTTTCGCGCAATGAACCGGTAGCCGAGTTCGACCGCTCCATCCACCAGGGCTCCTTCATCGGGCGACGCAGCCTGGTACCGAATCGTGCCTTTCTCGTCGTTGCGCTCCGGGATCACCGTGTGGCATGTCGACAGCAGGGTGAGGAACTGGTCGATGATATTGGCGGTTGGGTGATTCACACGGTTCCCCGCGAGCGTCTTGAAGTCGTGGATGCCCACCTCCTCGCCGTTCTCGATGGTCGCGCGTTTGTCTTCGGGGATTTCGTCGCCGTATTGAATGCCGCCGATCGTGCACTGCCGGAACTCCATAATGTTCTGGGTCAGCGTGCCGGTCTTGTCCGAGAAGATATACTCGATTTGACCCAGTTCCTCGACGAGCGACGACGTGCGACAATTGGCCGGGGTGTCCGTCTTATCGTAGTACATGTCCAGATCACCGCTTATCAGGAACGCGGTGCAGTACTGCACAATTTCGAGCGTCACAAACAGCGACAGGGGGACCAGGTTGGAGAATAAGATCCAGTACGTGACGAGATCGGAGAAAAACTGGTTGACAGTACTCGTGCCGCCGTAGAAGAGATACCGGAGCTTGTCCTGCTCCCGTGATCGAACAATGAGGTCGCCGATAGTGCTGATCAAGCTTAGGCCGAGGAGGACGCCGACGAGCATCAGGATTTGGATGTTGACGGCTCGAGCGATCGCGGTCGTCTTGACCGGGGTGGCCGTTGCGTTCCTCATTAACTTCGTTTCGTGTCCAGTAAACACTACGATTCCGTGAATCCATGGGGTGTTTCGCAATGTAGCACCCCTCAGTAGAAGCTGGTCGGGCTGCAAAGGAAGTTCTTTCTCCCCTCCCCCCGATGGCATGGTCAAGGTCGCCTCGTATGTATACAGGCTGCTGTTCGGTTGCTCGGAGCGGACACGGCCGCCTAGTCGACTCAACTCGCCGGGGCTGACCAAATCTGCGGTTTCCGGGATGGATTGCTTGATCTTGAGATTCGTTTCCCCGTCCAGGTTTGCCGTCTCGATATAGCAGAGGCCCTCTGGCTCGGACGACGCCAGGAGCACGATATCGGCTGGGAACGGCTCCTCGGACTGCACGCGAACGATATCTCCCACCGATACGTCGATCCAGGTCACTTCGGTAAAGGTCGAGCCTTTGAGGACGCTCGCTTTCGCGCTGTTCAAGGATTTGTCCTGCGACTTCCGTCTCGCATCTTCAACCAGCTCTTTGATCGCGGAAACGAGGATGACGAGAGCAAGCGGTACGATGGTGTTATATCGATTGGTCGGGGAGAGGTTCGGGATTTGCTGGAGGGCGGCGGTGAACAAAAAGAACAAGTTCGCGTATTTCGAGAACTGTTCGAACAGGAACTTCGGGAGGAAGGTCACAATGTTGTACTTCGCGGTCGAGATATGGTTATCGAGGTATTTGTTCCCCGCGTTGGCAGGCGGGTTGTTCAGATGGATGATTCGAGGGCCCAGGGTGGATGGATCGACTTCTTTCCGGCCCAATCCGAACTTGAAGGTGCTTTTGCTTATCTTCCTATGCCTCTTCTCTTTCTTCGGGGTTGTCCCAGCCAGGCTTTCCGTTCTTGATTCCCGTGCCCCGGCTTCTGTTAACGGGAGGTCCATCTCCGAATACTGTGGCCCCATTCCCAGTCGGTTTTTCATCCGTCCCATAAACCCACCGCCCATACTCAGTACACTATTCCGGTTGGTCGGCTTTGCGTGTGGGATATGGCTCGTCATTCCTCGATCGTCGAATCCGCCCGCAGCATAGGACCCCTGGTACGACCGATCATCCTGGAAGTTGTCGGAGTCGGCATACCTTGGATACTCTGGACTACTCGCGGCCGCTCCAGGATGCGCCGTTCCGGCCCCTCCGACGAATTCATCGTAGGATACAGAAGGCCGGGGGGGTTGCTGCCAATCCGAGTCGTCGATGTCGTAGCGCTCGAGCATGTGTTCGTCATCGACCGGCGCCCGCTGGCCGGAGTAGTAGATGGGTCGCTCATCGTCGAATTCTAGGAGGTCCGATGGCTGCCTTTGCGGTGGATTCGGTGGTTCTGATCTGCCAGCCATTGCGGAGGCTAAGTGTCAAGGGGAGGCGAAGGGGAATGGCGTCGATGCGGTTCAAATCCCGGTGCTCCTCCTGAATCCGCGTCAATGGCATTCAATGAGCATTGCGCGCCCGGGAAGGATAGAATGGCAACGCGGATTTCGAAGGGATATTTGCTCGTAAAACAACGATCCTTTTCCCGGTGGAATTCTCAAACTGGCCCTTTTCGGAGACGCAGCTTTTGGATGTTGCTATTCTTTCGTCGGGTGTCAGCACAGCCCCGAGCGTAGCCAAGCCCGCTATGGTTCAACACGTAAAATGAATGGATTGGCAAGAAACAGCCAACAGGAACATGGCGGGAAGAGAGTGGTAGAACAATAGACGTAACATGTAAGCAGGAGATGGATAGTGTAGACTTGAGGTTTGGTACAGTAAGATTAATGGGTGGAGATCCGTCCTTCACAGCATGCCGCTCGTCGTTACTAACGTCTGCGAGTGTCTGGGACGGGGTTTCAGTTGACATCGTCAGGGTCCGCTCTTGGCACTAGCGTCTAAGAAGGGACGGAATAAAGACGCGAAGTACGGAGTACATGTATTAATATTAATTAAGTCCACCCCGGCACAGGATGGATCTGCATGTAGTTTGGAAAACCCTCAAACTTTCAATGTACAGAAATGGTGCTGTATATAGATTCGGTGATACAGTAATATACATAAGGCTAACACTGAGCAAAACATCACCACTCCGGCAGGAAGTTCTTGATGTTGCTCCAGTACCGCTGATGGACCACCTTCTGCAACTCGTCCTTCGTCAGCCATTTGTACTCCTGATGACCGAACTTGTTCTGCGCCATATCCACTTCACCGGCCATGATGCGAGCCTTCATGAAGAACACCTTCTTGCCCACCTCTTCTACTGCACGAGCCGTGTTCTGCACATATTGTTCGGCGGAATAGTCCGTCTGCGCCTTTCCAAGCGGAGCATTGCCCACCACCCACGTATTCATATTCGGCCCACCCGCCAAAGGAAGTATGCGTAACGCAGCCTATCAACCAACGTTAGTAACTCCCTTCTTCATCCTCTCACCCAAACATACCTGTCTCAACGACTCTGTCCCAACCAACGAATCCTCGGGGAACGCCCATTTCCCCGACGCCTCCCTCATCACCAAATACAACGTCCGCTTCAACTCCCGATCCAAACTCCTCTCGTCCCCTTCCCGATCCGCCCGCGTCTCCCGCGGCTGCGGCCGTTCCACCGGCTCCCGATACAGCGCCGTATGCCCCAACTCCTCCGGCTTGACCGCGCTGACCTCCGCGTCCTCGATCAGCTTCTGCACCGTATGTTCGGGCTCGCTCTCGGGTGCGCCGACCAGCGCCTCGTCCGCCCACGCGTTCGCCCCGTACCCGGAATACGCCCCGACGTCGCGAGAGGCGGAGAGCCGCGCGGCGACTTTGCGCTTCCAGTCGAGGTCGGCGGGAGTGCCTTTACGGTAGTAGAAGTAACGGGAGAAGGGGAGGACGAGACGCTCGTTGAGGCGGCGTTGGTAGAGGAAGAAGGACTTCTCGAAGGGGTGGAGGTCGCGGGTGATCTGGGGGGGTCGGGAGAGGACGACGGAGGCGCGGAGTTGGTAGCCGGTGGGGAGGGAGGTTTGGGTGACGGGTGGCATGGTGGTGAGGATTGGGGGGTGGGATTCGGTGGTTGCGGTCGCGGTGGATGCACTGCGTTGTTGGGTTAGGGACCGACGACACGATGAGCAGACGCCATCGTCGAACACTGTTGATGGTTAGATAATGGTTGAGGTGCTTCGATTCGGGGTGCATTTACCTCTTCGGAGGCCCAATTGCCTCGAAACACGTTGACCAACACTCATCTCATCCCCTTCCGTCTACAGATAAATGAATGTAGTTGGTTGCTTGATTTCCCAAGCTCTCCTCTCCTGGTCGAGAAATTATGCAAAGTTCAACGTCGAAGGCCTGTGGAGTCTCATCTGGGCCTAGCGTCGAAGGCACGTGACCTAGGACTACATCAATGATTTTTCTTCCTCCGATGAGAAGAAATCTTCAGGCATCTCCTTACTACCAAATTATCCTTTTGTAAATGCTTCTTTGGTCATTTATAGATGCCGAGAGAGATTTTCGCAACCTTTCGCTAGCGGTGCCTACACCTTTGATTACTGGGCACAGTTAGATAGTGTTTGTGAACATTCCTTTAGGACCAAATGGACGGATGAGTGGAGAGTTGGCTCTCTTCAAGGCGAAAGCCACAAATGATGAATAAATAGGATGTGGAGATTAATTGCATAGTGATGATACCATCGTAGGTGTTTGGTGCCTTCAATAATGGCAAAGGACAGATATTTTTGGTGGACAGTGTTCAATTTTTAAATACATTGCGCCTTTGCTTTCCTTTCCCACCTACGTCCAATTGTACAATACACCGCTCAAAGAAAGGGTCACACCAAAGACCTAGTAAGACCATTCTCCGGTAATTAGGATACGTTGTCAACCCGGGACGAGACCCAGGCTCCATCACCAAACCTCCTCTCCTCTCCTCCCCGCTCAAGTCCTCGCCACCGCCGGCTTCTCCTTCCCCATATCCGCCTGCTCATAATAGAAGTTCTCCTCGGGGATCCGCCCGCGCAAGAATTGCGGCTCGCTTCCTCGCACGTACGCATCCTCGAACAAGATCTGCGCCGTCGGCTCCGGCGCCTCCATCTTCTCGGCCTCGGCCACCTCTGCGTCCACGAAGCTGCGCGCCTCCTTGTCGATCTCCTTCAGCTCGGCTTCCGTCGTGATGCCCCAGTCCAGGAGCTTGGATTTGAGGCCGGAGATGGGGTCGTTGGTGGAGCGCATGCGTTGGATTTCTTCGCGGGTCTGGAGGGGGTTAGGATTGTTGGGTTGGATTCACGTGGAGAAATGGATGGGACTTACGCGGTAGGTGGTGCCGGGATCGCTCATGGAGTGGCCGCCGTAGCGGTAGGTCACGTATTCGAAGACCAGAGGGCCCTTTCCTTCCTGGACGTAGCGCTTCCCGTACTCCACGGCGGCCTTGACGGAGAGGACGTCCATGCCGTTGATTTTCAGACCCGGAATGTATTGTCCGCGCTTGTAATAGTCGGTCATGGCGGACGAGCGGTTCGCCGACGTACCCATCCCGTATTTGTTATCTGCAAACGTCAGCCTCCGGTCCGCATGCCATGGACGAATGGATCCTCACTTTCGCAGCCGAAGATCACCGGCAGGTTCCACAGCTTCGCCATGTTGAACGACTCGAACACTTGCCCCTGATTCGACGCTCCATCGCCATACAGCGCCAGCGTCACGGTGTTCTTCCCCGCATACTTCTCCGCGAACGCAATGCCCGCACCCACCGGCACCTGCGCTCCGACGATTCCATTCCCGCCGTAGAACCCCTTCGCGAACATGTGCATCGACCCGCCCTTCCCGTACGCGATTCCTTCCCGGCGTCCGAGCAGCTCGCCGATGATCGACTTGACCGTGCCGCCGCGCATCATGGCGAAGCCGTGGCAACGGTAGGCAGTGATGAGGTGGTCGGATTTATCGATAGCGTGCTCGATTCCGACGGCGACGGCTTCTTGGCCGGTGGAGAGATGGCAGAAGCCGCGGATTTTCTTCTCCTTGTAGAGGCGGTCGGCGGCCATTTCCATACGGCTGTATTGGGGTTGGGGATTAGCTCTCTGATTTTTCGCTAGAGATCGTCGGAGTGGGATGGGTAGGAGAAAGAACAGATGGTATATGCTTACCGGACGGCTACCATGTCCCAGTATATCTGCTTCAATTCCTTCTTGGTGGTTTTCAGGGTGTAGGGTGGCGGATCAAGCTCATACGTTTCGAAGCTCTCATCGGACAACCGGACCTCGAAGGGTTCTTCATCCGCCTATGATAGTAGAATCAGCACATCGTCCGCTCTCCACGACTGTCTCCCACAACATACCGATGGCACGCTCTCTCGATCCGCGTGGGACGACGCCGCATCGGTGGTGACGGCTCTCCGCGTCAACGGCATAGCCGCATTGCGGCGGATTTGAGCCGCGAACGGCGAACTTCGCCTGATTGCCCTTGACAGCATCTTTCGAGGGATCTCGCAGGCCTGAAGGATGCAGAGAGAGTATGGGAAGGGAATAATGGGAGCAAAGTCGGAGTACGGAGCGGAATTGGAGATTCTTGTTGAGAGGTTGTCCGAGCTGGCGTGGGCAGGGGGGAACTTTTTCTGTGGAGACGGCTGAACAACGACATCGATCCTGAATTGCTAATGGCGGAGATCACAGTTCAAGCTCAGCATCACATCACGTTCGGCGACTTACAAGGTAGAGTAGTTAGATTAGAAGGCTGGTTTATCATGAACTGTATCTCGATCCCTTGCTTTCTCTCAGACAATCAAGAGAGTATGGCCACATCGTGGGGACAAAAGTACCCGAAGGCGAACCTATCCATAACCCAGCATATACTTCGAGTCCTTATATGTCTGAACATTAGTACTGAGTCCGTGTCAATGTCGTTTAAGTCCTAATATCCTTCCATATGGAAGTTCTGGAGACATGCTCCTGCATCACGAACGAATCCTTTTAGATACTCGGCCACGATATCTGGGGCTGAGGTCGAAAGGCAGAAATCGTGATGTTGAGCCTTATGAATTCCAGGAGCCTGGTTGTCTTCGCAGTTTTGATTCTTTTCATCTTGTTTCACCATCCTATACCAGTACGATCTGAACACGATCTGAACAGCCGCGACACCAGTCAATACAACGGGATATCAGAACCATGGCTGATTCCATAGATCCCGCCAGCAGCAGTACGCGCACGAACCAAAGCCTAGTCTACGAACCTTCGGACAAATCCCAACCTTTCATAAGGCTTTTGCGGATCGATCCAGCATCAAGCATCTCGGAAATCTGAGGTCTTGAATTCAAAATCTTGAGGAGCCAGATCTGAGATCAGGGCAATTTTTTGGAGTAAGAAAATACTTTTTCAGAATCCACGGATGGACTCAAATCCCATCTAGGTCCATTCCATACTACAACCCGTACATGTTTATTTCCCTGTGGTTTTGATACCCACTGCTAGCTTTATAGGTTCGCTGCATGACGATAGTCACATTGCTCTGTCTCAGTCCTCCGAGTCCCCACAGTCCGCTCAGTCCACTTCGTCGTCTCAACCCTCCCCTCAATTCTTACCTGCGCAGAGCGCCACTATGGGCAAGATCAGCGCGCTCCAGTTAGACATGGCTATTCCAACAACACGATTGGGTCGCCTCAAAGAGTCTATGGAAACCGAATTGTTAACCTCAAGACCGCCGCAAGAGCTTAGTCAGAACCAACCCCGCTAATCACTTAGCCAAAAGGCACGGTATTGGCGCTTAGAAATATGAAATTATGAAGCATCACAAGCATACTACGTAGTTGCTGCCCTAGGGAAATCTATGCCGCTAGGAATTGTTAGACAGTACCCCGATCCTGGCCTTGACTGTTCAGGGCGGCGCGAGAATCCACGCATGTTTCATCGTGTAGGGAGGGAACGACCGGGCTCTGTCGATGCGGAGGCATCTCCCCAAGAAGGTGATGAGAGAGAAGCGGCGAATACCAGCACTATCCCACGACCTACCTCGTCTCCCCATGCAATAAGGGCGTACAAGCGATGCGCGACCGACGATCCGATTCACGAGCATAGCCGGCTGGGAGACACTGCTGACTATAGTCGTGGCTGTGACACGGACGAAGAGCACGCCGTGGATGATGACCACGGAACAAGGTCGCCGAGACCGTCATTAGGGCGACAGCATCGAGGCAAGATCCAGCGCAGACACCGGCCGTTCCAGTCAGATGCTGCGAGGAACACTCGCACGCACGCTCGAGATCAGCCGATTCCACGCTTCTTGAGCAGTCCGCATCCCGACTCCTCTGCACCGAGAAGAGACGATAGCGGCCCACAGGACAGTGACAAGAGTGCACCCTTCGCCATGGCCAGGAGTACTGTGGTCGACATTTCTCTTCGTCCAACGCCGGGGGACACTTTCCTGGCAGCTACGATGAAGGTCGATGGCGATATGCAAGCAATTTCTTGCGGCACGCTGCTTAAGCTAATAGAGAATATTTTGGGCAACACAGCGAAGATACACGACATGACGCTCAAACCGCTTACAGCAGGCCAATGGCTGCTAACCGGGTTCCTTCGCAGTCGTTACATCAATGCCGGCGTCACCACGCGGCACGAGTTCACACCAAATCCGCGAAGGGATACTACCGCCGCGACCACCATTCCAATGGCCAACCCTGTCGATTCAGAGGATGACAGCAGCGTGGGCAGGAGCGATAGTAGCATCAGCGACGATGATGTCAGCAATGAGAAATACATTGACCAAGGTATGGATGGAGAAACGCGCCGTCGGTGGGCGCCTTTGGAGGAGCAGCGTCTGTTGGCTTACAGGGCCGACGGGAAGCCATGGCCATGGATCTTTAGAAAGTTCCCCAACCGGACACCAGGTGCTGTGCGCGTCCGGTTGCACATGTTACAACGGTCGCAGGAAGGAAAAAGCGAATGAGGCAACATATCCACCTAGCAGGAGGACAACTCTTCGACGCGTATTTTCGGGCCGGAATCTCATAAAACAACAACTCGCCTGTTATTAGCAAGGCTGTCGGAAGTCGCTCTCAATTTCACCCATTCACCAACACGCGTGTTCTGCGAGGACGTCGATCGGTATTATCGCCTCTTGTCAGGAAGTATACAGGTTCTTAATTCTATCCGCCAATACGCGTCTTCTATCGTAGCCCTTGTCAAAGAATTGAGAGTCCGATTTCCCGCAGCTGGACATGGCACCGACCACTGCCCGCGGTTCCAACCTATCGCAACGACCAGTTCACGTAGACATCAGCATGCAGCCGACTCCAAGCGGGGAGGAATGGTGGATTGGCGACCTCACTACCACTTTTCGCGAGAAGAGGAGGATCGTGGTGATCGCTGGCGCCGACATCTCTACCGCTGCAGAAGTATGAGGATTGAATACGCGTCTTTTCGTTGCATGCGTCTGTCATTCCGCTTGACCGTGATGATATTGGAGAAAGGGATACGGGCCCTGTTGGGGAGGCTCTTTCCCTGCCTTTCTTTAAACTTTTCTCTGGGTGCATGTTCTCTTTGGAATTGCCAGAAGTCGAAAGATTCGAACCTAAAATGCAGGCGAGGATGAGACGCTTATGAGAAATTATATCATTGCATTGATTGGAGAGCGACGTTCTGCGCCGTCCAATCGTCGAAGTCTCGTATTTCGGTGTATCTGAAAACAGTAATAGGAAGCGGTAGTGTCACAAGAAGCTATAATTATCTGCCTTATCTCAGTTGGGACTCAGGCGGGTACTGGTATACCCCTGTCTCTGTAGCAGTCTCTCTAACGCAATATAGCATAGCGATTTCTTTAGCGTCAACCTCCAATTTTCAACCAATCATATGCCGTAAAGGCACTGGGCACCAGTGCCGTCTGAGAGACTATTGCACGTTTTCTGAGGCATATACGGATTTCTATCTTCATCTTGTATGAGCGGACTTCTAACCGCTAATATTCTCTATACCCGAAATTTTATATACATTTGATATCAGATATCAACGCTGGGCATCAAGTTTTACCTATCAGCTTTTGGGGTTAATCCGGCTACTATACGCTAAGCCGTAGTTAAAATAAGAGTAAAAGAGACGACGGGCATGTCAACCGCCAGAATGGCTGGCATGCCCTACCATGCACGCTCATTGGCCGATTCCAATTATCCGAAGAATTCCCGCCTACTATGCCCGGTCCGCCCGAGGCGCGTATGGGAAAGTCGTGGCAGCGCCAAATTTGGTGCCTCACCCACCACCACCAAACCCACCACCAAACCCACCACCAAACCACTCATATAGCAAAATATCCCTTTCCAGACCGTTTACACGTAAATTTGAGGCTGTAGATTTCTATGTAAATAGTGATATCGCGAGGTTTCTAGGCAGCGAGCTCCTAATAACGTGATTGAAGCCCATATCGCTCCTCAATCTCCTCCATCCTGTCAGGCATAGATTCGATATAGGAATCGATCTCATGCTGTGGAATCTTGTTCCATTCATCGATGATCGCATCCTTAAGGTCCTCCTTCGTCGTGGGCTGCTTTCGACGTTGTTTAAGGTGTTGCTTTAGGATCCTCCAAACATTCTCAATTGGTGACATGTCTGGAGACTGCGGAGGGTCCGCATACCAAGGAATCCCACAATCTGACATGAACTTACTGATCATATTGGACTCGCTCCGGGTTCCGCGGCATCCATCATTGTCAACCTCGAGGAGGAGGGCTCTCTTTTCCTTCTTAAAACGTTGGAAAAGGGGGAGGACATGGGACCTCAAGACCTCGTCACGATAACGGATCATATTAAGTCCAGACTCGCGACCCCCCGGCTTCTCCTTTTTGTGGTATTCGTAGAATACGAGGGGGCTCTTATATCCAATCCCTACGGCACCCCAGGCGTGGAGAACGTTTTTTAGTCTTTTTTTCCTGTGCTGCATGCAATTAGGGCAATACCGCTCCTCTTTCCCGCGGATTACCCACTTTGAGTTCTCCATACCAAGGTGGAAATGGACCTCATCTGAGAAGACAACCTACCGCCGGAGTGGAGTCCAGAAGCGATGGCCCTGAGCGAATTGGTGGCGCTTGATCCGGTTCTCCTCCGTGATATACGGTTTTTGACAGGCACGGCATTTCTTGAATCCTTCACGCCCAAGGGCTGATTTGGGGGTCTGCCAATGGCATTCGAGCTTCCAAGATCACGCTATCTCCTCAAATGTCTCGATTCGCCGGTCGTAATGGCCAACGAGCCACCGGATAACGGCCTGGACCTGTTCAACCAGGAGACTCCGTGGACGACCTCTTGCGGTCCCCGATCCTGCCTTATTCGTTCGCCTAGAACTCCTAGCTCTTAAGATACGGTATCCTGTACGTGGCGGAACACCACATCTTGCGAAAATATCGTTATTTGAGAGCTCTGGGCAATGCCTCCGGAGGGCCCGAAACTTCCTCCCTTTCTGGGGTTGACCGCACGTGACCTTCCGAAGCTGGGGACGGCGATGGTGTCCGGATCGGTTCGTACGGTGGTATAGGCTTCTTGCGAGGGCGTAACTTCATCTTGAATATTATTTTAATAATAATAATAAGAATCAATTTAACGTACTATCTGGATCCCTTTCGGGTCTATGAGCACGATATTCTATCTGGTCTGCCGCGGGCAAAAGTTTCCCCGTAGCCCTGAGGCTGCGGGTACATAAAATCCCGCCTCCTCCCTTTAGTAGACTATCT